AATTCATTGTTCCAACAATACTTCAATCAAACGCTAAAAAGTCATTTATGCATCCATAATTTTTTGGAGCTAATACAATTTGCCTACAAAAAATATCTGTTTAAATTTTGGGATAATCCTTATCTAGGAGTCCTGTTCACATTTTGATCCTGCTTTTATCACGTTCCAGTTGGAAAAGGTCAATTGCGTGGATTTATAAGCCTTTTTACACCAGTTTTACTACGCATTTAGTAGTAAAATTCCCTTCATTTTTAATGTTATCTTTTATCCTACGTTTCTTTTTTTTTATCTATGTTCTTAAAAAACCCATGCTATTCCATACACATCATAGCATTGTTATGGGAGAAAAGTATTATTTTTAAATTAGCACTATTTGCGTCCAATGAAAATAAGGGTAAAATTAGAAACCTCACACATTTTGCTATCAGTATCACGTATTTCTTATACTAGCTGTTTTTGAATTATCAATTTATTTTTGTTATTTTTATTTTTACTTTTTATTATATTTGAAAGATCATAAATACTTTGAAGGCAAAATAATTAATGTAACATGCATATTTGATGCATATAACATGGATAAATAAAAAATAAATAAACAAACAAACGAAAAATAAATGAATAACATTATTGAAAGGATTCTCCAGAAATATCTTTTTTTAAATTTTAAGGGGGCCGACTATAGTTTTATTGTGTGAAAACTACAATAGCGAAACTCTTCATTTTTTTACCATATATAACTTACATTAACTTCAGTGTACATGCAAAGTTTCAGGTATTTTTGAGGGACCGTCTCAAAATACAGGTACATTTACTATAGGATTATATAGGAAAATGCCAATTTTTAGCACTTTAAAGCAAATTATACAAATACTACAATAGACATTTTGTTCAAACTATAATATTTGATGATTAATACTATATTATACAATATATGTAAGAGACACTAAATTCTACCGTCTTGTTACCAGAGGGGGCATCTCAAAATGCAAAGAATTAGCAAATTTTACTATTTTTATAGAGTATTACAAAATATGACGTACACAATGGATTCACATGAAAACATAATAAAAAATATTGGAGATATTCTCAAATATCTATGCTTTAAATTTCAAGAGCGTATGTTTATTACTTTTTCTTTAATAATATTTTTTTTACCCCTTTCTTTAAGAGCTACAGATTATCATAACGTCAAAAACACACTGCAACGACGTCAACCTACCTATCAATTGCAAAATCGGTTTAAAAATCCGTTATATCAAATTGTAATTACATTTTTATACCTATAATTTCTTAATTTTGTTTAATTTTAATAATTAAGCGAAAAAAGTTGCATTGAAACAGTAAATATGCTTCATTTTACTATGATGCGCGAAATATTGCGCAATGGAAACTATAGTCGGCCCCCTTAATTCAGATCTGTAAAGGAGATTTTTTTTTCCTCAATGCTGCTGACAAAAATTGTCTCGCACCACTCCTTGGAATAGGACTTATAAGATTAGCATTGTGTTTAATATGGTTAATTTCAGTGTAAATACAGACAAGAGAAACAATCTGGTAAAGAATGCTAGAAATGATTGCAAATCGTAAAAATACACTGTAGGTTTCAATTAATTTAATTTTATATCTAAGAACAAATTCTTCGAAGGGGGGTTTACAGTAATCCGGGATAAAAGAGATTGCAGACTCGGTTTTCTAATTTACATTCAATGTGTAGTTTCGAATCATTCATTATGATTTATATTATTGGGTATTTTTCTTTAGATTTCCAATTATATGTTATTTTTAATATTTTTTTTTCATTTTGTATTTGAAATTTATTTTTATCATCACTTAATAAAAAGTTAAACCTTTGTTTAAAAATTACTAAGCTGTGAACTGAGCTAGCTTTTCAGTGTTAGTTTTAGCAACCAAAAATGGCGGGTTCAGAAAAGGTTTGTATTTCGTTATGATACACATGATGTTTTCTGTTATTTTGCATTTCAAAACTGAATAGACCTATGACCACAAAAGTTGATTATTCATTTCACGTACACTAACATCTACTTAATTTGGAAACTGTAAAAGATTGTGATCTCCTGATGTAGCCAAAGATTGAGATGAATCTCGATCCCATACGTTAAACGGGGAAGAATATTCCAAACAGATTACTAAAACCCGAACAAGCATAAGTTACTAACAAGTAGATTGCTGTTTTCGTAAAACAACAGACAACTCGAAAAATGTCCTTTGCAGTAATGAGTTGTACAAAGCAACACATCTAACACTGGTGTTGTCTTCTAAAGTCCATTAAAAATTACATGGTTTCAACTTTGACTGATAAGCGTTATGTTATTTTCTTAATGTATAGGAAAATGATTATGAGAAGAGAAGTGGATCAGAAATTCTTGGATTGCTAAGATGAACAATTTGAAAATGACATAAATTCATGATCTCTTTACATGTGTAACACAAAAAAATTAAACTTACTCAAAAATTAGCTTTTCTATGCTATGTAACTTTTAAATTATTTTTAACATAAACAAGCTAATTGGCTGGATGTTTTGTTGAAAGAGAGTGCAGAAAGCATGAATGACAATGCTTAGGCTAAGATTGATCAGAATGATTTTTCCCGCAGTAAAATAACTATAGCTCTGAGCCCACAATCTTCTGTGAGTGACATCTCTGCTTGCAGATAAATTGTGGAGTAAACATTATTTATTATGTTTATTAAAATGTTTAAGTGCTTCAGATTAGTAATGCAATGCGATTGAAGGACTTGAAACAGCTCCTAAAAAGGAAGAGCTAAAGTAAAATAGAATATCCATCATTGCTCAGTTGCCCATGAATAATTGCAAATGTCCAAATACACTGTACATGTATAATGTTAAATTACAGACATCGTCAAAAAGGTTTCCAGTCTCAAACCTTATTCAAAACTATTTATTATATATCCGTGCGACGGTTACGCGTTTGACGACGCCATTTTCATCAAACTCAATTCCAACAACACTTTGAAAATCATGACACCAATCGTCTGTTTCCAATGCTATTTATATTTGAGTTCAATGTCTTAAATAATACTAAAGAAATAAAAGCAAATGTAATAGTTATATGCGTAAATTATTCCAAATTTTGTCTGTGCACTGACAGACCTTATCGGCCACCATTTAAACCGTCCTAATATTATTAATATGGAAGATGTATATTTAAAAATCTACAATTTTAAAAAACATTGATTATATTATGTCTATGCAAAATTTGGTTAGTATTGGTTGCATGTTTAAAAATTTATAAACATTGTCTACAACTTTTTGGGACAACCCTCGTATAGTGACAGTCCAAGAAATCCACGTAATTTTCAACACGCGGATTAAACAGAAATTGAGATTCCGCGGAATTAAGACCCCGTGGAAAAAAATACGTCTACAGTACCTGTAGACTGCACATAATGATTATATTTTGTCAAATATTGTTGTAATCAAATTTTGTAACATTTTTCCTTGAATTTGAGACTATATACATATTTGTGGCACTGTGTGGTACTGAAGGTACATATTAAGTTAAATTGTGCTTAGATCTAGTCACTATGAGAGTCTATGTGAAAGTTTTTGCAGACCACACAGGACATTTGGTCAGGTGTTATCGATGAACACAAAGGACTGAACCAAATGTTGTCAGACTGAAGAGCCTAATGTTAAAAATTAAAATTAAATACCTCAAAAAATAACAGCTCTAGGGCAAACTGACCATGGTTCGGACAGACAAAAAAATTGACCTAGGTTCGGACAACTTTACCGTTATTTTTGTCTCGCCTGCGACGAATGTCGCGAAGCGAGACATAGCGACCATAGATTCCGTCGTCGTCGTCGTCGTCGGCGTCCAACTTTTGGTTAACCCAAATGTCAAAGTTTTATAAACTGCAATAACTTTCTCAAATTTTATTCAGTCTTCTTGAAATTTGGACACAATATTCAGTATGGATAAAAATTTATATCCCAAGTATGATTTTGAAAAAAAAAATTCAAATTTTTCCGTATTTTTTCCTTAAGTTGGACTTAGTTTTTTCATGATAATTTATGGTGAAGACCTATATTCCAGCAACTATAAGTTATAGGGATATGATAATTAGTCAGTGGATACATCATGGGTAACCACAAACGTCAGTACCAGAATTAGGTCATCTTGACCTACATTTTTCTGCATGAGTGACTTTGGTTAAATTTTTGGTGGAGGTCCATATCTCAGCATCTATAACTTATAATGGCATGATGATTTGTCATTGTACAGGTTATAAGTAACCAACAACATCAGTACCAGAATTAGGTCATTTTGACCTACATTTTTCTGCATGAATGACTTTGGTTAAATTGATAATGGAGGTTCATATTTCAGCAACTATAACTTATAGTGGCATGATAGTTAGTCAGTGGATACATCATGGGTAACCACAAACGCCTGTACCAGAATTAGGTCATCTTGACCTACATTTTTCCGCATGAGTGACTTTGCATAAATTTATGGTGGAGGTCCATATCTCAGCAACTATAACTTATAGTGGCATGATAATTTGTCAGTGGATACATCATGGGTAACCACAAACGCCTGTACCAGAATTAGGTCATCTTGACCTACATTTTTCCGCATGAGTGACTTTGCATAAATTTATGGTGGAGGTCCATATCTCAGCAACTATAACTTATAGTGGCATGATAATTTGTCAGTCTACACATCATGGGTAACCAACAATATCAGTACCATAATTAGGTAATCTTCACCTACATTTTCTGCATGAATGACTTGATACATATACAGTGGATTTGATTTCAAAATGCAAGTTCAAATTATTGCGACTCATAACACGTTGCAATATTCGCAATAATAAAAACATCACAATAATTTGTGAATTTACAGGGTATATGTATATATATATAAATGCCAATATAATCGCCAAGGGATTAGATATTAAGTCAGAATGTCAATAAATGCTTCAGTTTATCAGACAATCATTTCTTACTAACCACAGCGACAGCAGGCGAGACACAGGGTTGCGGGCAACCCTTACGTACTTTTTTTCAGTTAAATAAATCTGTTTTCAGCATAATACGGAAATATATCAATCTTAGCGATCAGATTTTTTATTTAGTCAAGACCCCGTGTTTATCACGTGACTCAATACTTGGTGGTGGCGCTACGATTTTAGGGCATGTGTAGTTTGTTTTACTTCAGCAGTTTAAGAGAAAAGTAAACAAACACTTGCAAGTAAAATCAAATGAACGAGACTCTACTTTATTAAACCAGTATGAATTATTTCTATTGCGTTTCTAATTTATTAATCCTTCTTATCAGCAAAAAATTGTTACAGTTATTTTCTATATTTGTTGTGAAATCTTCCTCGAAGTCTGAAAATTAAATGTACCTAGGTTCGTACACCAGATGACCATGATTCGTACATTGCTCAAACCAAAGTTCAAGCTCCTTATAATCAAATCGCTTTTAAGGGGGCCGACTATAGTTTCCATTGCGCAATATTTCGCGCATCATAGTAAAATGAAGCGTAAAAAATTTACTGTTTTAATGCAATTTTTTTCGCTTAATTATTAAAATTAAACAAAATTAAGAAATTATAGGTATAAAAATGTAATTACAATATGATATAACTGATTTTTTAACCGATTTTGCAATTGATAGGTAGGTTGACGTCGTTGCACATATGTGTTTTAGACGTTATGATAATCTGTAGCTCTTAAAGAAAGGAGTAATAAAAATATTATTAAAGAGAAAGTAATAATTATCATAGGCTCTTGAAATTTAAAAAATAGAAATTTGAGAATATTTCCAAAATTTTTATTATGTTTTCAGGTGAATCCATTGTGTACGTCAATTTTTGTAATACTCTATAAAAATACTAAAATTTCCTAATTTTTTGCATTTTGAGATGCCCCCTCTGGTAACAAGACGGTAGAATTTTGTGCTTCTTTTATATATTGTATAATATAGTATTACTCATCAAATATTATAGCTTGAACAAAATGTCTATTGTAGTATTTGTATAATTTGCTTTAAAGTGCTAAAAATTGGCATTTTCCTATATAATCCTATAGTAAATGTACCTGTATTTTGAGACGGTCCCTCAAAAATACCTGGACGGTAGATTTCCCACAAACTTAGCATGTACACTGAAATTAATGTAAGTTATATATGGTATGAAAATGAAGAGTTTCGCTATTGTAGTTATCACACAATAAAACTATATTCGACCTCCTTAAAAAAAATCGGAGAGTGAATGAATTAAATGATTGATATTCAAAGCATACGGATAATAATATTGTTTTTTTTTAAATCATGCTTCATGTATAGCTATAAAAACAGGTATATATTTTAAATGTACATTTATGTAGTATTTTCAATCGATCAAAATGAGGATGGGCTCCTCAAACATATATGATATTATTATATGCATGTATGCATTTTCAATTTTTTGATATAATAAAATTAATTATTCCAATTGATTGAGTAAATGATGTTTGATAAATTGAAAATTTAACCAATTCATTAATCATAAAAGCTATATTATTTCTAAATTTCTAGCATTTAAAACACATTCCTAAATAGCACCAATAATTTTTGTGCCAGTTACATCTTTAATTAATACGTACATAGACTTCTTAATTGTAGATCTCTTTTGCCCCCCCCCCCCCTTTTTTTTTGCCAACAATACTTTTACAATTGAAAATGTTCGCCGAAAGACTGGTTGCCACCCCCCCCCCCTCCCCCCACTTTATACTAAAGTAAAGAAATATGAAGGAAATATAGTATTGTAAGCTCAAAAAATGGATTTTTAAAGGAATTGGTAGAGAAAAAAGTTTGCCTCTACCCCCCCCCCCCCCCCCCCCCCCCCCCATTTAAAAATTTAGATACAGTTAATTTTTTTTTAATTCCACAATTTCAGTCTCGTTTTTTGGAGGAAAACTTCGACATACTTGAGGTTACGGTCGAAGGAAATGGGAGGGGTGATCAAGCAATAAAAATGGTTTCTTTAATATTATTTTTTCAGTGAGTTTTCTTTGCAAATTAATTACAGACGAACTCAAACGATTGTCAGTTGCTCGAAGCTCTCTCAGCAGGTAGTTATCCCAGTTGATACCGCTGACTACGGCGATGATTTCTTACTGAAATTGAAACTGTGACATGAGCCCAAATATGACTAAACTTTTGTCAACATACGTCATTTACGACAAACTAAAACACAAAAAGAGGAAAGAGAGATAAAGGAAAAGAGTTCTAGTTTAAAATAATACTAAAAACAACAACAGATTTTTACTAGGAATGGGAGAGATATGATTAAAATCTTATTGGATGTTTCTTATTATGTCATGCGACTCTATATGTAGTATTTGAAAGAAATCAGACATGCATGTGCTATCGATTTTGAAGGGTTTGGGAGAGAAATCAGGAAAAAATAAACAACTTATCTGATAAAACTTTGACAAGAAAAGAAAATTTAAAAAAATCAAGCAAACGAACGACCCCAAAGAAAATGGTCCAAACTCGAAAGGGGGTCAAACTTTCTTCCGTTTGAAATTTTATCAAACGCCGGAATGTATTACCAAAACACTACGATGTAACAATGCTACAACGAAAGAAGGGGGCAGACTTTCGATGAACATCTATAATGTTAAATTTCAATAGTAAAATGTTGTTTTAGAGAGGGTGGGGGTGGGTGGGGGCTCTCGCTACTATGAGCCTGTAAATATTGCATATCTGTTATTTAAAAAAAAAAACAACATTTGTTTACTGTATATTATCATGTCCGAACCTTGGTCAGATACGTTCGAACCATGGTAAAAATCGCTTGATGAATTTAACTTCTAGTTGGAACAGAGGTATTTAGTGTTTTGGTGATATATTTACAATCGATAAAACCCGAAAGGTTCCAAAACACTTTCCAGTTGATAGTAAAAGTCTAGACCACTGTCATTCGGAATAACAGCTTATTGCTTGTAAGCAAAACAAGAACCGTCTGAACCATGGTCAGTTTGCCCTACTTTTACCAAGGATCGCTCCAGTGTAATACTTCAGATGGTCCATCATGATTATGGACTCCATGTGGTTTTAATCACATTCATATATATATTTGGATTTGTGCAATATTTTTAAATTATAACAAACATTTAATATGTTTAAATAACTCTGCGTCAAAAAAGTAAAGCTCAGAACCAGACACTGAGACATTCCAGTCCGGTGTAGAAAATGATGCATTGGACCAGCTAGAGGCACTGCTTATCAGTTAGGTCTTTCGCATAGAATGCCATGAACAAAATTTGCAAAACTGACACTGAGGCTCTTGACTTGACTTGAAAATTTCATGAAAGTTTGAACAAGCTATGACTATATAGCCATCATCATAGACAAAATGTGCCATTAAATTCTCACCCATTCTGGAGAGAGCTATAAGTGGACTCCTGACAGTGACTTGAGATGAAGATGACTGCTCAAATCTATAGATGATTTTTTATATAGTTGGGTGAATATTTACTCATTCTAGGTTAGAAACTGTGTTATTTAATATATCACTTAAGTTATCAGCTGAATAATGTATTTTTGACAAGAATTTCTTTACTTTGATGCAAATTATGTCATCACAGATCACTAAATATTTTTCAAACTTTTTCAGGCAATAGAGGAGTATTTAAAACAAAGAAATATTACAAAGGAGAAAGATGTAGAACAACTGTATTTGGCAAACAAGTAAGATAAAAGTATTTGTGGGCCTCAGAATCCATTGAGGTTCTCTGGGTGTTATTTTAGCCACTCAAACTGTCAATTCAATCAAGAAAAAAGAATTGAATAAAAGTATAACAATTAATCTTTTTAAAGAATTAATTAAGGAATTTTTGACTTGTCAGTTGAGCATATTTGATGATCGAATTTGGTATAGCGCTACTTGAAAATATGCCTAAAAGGCTAATAGCAAATGTGTAATTTACACATGCACCAATATTCAATGACATGATATTTCACAGAAAACTTTTTTTATCGGCATGTAAAGGATTTTGCCTCTTGTGTATTCTTGCTCATTTTAATTTTCATGTATTTTTAATTATAGGGGACTGGATGAGGTTTCAGATTTGGGAAAATATAAATTTCTTAGGACTCTTTGGTTGAATGGAAACAGGGTATGTATTAACTATTTAATACAATACAATAAGCTAATACAATAAGCTATTTAGTAACATCAACATATAATTACAGCTGTAGTTTGCATCATTAGTAGGAGCATACATTTACAGTATTATGATCAAAATGCTATACAAAATACTCTATGTAAGGAGTGAGCAATTGCAGGAGTTGTTTGCATGTTCAAGCTGGATAAAATGTTGTTTCTTTCTTAAATTGAAAGACCTTAAATAAGGGCTTTCCCACTTTCATAGTCAAGTGCAGTGTTGCTCCACAACAACTCCCCATGTTAATCATGTTAACTTATAATAAATAGAAAAATGATGATACATGACCTTTATAATTCCATGTTGATACACCTGTCATTTTTTACCCAATAATACTGAAGAGTTTCATAGAGGGGAGATAACAATTTAAGTCCAGGTAATATTGGTTGGGGACTAAAAAATCAAAATATGTTTAGTGTATCTAAATTAGTTATTCCTATTTTTGAAAATACTAGTAAAACATAAGATTTAGAATCTTTTTTTCATTTACATGTATATTGTTTAATTACATATGATTTTAATTAAAACTATTTTTTAGAAAATGTGAAATTTAATGAAGTATATGGTATTTCAAATTTAATTTACAATTTGTAATAGTATTTCCCAAGCTCAATATTTTACAAATGAGATGTATGATAAGACCTGAGATCTTTCTAAAGATTACACTTATTTTAATGGCTAAAAAATCATACTCATTGATTTAAAAAATTAAACATTCATTTCACTTAAGTTTCTCATCATTACCATATATACTTGCCTATAAGTCGGTTGTATTTAATAAGCTTATATATCAGATGGACTGACCTCATATAAAATCATACTTTTAAAAGCTTGCCTATAAGTCGGACAAAGAGTTTTAGACTAGCGCTTAACTCCCAAAAAAAAACGACTTATAGGCAAGTATATACGGTAACTATATATTTTAAATTAAGAGTTAATTTTGGAAATAAAAGAGAAAATTTGGAGGGGAAAAATGATGGTCAAAGGTCACTTTTTGAGACCATCAGTTTTTATAGTTTTTCCATTTAATTCTGTGTACTTTTTGACTTAGACTAATATGCAAATGAGCTGTTTCTAATAATAGATGTGAGATCCTGACCTCCCTTCTTTAACCACAAAAAATCCTACGTCTCCACCTTCCAGAGGGAATGTGGGTTTTTTTTTTTGTATTTTGCGTGTTTTTTTTTTTTTTGCAGACTGGCTCTTCATATGCTTCATGGCTTAAAGTTGATATTTTTAGATAGATCTGTTTTTGCTTTTCTTCCAGTTGAGACGAGTTAATTTTTTGAATAACAACTTTCACATAGCTGAACTGCATTTACAAGACAACCAGTTAGTTGAGATAACAGGAGCTCTGGGTCACCTGACCTGTTTGCGTGTTCTTATGCTACAGAATAACCAGCTAACAAAGCTCGAGAAAGTTGTCAGAGAGTTCCAGAAAATGCTCACACTTCACACACTTAGTAAGTAAAGTAACATTTGTGTATTTAAAATTTCTAATTTTTTTTTTTTGGTCTAAGATTCTTCATTAAATTATTGGACCTTTGATAGGAATGGTAAAAAAATATATACATGTGGACAATGGGAGTAGGAGAGAGAGAGGGGGGGGCTCGGATTAAGCAAGTGAATTTATAAAGTTTATGCAAATTATCACACAAATCAATTGCTTAATTATATCATAAAAAGGTCTAGACAGTTATTTTCTTAGTATGTTAGCATTTATTGAGATGGTATTTGAAATATCAGTGCTTGTGATAATGAAAGTTTAACTTGATATTCTAGTACCTGGTATACTGAGTGACTTTTTCCTTTTGTGCTGATTAACCTTAATATATGTAATAGAATATTTTTTCAGTCCTCTTTTACTCTAGCTAAAATCCACTCAAATGTAATCTCTTTTTTTTTTGACAGATTTATTTAACAATCCAGTGGCACAGGAGCCAGATTACAGGATCTTTGTCATCAACTCTATCCCCTCTATACAGCTTCTAGACAGACAAGGTAAGGAAGATTTTAAAAGAATCTCTGTCATCAACTCCATTCACACTATTAATTTTCTAAACGGAAACGGTAAGGATGTTTATAATTGTCATAAACTCCATCCCCTCTATGGGGCCTCTAGATAGACAAGATAAGGATGTTTACAGTTGTCATAAACTCCATTCCCTCTATGGGGCCTCTAGATAGACAAGATAAGGATGCCTTATCCTAGGTGATGTATAATATTTTAACAAAACTTATAATAACATTAGAATATAATGTAAAAAATATTTTGTAAGTCATAAAAATCTTGCAGTGAAATAATTTTTTTATCTGGATTTTAGTATTACAGCTCTCTGATGAGTCTAAACCATAATCTTTATGGACACCATAAATGGAAAAGCGCAGAACAAATTGTTTTTGATTTCCAACTACCTATAAAAATTCAACTGAAATGAAATTTTAAATGAAAATGGTAACTCAATAACCAAACTTTTTTATCATTATAGAGGTTAGTAAGAAGGAGAGAGATACAGCCAGGAGAATCTACGATCAAGAGCAGGAGAAAATTCGGGAGACAGTGGCTTTTGGGCGGAGATCGGAGGGTCCCCCCACAATATTTCATCCAAGCAGTGATAAACTCAACAGACTTACCCGTGGTAAAAGAATATATGCTTATACTTGATGCAATATATTTTTTGACTATATTTTGCTCACCTTGATGAAGTCATCAAGAGCTTATGCTATACTCCAGGCATTAGCATCAACATCCCGGTTGAAGCATGTCCATTTCCATGTAGCTGTAAGCCCTACCTAAACCAAACTTGCATTGTTGATTCATCTAGAGATGGACTCTACCAGAGTTGCTTGAGATGCTGGATCTGACCTACCTTTTTTAGATGAGTGAGCAGGTTTAACTTTTTTGAGCAGATCCATTCCCAAGTAACTTTAAGCCTGACCTAAACCAAACTTGCATAGATGATGCATCTAGAGATTAACACTAACAAAATTCCTTCAGATGCTGGATGGGATCTTCATTTTCCATATGGGAGACCAGGTTATTAATGTTTTTGGAACTTGTTTATCCTCAAGTACATATCCCTACCTAAACCAATCTTGCATGGATGATGCATCTAAAGATGGACACTACCATGCTTCCTTCCAGATGCTGGATCTGACCTACATTTTCCAGATGAATGACCAGGTTAAAGTCTTTGGAGCAGGTCCATTCTCAGTTAAAGTAAGTGTATAAACCAGACTTGAACCAAACTTGCATTGATGAGGCATCTAATAATGCCAAACCTGCTTGGAATGCTGGATCTAACCTATATTTTCCAGATCAGTGAATCAAAGCCCTATTTTAACCAAATCAGCATGAATGTTGATATCTAGGAATAAAATCTACAAGACTTGCTTTGAATGCTGAATCTGTCCTACATTTTACAGATGAGTAACCAGGGTAATGTTTTTGGAGTAGTTCTATAATTATATGGCCTGTTAGGATTAAGCTTGCACGGACGATGCTTCTATGGTTGGACACTTCCAGACTTGCTTCAGATGTTGAAACCAAGTTTTTTTCTTGATTTGTGAACAGAAAGTTTTTGGAGTAGGCCCATTCCCAAGAAAACAGTCTTATTTAAACCAGACTTCATTGTTATTGATCTCAGGATGCACAAAAAATTAAAAATAAAAATATGTGAGATTTGCATTTTTATGCACCCGATCGATCCGGGTCATATATTGTTATTGTCCTATCTGTCTGGTTGTCTGTTTATCTCTTTGTCTGTTGTCAACTTTAACCTCTGCCATAACTTTTGAACTGTGAGAGATAGAGACTTCATATTCAGTGTTTTCCCTAAGAATCGTCTACTGGCCAAATTGACCACTTCAATTGACAAAAATGCCGCTTTGAAATAAAAATTTGTTGTTAGGTCCACAGAGATTTTGTTCATAAAACTCAGCCGCTAGCCTGTTACAACTTATCTCAAACCCTTTACTTCGAAATAAAGGGAAAACACTGCATATTTGGTATGCTTACTCCACTAATTCAGCTCTTTCGAATGACACCAAGTTCAATAACCTTGTGACCTTGACTGACCTATATCATTATGCTAAAAATAGCTTTGTCGACCTTTAGCCACAACTTTTGAACCATAGGAGATAGAGACTTCATATATGGTATGTTTACTACACTGATTAAGTTCTTTTAAATGACACCAAGGTCATGACCTTATGACCTTGACTGTGACCTACATGCTAAAAATAGCTTTTTAGAACTTTGTTCTGGCGGATGTATAGTGTTTCACAAACACATCATGTTAATACAGAAACTGTAACATTCACTGAGGCGAGTTCAAACTGTCTGGTAGCCTAAGTTTTTTTACAAACGGATGTTAAGTCATACTTTGATAGAAGTTAATATTCAATCAATTTGAGCTTTAAAGTATGTACCTGTAATAAATACTTTTGTGATGTAATCCATCATAACATTGGAAATATTCATGTGTTTATGGCTATGCAAAATTTTGCAATTTCAAGTCTCAATCAACTAAAAGATAAAAAACCCAAACACAATTTCAAGTGAAATTCCATGTGAAAGTCACCTGATATTAGACAATTTAATTGGAATGCAAATTATAAGACTAGTATGAAAATAAGGCCCCTTAAAGTAATTATATAAATGAAGTACATTCTATATGGTTGTAAATACCGTAAATAAAGTTTAATGATATGTTTTACAAATTGTCTTGCCTTTTCTTGTAGATCCAACAGAATATGGAAACAGCTTTTACAGAGATAAGTAAGTTAATTTGATGGATGTGATTACTTGTCAGTGATTTGATTACTGTAGACGTACTTTTTTCTACGGGGTCATAATTCCGCAGAATCTCAATTTCTGTTTAATCCGCGGGTAGAAAATTACGCGGATTTTCTAGATTGTCACTATATGCCTTACATTTGTATTCAGTACGCTTGGACAAATTTCCGCGGAAAATTTGTGTCCGCGTACATAGCGTAAATTAATACCACGCGGAATAAAGTACTTCTACAGTACCTGGTACTTATGATATGGATTTTCTATAATAAGAATTCTCTATATCTACAAGAAATACATTCTGACAATTACCCAAAATTTTAGTCACATTTTGAAGTAACTGATTTCACTTCAGAAAGTTAAACTGATTTAATTTTTGTTACAGTCCTCCTTATGAAACACTAGAAGATGCAATAAACGCTCGTCGTAGGAAGAAATCAGTCACACTTTACACGTCATTTGATTGGTCGAAACTTCCTCTTTATGAACAACGTCGACAGAGTGATGCACCATTCGATTCTCCTGAGATCATTACACATGTATACCGATGATAATTATCTGTACATCAAATCTCTGTCCAAACAAATCCTAAACAATTTAAATTATCGTCTCGTAATTTATTGAAAATTGTGATTGATTTTGCCAAAACAATCTATTGGTATTTTTACAGTTTAAATTGATATTCTGTTTGTTTTCTGTGTTTTTTACCATATTTTTTCATATACATTCTACCTATATCTATACAATTTCAAAGTGTTATGTTTATCTTTTTTTTTTAACAAAGAATTTTTACCATATTTTTTCATATACATTCTACCTATATCTATACAATTTCAAAGTTTATTTATGGTTTGTTAAAGAGATTTTTTTTTATTAGTTTACATGTTTTTACTGTTGACTGTGTTTCTGAACATATAATTTAAGTTATTAATGTCTATCAATTTTGCACATTGTCTTAGTGTAATTGCCCCAATCACAAGATGTATTGGCTTCTAATTCCCAATGCCTGATATTCATGTACATTTCAGTTGCTTTCACTTATAATTGAGCCATTGTTGTTATTTAACTTCAAATGTATGATTTAAAATTCAATGTATGAATTTGTTATATAACATTTTATTTTGTTTAATAATGTAAAAAAAGATTTTTTTTTCCTAAATTTGAACAATTTAGAATCTAAGATGTCTGGCCCAGTGGTTCTTGAGAAGAAGATTTTCAAAGATTTTTCCTATATATTTCTATGTAAAACTTTGATACCCCATTGTGGCCCCGCCCTTCCCCCGGGGGTCATGATTTGAACAATTTAGTATCTACACTACCCCAGGGTCTCAAGACCAATTTTTTTTTCAAATATAGGTCAAACTCAAGGTCCAGAACTGTTTTTTCAAAAAGGTCATATTCCAAGGTCAGTGTCATCAGATTAAAAAAAATGGTACTAAAGGTAAGGTCTTGTCACTAGAATTGCATATATGTGAAATAGGAAACCCCTGGAAGCAACCGTTCAAAGTTCAGACCTAAACTGCAGGAGGAGTTTTCTTTCAAAAGTATTTTACTGAAATTTCTACTTTAAGTAGCGACATGTTGCACCATCATGTATTGAAATTATAGAAACCAGTCAATGGATTTTTGTATCATAAGTATATGTGTTCTGTGCAACGTATTCTGAAATCAGCCAAAAACTGTAAGAGGAGTAGACTGAGTAGTATTTTGAAAGTATTTTATCAATGTATCCATACTACTACTGTGAAGATGGATGCCCCCCTCCCCCAAATCATATTCACAGGAAAGATAGGGCCAAGCAGTTATGTTGTTAGTCCCTTTAGACTTTATACTACATACACTGTAACTTACTATGGATCCACAAGTAGAATTGCAGCCTATCACCATGAGCATTGTCACTGTACAAACTAGAAATATGTCCACAGGACATGAATGCCCCGCCGAGATTATATCAGTAATGCAACATGAAAATTCAAATCTGTGTATGAAATTTCAGAATATCTTGAATAATGATGCAGTTGAATTGCTTACATCAGTATCAGCATATGATGTTCAACACTAATTTTAGAAAAGTGAGGTCAAGGTAAAAGGTAATGGCATGGTAAAAAAAATGTTGATGCTGTTGAAAAGCTCTCATCAATATGTATCAGCGTATGAAGTTGAAAAAAAATATGAATGGTTTCTTTTAAACCGACTTCATCAAAATTTGATAAAAGTGAGGTCAAGGTTAAATGAAAGATCAAGGTCAAAAATGTTGATGCAGATGAATTGCTTACATCAGTATGTATCAGCATATGAAGTTTGACACTAATTTAGGAAAAGTGAGGTCAAGGTCAATAGAAAAGTCAAGGTCAAATGTTGATTTAGTTGAATAGTTCTCATCATACGTATTAACATATGAAATTTGATTAAAAATATCTTTGAATGGTATCTTTAAAACTAAGCTAAACACTCATTTAAGAAAAGTGAGGTCAAGGAAAGGTCAAAGCCAAAAATATTGATGCAGTAGAATAGCTCTCATCAGTATGTATCAGCATATGAAGTTTGATAAAAAATATCTTGAATGGTATCTTTAAAACTGAGCTTAACACTCATTTAAGAAAAGTGAGGTCAAGGCCAAAAATATTGATGCAGTTGAATAGCTCTCATCAGTATGTATCAGCTGCATATGAAGTTTGATAAAAAATATCTTGAATGGTATCTTTAAAACTGAGCTGACCACTCGTTTAAGAAAAGTGAGGTCAAAGGTCAAAAGAAAGGTCAGGTTAAAAAATGTTGATACAGTTGAATAGCACTCATCAATATGTATCAGTATATGAAGTTTGATAACACTATCTAGAATGATATCTTTAAAACTAAGCTAAACACTCATTTAAGAAAAGTGAAGTCAAGGAAAGGTCAAGGCCAAAAATATTGATGCAGTTGCATAGCTCTCATCAGTATGTATCAGCATATGAAGTTTACTAACGCGTTATTGTATAGTATATTTAAAACTGAGCTAAACACTCATTTAGGAAAAGTGAAGTCAAGGTCAAATGAAAGGTCATGGTCAAAAATGTTGATGCAGTTGAATAACTCTCATCAATATGAATCAGCATATGAAGTTTGATAACATTATCTTCAGTGGTATATTTACAACTAAGCTAAACAATTATTTAAGAAGAATGAGGTCAAGGTCAGAAAATGTTGATGCAGTTGCATAGCTCTCATCAATATGAATCAGCATTTGAAGTTTGATGAAAATATCTTGGATAGTTTCTTTGAAATTGAGATTTGAACTGAGCTAAACGCAAAATGTGACGGAAGGACAGACCGAAGATGGACATGACAAATACTATATGCCCCGGCCATATTCATGGCAGGACATTAAACTGACTTAAAGTAGAATTCATATCACTCAATCCTTAAACTTTCAGTCAAAAGTTCATCATTTGAAATACATGTAAATCTCCAGTGGATTGTCATATGTTTTAAAAGACGCAGCTAACCAAGATTTTATGTACATGATCTACTTTCTTTTGGTATGTCAACATCAACAGTGTGACATCATCAATATTTATGCGTCATCAATTTGGATAGAAAATTAGAAATCATTTATAATTTCACAGAAGCATCTCAAAGTTTACTTAAAAGCAAAAATCATATCAGATAAATACAACATCTATAATTGTGTGATTTGATATTTGTTGATTCACTCACCAAGCCTCACTAATATACTCCCTTTCAACTCATTAGATAAAGCAAATATCAATTAAATAATATACAAAAACTCATAACAATATACCTATGATATATATCCGTCTGTTCATTAAATTTATGTAACTGGGGATCCAAAATAACTTCGCTATATCCGTGAATTTGCAATATCCGTGTTCTTACTAAACAAGTTTTACTGTAGATATATCCTCTGTGTGGAAAATACAGTTTTAAACTACCAAAATAAAAATCCTCTCAAATCATCATTACTTAATCAGAATGCTTTTAAATATCAAGAGTAACAAATTTCCTTCTTAATTTTTTTAGTGCATTAACTTTGTACTACATGTACATGCCTGTGGATAACCGTAAAATTTTACCACCAAGTCTACTTCAAAGAAACTTGCACCTCTTTTTCAAGAAAACAAATGCATTCAACATATCCTCTGCTTTAGAATATATTTATTCAAATATTATTTACTTCCTTTCCATTTAATTGATAATGGGAACCAATGCATATAAACTTACATGTTGAAGGGAAAAAAATTACTGTATCTGTAAAGATTCTGTACAATCGTATAAATGCCCTTATAACGGGTATTTATTTGAAAACATGAACAAATATGCTAATGCGTAATTGCACATTGTGATTGACAATAGTCAAAAAATATCCATATTTATGTTCTGTATAACAGAATTAACCAGCAAGTCTATCATTGAAACAGTACTGCTTCATCTCATTTCATCCCAAACCTTAAAAGAAAATGCATTTAAATAATTATGAAAATGTTAACTCAAATCTTTGAACACCTACAATATATGTTTAAAAGGAAATGACAAAAAGGTTAAGTTTTTTTTTCATGCATGAAAATTACAATTTTAGTCAACTCTTATCCAGTTTTCTCTTAATTTTACAAACTCTGATTCATTTTTGTTCTTGAATTAAGCTATTACTTTAATACCTGTAAAGTAGTAATTATATTTTTTATGAAAGATACATGGGTCATTCAAAGTTTGCTTTTAGTGAAGAAAAATAAAATTTTACTAGCATATTTCTTTTATATTCTTTAACTTATGTCAAGTACCTTTTTCAGCAGATGTACCAATATTTTTTACTTAATTGTTATGTAGCAGTCTGCTTTATAATTTGATAATACATTGTATATATACATGTACAAGACATCACTAACAATAAGGATTATAAACATGACAATTCTGAGAGAACTTTGATTCCAGACCTCTACCTTTACATTGATATTCTGTTATGCTTATACTCGTTTTTTGCAACACATTTTTTTCACATAAAATCACATTGTATGCATCTACATTAAATTTTATCATACGCTAATTTTATATGGGGGGGGATGGGAATTTTTCTATAATTTAACATAGCATACTATTTTTCAGCAAAATGACTAGAGATGAGTGAAAAATTGTCAGTAACGAATTCTAAGTTGTTTAGGGAAAATTAGCTATAACAGGTGTAATACTAAAAACAAATTTTAATAGCAAAATGGTTGCTATCAATAAAATAAGGATGAAACCATACATTTGTAAAATGTTTGTCAATAATATTCTCGATTAGGCAATAACCAATTTCTATGTACTGAACTTTCACCATTTGAAAACATATTCAGGTATTAAGTACATTTTTCTTTTATCACTAAATTTTACTTTTATCACTACATTTTAATTTTACAAGTACATAGCATTATTATAGTTGAAAGACATTGTAGTCACAGTGGGGGATTACAATATACTTATATTATACTAGAACAGGTATCTTAATTTTTTATCATCATTGTTTTTTTTAATCTGCCAAATAAAATTGTCAACCCAGAGACTTGTGTACAAATTCATACACCATTAACTGTACAGAAAAAGATACATAATATCACAGGCACAACATATCAAAGCAACTTTCCTGCAGTCCCGCTGGATATTCATAAGCAAAAAATATTAACAAAGTTGTTAAGAAAAACAAACTTAAGGTAATAACATGACACTGAAGCACAATAAATAATGTATACTTGCATCAGAGACAAACTTTTTTGACAATTTTTTAATTGGTCAAAAACCAAATGCAATTTAATAACAGATGAAAATGCTTTTTTTTCCCGATTCCATTGGTCAATATAATTCCATCTGAGGTCTGTTGCTATCTTTTCTTCTTCTCCATTTTTCTCTTTAATTCTTCTTCTTCTCTCCTAATGTCTTCCAAATCTTCTTGCAATCCAAGTCGTGCACTACAAAATTATAAGACTCATACAGAATCTTGGATAATATCACAAGAAGACATATATAGTTAATAACAACAAATCAAATGTTGCAAAAAATTATACTGCAGCTGAGGTTGAAAAATAATAATGCAGCAATAAACCAAGTACATCAGATCATTGTTCCTATGAATTTCTGCCGATCTTTCAGACAATGGTTTATTTTTGCTTACCTTCTGGCCTCTTCTTTCATCTGCTGAGCAAAGTTTGATTCCATATTGGCAATATCTCTATCACTTTCATACTTGTATCTGTAAATGGATGAATAATTGTATGAATGCATATGATCTTACAGATGGATAATACTACAGCACTCATCTTCAGCATTCATCTTTAATCAGTCTGCTTGTCTTTCTTCTACACCCTTGCTATACTGAGCTGGATTTTTGAAATGTTAGATGTCTAAATTATCTACCTTCAAGTTGATGAATTACAGATCAAGTCTGCATGCCAATCAATTCCCCTCCCCTTTATAAAAGTCAAAAAACCAAGTGGGGAAAACTGACAGGCATACACAGGGACAACCAACATATGAAGAGGAAACTAGCAGTTCCCTGTAGTGTCACCAATAGGAGTCAATATTTTAGATCTTGAGGAACATCAGAAGTGTCTGTTAATTAACTTACTTCCGCCGGTCATAACCGAAGATCTGTCGGATGTGTTTGGAGTAGTCCATGTCCTGAGGATGGTCCTCCTCGAGGTCGCTGCCCTCGTCAGTGATGAAGCCCTCCATCTCCTCATCATACTCACTGTCCTCCTCATCGCTCTCAATCCGACGCTTCTTCATCTCTACAATACGCAACAGACTAATGAGAGAGGATTGTTATTTAAAACTAGAAGTACTGTGAGAGACCTAAAGAATTACATGTATATTAGTGCCTCAAAATTTTAAGAATTTTTGCGCAATATTGGTCTAATCACTTTTTCTGTCAGTGACCTTGAACTATCCCAACTGACCTTGGTTCAAAGGTCAGGACACTCTCTGATCATATTTATTTATATCATTTCTAAGATTTTAACATTCTTTTTTTTACCAAATACTTTATTTAGAAAAGCATGCAAGTTAGTTTTTCCACTTATATAAGTTCCTTGAAAATCTTTGGTTCCATCCCCCTTCTTCAAATGAAAGACATTTAACCATCATGAATATGAACACAATCTCAGCCAGGAAGGACAACTCTTTAATTTATAATTTAATTCAAAAAGTCTTTAAATGAAGCTTGAAAATTAAACCTTTTCATGCAACTATTTTCATTATATGCCTCTCAATGTGCTTCAATGTTCTTTGAACTTCTCAGAAAGGTCTAATCAAAGGTAGAAATTTTTATCCCATAAAAGCATTTTTAGATACCAATGTTTATTAACATGATATGAAATTAGAAGTGATTGATGGAGCTTTGCAAAGAACCTTGAAGCACATTGAGAGGCATATAATGAAAATTGTTGCATAAAAAGATTTAATTTTCAAGCTTCATTTAAAGACTTTTTCAGAATATAAATTATAAATTAAAGAAATATTTTGATGTGAACCTTGAAATAAGGGTTACATGACATTTCCTTAACCATCATGAATATGAACACAATCTAAATTTTCAAATGACTAGTAAATATGGAAAGATTACACATGGTTTTTCATCTAATTAATAAACTGATTCTCCTTTGAAAGAAATCACATTAAAGAGGATTTAGGAATTTTTTAATCTGTGACACATTTATTTTAAACATCTATCAGGATATAAATATGGGTTGGTCACGAGATTAAATTCCATAAAGCCCAAAGGGCTTCATGATAAATTTAATCTCGTACCAATCCATATTTATAGCCCAATAGATGTTTTAAAATGATACCTTATTACTTGTATTTACATTTGTGGCTTATTCATACTTTATATTTGCCTGATCATGACTTTTAACGTGTGAAATGCGTTATTTTTCAAATCCAGCGGCATGTATGTCATCCATTGAACGCACGTCAACCCTTTATGATGTCACAGAGAAATTATGTTGAACGTTTATCCATACGCACATTTATGACCTCTTCACCCAGTACCTGTATTTATACAGTTATAGATACACATTGCTTTCAGTAGTGTTATATAAAGGAAAACATTTGCAAATGTAAATATTTTGATGTGAACCTTGAAATTACAGTTTTACATGACATTTCCTGATATCACATTTCCTGTATGCAAAGGAAAACATAAAATGTTCAATGGTTATATCAAAACAAGAACCGCAGTCTTTCTACCTGTTCTAGTGTTACTTGCATTTTTAGAATAGACTTGATTCTGTTTTCACAAACACCAACTTTAGATACAGGTTTCCATTAGTATATATCCTTGTTTCTGATCCTTTATATAGTAACATTAAGAGATCAGAGAACACTCCACTCACAAAAAAACCCCAGAGTTCAGAACTGACAAGCTGTTGCATCATTTAGATTTATCCCTTAAGGTTATAGTTTTATTACATTTTGTAAATACTATAAAAGTACTCCATACAAAAGTATATGATAGATGACAGGGCAAAAGTATTCACTAACTGTTAAAAGGAATGAAAAATATAATATACATGTATTGTAGTTCTTATCAAATAATTTTACCTGGTTTAGGATGGTTTTTCTTTATTTGTCCATAAATGCGATCAAATGGATTCAATGCAGCCTCTGGTTTAGGTTTTGGTGGTCCACACACTAACACATTTTCATTCTCGCTGTCGTAAGCTCTCCTTTTCTCGGCCGGTTTGTGAGACGTCTGTCCATTCATTCTCCCTGAGCTGGGAGAGCTTGTGCTACTCTTTGACATGGATGGACTGTCCACTCTTCGCTTCTTTGCATCAGAACTATTCTGTGGTCTGTGTAAAGCACTTGAGGAGGAGGATTTTGAGATCATTTGTGATGACGGTTTTGAATTAGAGTACACCTCCGATTTCCGTTTTAATTTTGAACTTATTTTGCTTGTTTCTGGTGAACTACTTTCGACTCCATTAATTAACAAGTTTTTAAGTTTTGGAGAACTGCGATCCTCCCTGTTTTCCCTGATACTTTTCTCTTTGGAATGTTTAGGGTTTCCATCACCGTTTTCTCTTTTATTTGAAGACGACTTGTCATTTATACTTCCACTTGAACTCTGAGCTTTTCCCACTGAGGACGATGACTTTCTCTGTCTACATGCCTGTTCTTCCATATACCTGTCCCGTTCTTCCTTTGTCATTAACCTATCTGTCTCTTTCCTTGGTTTATCCACTTTTTTCAAGCTCTCCATTGTCACAGGCTCACTAGCTTTGACTTGAGCTAGTTTCAGAAGGTCACTAAATCCCATTGGTGGAGGCATTTTCTTACCACTGTTATGTGCCTTGATTTTCTCACTCACAGAAGGCTTACTCAGTTCCTGTTTTCCAGGTGGTAAACTTGATTTGTTATTTAATTTATCTGAGATCTTCTCTTGCTCTGACAGTTTTTCACTTTTGTTTTTCTTTTCAGATTTCCTATCGAAGTCCTTACTACTCTTTGACTTCTCAGTCTTTTTTACCACGACTGGTTTCTCAGTTTCCACACCTTTTGCTTTTATTTGCTGCAACAGTCGAGCTCGTTTCTCTTCAAACTCTCTTCGTTTCCTTTCTACCTCTGTCTCATTTTTAATGATCTTCTTTTCAATGCTATCATATAAATGTGAACTTCTTTGTTGAGAGGATATTGCTGTAGGTTTAACTGTTGTGGGGTCTATTTTCTCACCCTCGCTATTACTTGAAGAATTTTTCAATTTATCTGACACTTTGTCTACATGGTTTTTCACTTTGGCATCAGACTTGTGTTTTTTCACCACATCAGATTTTCTGGATTCTGAGTTTTTTTGCAGAGCACTTTTTCCACTCAGAGCTGCTGTTTTAGACTTTGATGATGATGATGTTGAACCTGATAAAGTTGAGGTAGAACTTTTAATCTCATTTTTCTCTGTGGTACTCTCTCCTTTCCTGGGGATTCTGAATCTGTTTTTCTTTTCCTCTTCTTTTCTTCTTCTCTCCTCTTCTTCCTTTTCTCTCTTTAACTTCAGCTCTATAATTTGCAACATGTTAATGTTAATTCATCTAATGAAAATCATTTTTCTTTCCATCGATCAATAGCTACATGTACAGTCAAACCTTGGTTATTTTGAACTTGATAGATCCAAATAAAAAATTTTGACATTTGCCAAGGATTCCAAATATCCAGGGTAAAACACTTATGGAAAATTTGGTTGAGATTTCTAAATCACTTAGACATGTATATTCATTGTATTTGAGATAGGTGTTCTAGATACCAAATTTCAACTGTATATCATACGTCTACTGATACAAGTTTCTTTTTCTATCAGATTTATGATTTACATACATTCATGGAAAGTGAGATTGGGGATGAAAATAAAGCTCTATCCAGTTTGTCATGTTTTTCACAAGTACGTCAAGGTTCTGAGCCTTTTTTAGTCCCCTACCAATGAATACTGAGGGGACTATAAGTTTCCTCTGCGCCTGTCCGTCCATCCCCATGTCTATCTGTCAGTCTGTCCTACTTGGTTTTCTGTACCTTTTTTATAAACACTTGCAGATATGGGGCTGAAGTTTGGTATGAGTGTATTTTGATGAGTTATAGATCAAGTTTAAATGTCGTTTCGCTTCATTGATTTTTGACAGAATTATGGCATTTTTAATTTTTCATTTTTTAAGATCGCGGGTTCATGCTGCACTAAATTCCAAAGGTCAACATGGTTCATCATAATGAAGCGTGAAAAAAACGTTGAAAAAATTAGTTGAATTTTTGTCTTTAGGTGGATTATTTATTTAGATTAACTGCATGCACAACCAAAAATTTTAACATCAAGCAGTTTTACCTTGGTCATAACTTTTGCATATTATAAAATGACATCCTAAAGAAAAAGGGGAACAGGGTAGTTGACATGTATTGCTTATGCAATACTCTCAGAATGCTTGTTTCAGATATAACAACATTTCGTCAAAAATGTTTTTAAAACAGTGATTTCAATGGTAATGGTTTACATCATAACATTATTACAGAAGTTGAAGAAAATTTAATATTAACTGCTTCAGAATCAAATTAACTAACCTTTCTCCCTCTTCTTCCGTTCCTTCGCCTCTTCTATTTTACGTTTGATCCTCTCCCTTGCCTCCTCCGCTTCCCTTTTCTCCCTTTCTTTCTCCTCAATAAGCTTTTTTACGACCTCCGATTTTACCTCTTTATCTTTCTTTTCTTTCTTGGGAGGTGCAAGTTGAGTGCTGAAGACTTTCTTAACCTGTAAGACAATGTCATACTCAGAAGTGCAATGTCATACTCAGAAGTGCAAAATCATCATCACTCTTCTACAATATTTCAGCAAGAGTTCTTTCTTATTATCTTGTTTTACACAGAACAAAAAAATGGAAACCGACACTTTGAGGCTAAAATAGCGGAAGATTCTCATGTATGGATACAAAAAGGTATTCAATAGGGTTTGTACCTGATTTCCTTGTTTTGTCAATAATTTTTTGGATAATTATGAATTGATTTTCATCTAGTAATATCTTTAAAAATTATTTCTAAAGATATAGAATAAATTGACAACTCATGTTTCATCTATAATTAAAGCTTGATCGAGCTTAGTCAATGTACATTTCAGATTATTACAATCCAAATACTAGAGTAAAATACATTTATAACCATGATAACAGAGTACCTGGATTAGGTGATGTTGTTTCATTGTAAACATAATTTATAAGCAAAATCTGCAGGTACACACCACATTTACCTGTCTGAAACCATAATTGTACAGAGTTATAATCAGTAGAGAGATATTTGATGACACACTTCTTTAAAATAGCTTTCATAAGGTATTAAAGTCCTTTTTTTGTAATAAGATTTCACAAAAATGTTTAATCTTAAAACTGTTCAAGCCTAGGCTTTTCAGTATTATTAGATTTAGCAAATATGACCTGTTTTAAATGTGGAACATGTCACGTCTCAAGAATGATCAAATTTTTTAGGAAGGTGGTAATCTGTGATATTTTACACAAAACAGAAGGATTTGTTGGTAAAACTATGAGGTATTTGTGGAAAGGCTGATGAGAAGTCATGCATATGCAATTTATTGGTATCCGCACCTCATTTTGTTTGGCGTGTGTCGTAAATGTGTCTTGATAACTTGTTAATTAAACTATAAATATTTAATTTTTTAAAACAAGAATCTTCTGTAGATATGTAAAAGAATATGAAAACAATAAAAATCTATTCATATTGGCATTAACAAAATGAAAAAAAAAAACTTGTACGAAGTGTTCATGTTTTGTTGATACTTTCAATTATAAAAAATAAAATCCGCCCACCCACTCCATTTTTTTAGCAAATTAGGATGAGAATCTAAATTTTAAATTTATGTGGCCTAAATAGAAATATGGTAATAAATAATTTTCTGTTAAATTTTTGCTGAAGTGGAACATGTTTTCATGGCAATGGTACTCCTTTCCCTCCCCCTAGTATTGATTATGACATTTGATACCAGTAGTAAATTTTTTATTCAAAGTTGGTATAGAATGGTAATAACTAATATAGCCACTGGCACAGATAAGCAACATTTAGATACTGACAGAATTTTTCCCTTTATTTCTGTTAATTAAATATTCTACCCGAAAGGAAGTTTGTATATCCAAAATAAAAATCTGTCAACGTGGTGGTTAAATCGCATATTTTGACATTTTGACAGCATGTTATGTCAATAGTGATAATAAAGTTAAATACCTGTTTCGAGCTGGAATTTTGAGCTGCTATTGAGAGAATGTTCTGAAAGTCCATTTCGGTAACAGGACAAACTTTTGCCGCTCGTCAGACGGATAAACTACTAAATTTCTGCTTACTTCATCTTTACATCTTCTCCGATCTAATAAACAGGAAGAGGAACTTACACTGCCACCTAGGAAATAGTCAGTGTAGTGGTGAGAGAAATGTTTGAAATCAAAGCGAAATCACGCACGCAATCAAAGCGCATGTATGACACCGTTTTGTGTTAGGAAATCGGAAGTCAAAGGAACAGAAAGGAAAAGCAGAAGATTTGTTCTTTTTTAAAGGTATTTGTTTTCTGTTCGTTTTTACAGTGGTAAAAAATTGTATTTAATTTATTTTCACCAATTTATTGGCAAGAAAAATATTTTTCAGCCAATGTCAAGGTCAACATAACAAAAATTGCGGCTGATTTTTGCTGTTTTTTAATGTCTTCACAAATATGTTTTCTATCCTGAAAAATCCAACATTTAAATTTGTGTCAACCCGTTGTACTGAAAATTTACTGACAGTTAGCAGAGTTTGTTTTGGACAATCCTTCAGCATTTCTAATAAGAAGGATGATGATTTTCTCATGAATCCAGAGACTTTCATTTTGAGGAAAGCTAATCCAACTCCGTATAGTGTTTTTGTGGCTGAAAACATTAAAAGAGTTCAAAAGGACCATTCTGACAAAGTCAGAGAAAGATTGTCAGAGGAGTACAAATCGCTTGCAATTGGTGAACTTTTGAAGTATGAAGAAAAAGCAGAAAAACTTAAAAAAGACCAGGAGAGATATCGAAAAATGGTAGAAGATCTTCCACTTGAAGCTAAAGATGAATTACTTTTAAATGCGCTAGAGAAAATGGAGAAGAAAATAAAAACAAAAACTTTGAAAAAGACAAATAAACCCTCTCTGAAGCGTTTTAATGTACTCAGTTTGGTCACCTTAACAGAAGAAGATCTTCAAACCTTTTCTACTAAAGAGGGAGAACATAAAGGACTTAAAAAAATTGCAATCCGTCAAGAGAAATGGAAGACTTTGACAGAGGATGAGAGAGATAGACTCAGTCAAGAAGCTAATAGAATAAGAGAAGAAGATAAATTATCATACTTAGATGAACTTTCAAAATGGATGTTGTCTTTGATTGAAAACAAGGATTTTGATGAAATTTTCCCCATTTTAGAATTAAAGGAAGTGAAAATGGTTCTTGATCATTTAGCTGGAATTAAACCCACAAAAGCTAGATCTGCAAGGAATCTTTTCTTGTCATCAGATTTGGGAAAAGAACTAGGGGTAACAGTTAAAAATCAGTCAGAATTATACAACAAGCTTTCAAGAGAACAAAAGGGGACATTTGAAGAAATGGCCAAGAAGGAAAAGGAAAGAGCTGAAAAAGAAAGACTGCAGTGGCAAAATATGTTGGAACAAAAAGGATATACAAGGCTTATTCAAGTTTGGAAGGAACTGTGTGTGATGCATGGAAAGAAGAGTAATGTGCATAGTTAACAGTTGTATTATAGTTGTAACAGAGATATGCATCTATTTGCTAACAGGTTATTGTGCATAATATATTACAAATAAATTACATGATGGGGTTAAATTAATTAAATGTTCAGTGTTGTAGACCTCCTCACTTTTAATTTTTTTTTCAAAGTTGTTTGATAAACTATTTTATATAGAAACTTTTAAATTCAATTCATTAGGCTATGATTTCATAGAATTTTACCATGTTTACTGTCATTTAAACTAAAATATCAGTACTTGTTTTTGGAGTAGGCCGAGTTGGAATAAAATATCTGTAAACTAAAGTGTGATGAGTTCATATTTTTTTATGTTTATTTGTTGAAAAAGAATAAACCTGAGATGATGTGTATTGTGGTTTTTTGTCTTTACTGCAAAATAAAAATTGAAATCTTACTTCAGTGGCAAGGGGTGCTCAAAATGAATATTGTATCATATATTTCCAGTACTTCACAGGAAGTCTGTGTTATAATCGTACTACACTGTACAAGTACATGTAAGATTTGCAATGAGATAAAAGCCTTTTAATTGCACAAATGTAAATTTTAAAGTTAGGGTATCTTATTTCAGTCATATGGACACTGTATACCACCTTCAAATTGCTTGCAAATAGTTCCACCAGTTTCACAATCTTTTACTTGCAAATATTTCTCACAGCGAACTATTTTCTTTAAATTGTTTATGATATTATTTATAAAATTTCCCCAGTCGCCAAAATTTAGACATGTTAGAGAGGGTGACAGATTTAAACATTATTACTGAATAAATTAAATATTAATAAAATTTGTATTTTACAACTGCAAATAATTAGATTACTTAAAGAAATGATTATGTAGTCTTTGACTTGAGCAGAGGTGTTAAGTGATGAACAGAGGAATCTACCTGTTCACTGCCCTGAGTCAACATTGTCAGTCACCCATGTGTTACAGGGGTTAGAACTTTCATTTCAGAATTGAGAAGAAAGGAGTTGATTCTTGCTTTGAAGGTTCAAATCTCCCTGTCAAGGTGGAAACCAATGAGTACCATATTAACTGTGGGTTCCAACTTAGAAGGTCCATCAATTACTCATAGGCTCTAATAGCTGCAGATCTGTAGCATTATGGTTTTTAGCTCACCTGAGCCGAAGGCTCAAGTGAGCTTTTCTAATCAAAATTTGTCCGTTGTCTGTCGTCCTCGTCGTCGCTGTAGTTGTTGTAGTCGTCGTTGTTGTCGTAAACTTTTCACATTTTCATCTTCTTCTCAGGAACCACTGGGCCAATTTCAACCAAACTTGCTACAAAGTATCCTTGGGTAAAGGGGATTCAAGTTTGTTCAAATGAAGGGCCACACCCTTTTCCAAGGGGAGATAATTATGAATTAGAGAAAAATTAATGGCATTTTTAAAAAATCTTCTGGCCACAGGGCCAGGAAAGATGAAACTCATGTGGAATCATCCTCAGGTAATGTAGATTCAAGTTTGTTCAAATTATGACCCCCGGGGATAGGGTGGGACTAAAATTTCAAAGTTTTACATAGGAATATAAAGGAAAAATCTTCTTCTCAAGAACCATTGAGACAGGAAAGAAGAAACTCAAGTTTGTTCAAATCATGACCCCCAGGGGTAGGGTGGGGCCAAATGGCTGATAAAAGTTTTACATAGGAATATATAGGGAAACCTTTTAAAATCATCTTTTCTTTTCAAGTAATTCAAAGCCATGCTTAGTGAATATAGGGAATCATCCTTAGCCTAGGTAGTGTAGATTCTAATCATGACCCCCTGGGGGGTTAAAATTCAAGTCCCCCCAGTAAACTTTCAGTTCTGATCTGTTATGTGCATTTTCCTAGTCAATTGCTCAGGTGAGCAATGTGGCCCCTGGGCCTCTTGTTTTATATTTGTCTTTGACCATAACGCTACAGATCCTGTAATGCAAAAAAGGTGCAAATTACGGCGCAATATTTTTTGCGCACTTTTGGGGAGAATATCACCACTTTCTAGCATTGGTCAGTCAACTACCTTTCACTCCCTAATCCTAGGCACATTATTTGACTAATCTGTATATTTTATCTTTCTTCCAACCCTTTATAGTCGCCTCTACAAGTGATAAACTCGCTTAATTAAAATTATTTGTTAGGTTGCTGAAAATTCACTTCAAGGAAGTTTATTGCCTGTAGAGACAACTATAAATGTTTGGGAGGTGGATAAAATATACATTTTGGCTAAAGAATGTGTCTTAGAATTAAGGAGTAAAAGGTAGTTGACTGACCAATGCTAGTAAAAATTGCTGAATAAAAATAGGCTCACAATCCAACTGTAAATGGTGGCATCTAGTCATGAGTCAAAAAATTTCAAAGGAACACAGAGCAAAATCTTTTTTATAATACCAGCTGGTATAATTTGTTTAATCAAATTTATTCTACATTTTTTTTATTGATTTTCCATATGGAATCCATTGTAAATATGTGATGGAAGAATAATTTTTGGAGAAGGAAAGGAGGATTAAATAAGTACCTGTAACCTGGTGCAATGTATTCAACAATTCTGATTCTTTGCGGGTGCCCTAAATCACTCTGTCTGTCCGTCCGTCCGTCCGTCTGTCTGTCTGTCTGTCTGTCCGTCTGTCACTCTTCCGTCCACAAATTTTCTGTTTTTTTCTAATAACTTTTTTTATGGTTGCCCAATCAAGTTTAAATTTGGTATGGTAGTTTAATAGGCAGAAAGACATATTTTGATGCTAAGTTTGATTCTGTATGTCTTCTAGTTTGGAGCTGGGGTGGTGGGGTAGATTCTTGCTCATGACATCCATGCACTTAATTTGTCTACTGGTTGTCGGATATACATTTGAAAATTATTAATGTACATGTATTTTCACTATATGACCAATTGTGGATTTAAATATAAATTTTTATAATTTATTTTTGTTTGAACCCCATCATTAATACTCACGTAGCCTAGAATTTTCATGATATTTGAATATTGATTCATAATTGTAAAGCCTAATGTAAATACAAGAATATTATTTTCAGGTTTTTGAATATTCAGGAATTATGTTGAAATTTTAAGAATAGGGGTTAAAATACATGTTGCTGTTGCTTTATTCTAATTGTTTATGTACTCTACCCCATGGCGGGGCCCTTGCTGATATTTTCTAGTTTGTCTACTGGTTATCGGATATTTATTTTAAATTTTATTTTTAAAAAAATGTATATTCTTTTCAGAGACATTCAGTTGGAGATGTCTCAGGAGAAAGATGACCTTGACCTGAGTGACACGCCCCAAAACTTTGACCTTGACCAAGATGACTCCAGATCCACTGACACAGCATACTATGATGAACGACCCTCAGAACCCTCTACATCCTGTAACAGACCAAGTTCTTCTGAAGGTCCCCCGAAGAGAAAGACTACCACTCCCATTGAAGAAGAACTGGAAGATTATGACAACATCAAAGATGAATTTTCTTCTCCTGTCTTTCAGAGAAAAAAATTCAAATCCTCAGACACAAACAATGGTTTGGAATATGATTCAGATTCAGAAACACTGCTTCAACCTGGAAAATCATTCCTTGTGAAAGACACTAGTTGTGAACTCCAAATTCAGGATACTGCGAAATCAAGAAAGAGGCACTCAGATTTTTCTGAGGAAAATTTTGACAAATGTAACTTGTCTAAAATTTTCAAGTTATCACCAAAAGTGCCTAAGGAAGCAAAGAATGAAAAGGTTGTAAGGAGAAGGACAAATGATAGAAACATTGATCAAGGAAGCAGAGCTGCTGATAAATCTGTCCAAAAGAGTTCTTCTCCAAGGGCAGATACATTCAGAAAGAATTCACTTTCAACAGATGATTTTAAAGTGGTGGTATGTAATTTTAATTTTATTTCACCTGAAGCATGAAAATATGTAATATATCGTCAAATGCTTTTTACAGTAGCAGACAGGAATGATGTAAGCTGCATGGGGTATTTTCAATCTCGCAAGTTTGCCCTACAGAACAGCTCTTTAAGAAGGCTGGGATCAAAATGATATTTAGTTACAAAGCAAGTTTATGTACCAATTTGCTGACTAATATTTTTTTCCAGAGAGAAATGTTTCCAGACATAGAAGAAATCACAATTCAGAAAATCTTTGATGAATTACAACAATTAAATGGGGATGACATCCTGCAGAGAGTGATTGAATTTATTCTAACAACACAGGTAAGAATTTTTTATCTTAATCCTTTATCACTTTTGTATTTATATACCAGTACATGTATATTCTCAGCCCCAACCACTCCTCCTTTGCTCTAGTATCTGTGACTGACAGTGATAAACAATAATTGTGACAGAGCTGTTGATGATAATATTTTCTTTGTGTTAGTGATATGTGGACTATTTTTACCAGGAACTATCTTCATCATCATCACTGGGGAGGCAAACATCCTCACAAGACGTACAGACAGCAATGGGGAATCCTCGCCCAAATATTCTAAAACAAGGTAAGTGATATGGCAGTTGTAAAATTTATGTGCATATACTGTAAGCACTTTTGAAATTTATATGAAGTATACTTTCTGTAAGTCTATGAAAAACTTTTTTTTTTAGAATCAAGTTCATCACTTTCTGGACAGACAGATGACATGCCCATTTTACATTCAAGAACGAGAAAGTGGAAGAAAGGGTCATTTGCCTCTAGCAGCAAAGGAAAGGCACCAGCAGAGAAAATAAAAAATCAGCAGGTATGAAGAAAAAGTCACGTGAAAAAGACACAGGAATACAGCCGAACCTCATTATCTCGAACACCAATATCTTGAAATACATGTACCAGGGATATGTCAAACTTAAGATGCAATCCCAATAACCTTTTCTTATGTTTTAACCCTCATAACTGACTTGGACTGTAGTAAGAAATTCCTGAGATTGGTGACTTTGATGCATACTTCAAAAAAAGTTGCAACAAGGGGGTAGGGGGTTGGAGCTTTGATTTACTTTAGGGATGTCAACGAGTACCCGGTTAACCGGCTACTCGATCGAACGTCCGAGTATCGAATACTAAATCGGTACTCGGTTACTCGGATACGTATATTTTTAGGTTACCTGAGTAACTCAGGTGACCTATTGCTATCCGTCGTCGTCCGTCGTGCGTCGTGTGTTAACATTTGAACATTTTCAGCTTCTTCTCTGAAACCACTGAACCAATTTCAACCAAATTTGGTATACAGCATCTATGGGTGGAGGGGAACAAAAATTGTGAATTTCATGGTCACCGCCCCTCTGGGGCCTGAGGGGTGGGGCCAAAACCACTAAAATTAATGAAATTTATAAAAATCTTCTTCTTTACTCCTGGACATCAAGCAGGCAAACTATTGGCATGAATGTAATGAGCATTGAGTCCTCTACTAAAATTGTGAATTTTATGGCCCCAGGGTCAGGGGTTCTGGTGTTAGGGCGGGGCTCTATAGATTATATAGTGAAAATGCATTATTTCTTTGAAAATCTTCTTCTCTGCTCCTGGGTATTAGATTAACTAACTAAGCACATAGTTATGATGAGCAAGAGTGCCTCTTCCAGATTTGTGAATTTTATGGCCCCAGGGTCAGGGGTTCTGGCGTTAGGGCGGGACTCTATAGACAATATAGTGAAAATGCATTATTTCTTTGAAAATCTTCTTCTCTGCCCCCTGGGAATTAAATAAACTAACTAAGTACATAGTTATGCTTAGTAAAAGTGCCTCTTCCAAAATTATGAATTTTATGGCCCCAGGGCCAGGGGTTCTGGTGTTAGGGCGGGGCTCTATAGATTATATAGTGAAAATGCATTATTTCTTTGAAAATCTTCTTCTCTGCTCCTGGGTATTAGATTAACTAACTAAGCACATAGTTATGATGAGCAAGAGCGCCTCTTCCAAAATTGTGAATTTTATGGATTCTGGTGTTAAGTCAGGGCTGTATTGATTATATAGTAAAAATACATTTATTCTTTGTAAATATTTTTCTTCGCTTCTGGGTTTTAAGCCAATGATCCAAGTATATATATATTTATGATGAAGAAAGGTGCATCTAGCAAAGTGGTTTTTAATGCCCCCAGGGTCAAAGGGGGGGGGGGGGTTACATAGCCTGAAAATGAATTAATGCTTTGAAATCTGCTCTTTGGTATTAATCAACCATTTTATGATAAAATTTGCAAAATTTTGAAATATATGGCCCTGGGTCAGTAGTTCCTTTGGGGTGAGGTGCACAACTGGTTATAAAGTCTCTTTGTTTCTCTGATCTACCTCTGGGTATTAAGTAAATAGAGTAAGCATGCTAAGTTAATAATTATGATAAGCAATGGTGCCTCTTTCAAAATTGTAAATTGTGAATTTCATGGCCTCCGGTTTAAACACGAACCAAATTTAATTGTTTGAAAGTTGTTACACAATACTCAGGTGACCTATAAGGCCCGTGGGCCTCTTGTTTAATATTTCTAAGCTTATTTCTTAGTGCATCAAACAATCTGTTTTAAAACGTAAAATACTCATTACACTTGTACATACAGTAATTAGGGTTTCCCACTCCTCTAAATGACCGTTATCGCCAGTGGCAGTGTTTATACAGTAATTATTGTGACCAAGTACCTGTTACCTGGCTTTTCTCACCATTGGCTGTCTTCTATCCTTATTTTTTGATTAATTTTAATTATTTGTTTTCACTGAACATCGTTTAAGGTCTATTATGATTAAATAAATTTGACAATCTTGTGGATTCCGCAAGAAGCCTTAAAAATTCTCGAGAAAAGAGTCAGATGATATTGCCCGCACGATTGTTGATATGGTTGTGTTTGATTACCTGCCAATACAAATGGTTGAAGCCAAAGGCTTAAAAAAACTGATGGCCATCATTGCACCAAACTACGAAATACCGTCCCATAGAAAATCTATGATCGAAATGTGTACTAAAACCGTAAATCCGCTCTGTTAGGCGAACTTGATCAACTTCAAGTCAAACTGTACGACTGATACCTGGACGTCAAATGCAACAAAGAGTTACATTACAATATACGGAGCAGATTATTTTTTAAAACAAAAAATCTCTGAACCACTTATGATTTTATTTCTTGTGTTTATCTGATAAATAAATTGAACATAAACGATGTAATATCAAATTTCATCGGGCAGGAAGTGCTCATCGTTGTTACAAAAGAAATACACTAATGGGTAAACCTCCTATCAGAGTATGTGGTTTTATTTCTACAAGAGTTTACAATGTTTTATATTCATCAATTTACTTGTTCATATTTATTTACACTTTTACCGAGTACCCGGGTACTCGATCGGAAAATCGTCCGAGTAACCAAGTATTAAAAATTGACCGATTTGACATCCCTAATTTACTTACATTTGCATTTTGCTTTCACATCTTACAGTAAGAGAAAAAGAATTACAGGAGATAATAAAAATGCTAATATTTATATTGAAGATTTTTTGTTGTTGTGAAAACCATGTTTGGGTAAGAAAATTTCATTCACCTGCACTCATAAAAACTGCATGCAATGGTATAATAGCATAATCAAAAGTTGAGATAGAAAATGAAGCTTCATCTTATGTCTTCATTATTACAAGAACTACACATGTATGTTTTTAACAGGTATCTCCTTGTCAATCTGATGTTAATATGATGGAAATGGATGGCTGTGTTGACAATAATTATAGTTATTCTTCAGACAGTGATGTCATATTGTTAAATGCAACAACAGAGAAACACCCTGTCAGCTTTGCAGGCAAGTATGGAGTATGAAAAGACGCATATCTCCAAAATATTTTTTCTCCTTAATAAATTTACCAGTAAATGAAGAAAGAAACATATAGATAATCAAGCATTTAATTCAGAAGTTTTGGAAATTTTACAACCAAGTTCAATCATAAAACTCAAGTATTTTGATAATTTTGTAAATAAAATACTGTATGTTATTGTCTGTTATAGAGGTGTCCTCCTCCCAGCTAAAGTGTGATGGGTGTAACAAGAGTCACGACACGACGTTCCTCAGTCAGTGCTGTAACGATCATCTCGTCTGTAAATCCTGTGTCGAAAAGCAGGTCAAGAAGGTTATCTCCCCTGACAGTCAAGAGGTACAAATTAAAAATAATTGTCCAGATTCTTACATTGGAAACTACAGGTCTTCTGTCTTGGTATAATCTACAGTTGTCAACCTCCATCAGTGTGGTTTGCTAGCAAGATCAGTAGCTACCATAATTATACCTTTTGAAGGATTTAAAAAAAAAACAAAAAAGAAACTTAATATTATTTTTAAAAAGATTGGCAACATGACAGTGAATGTATTGGTAGACTGTTGGTAGTTGGTAGATGAAAGGAGGGAATAACATTTTTAAAGTTTTACATGCATGTCCACATTCATGTAACATGTAATGATAGGCTGTTTGCAATTCATATTCTATTTTTGTATTACTCACCAAAATTTAATAAGGATTTGATAAACTGTTGTATTGTGTGTCTGTAAACGATTTATGTTTTGAATAATTTACAAATAATTAATAGTAGCACTGAAGACTCAACAGTATTTTTTTCATTTTAGACACAGATTCCATGTCCCATCAATGGTTGTGAAACATACATTCCTGAAAGTAAGTTAATCATTTTACTTTCATATTTCACTCTATGTATTACACTACCAAAAAATGAGTTAATAATACCTGATTTATTTGTAAAGAGTTATTAACATTTTGTTTGAAGGCCAGGCATCTAAAGTATTACCACCACTGATCATGGAACTTTTGGAAGAAAAAGTGAACAAGAAGGCATTGGAGTCAATTACAAAAATGGAGGATTTTCACAGGTTTGCTCCTTACCCAGTGTACATTTATGTTTTTTTTACTATTCAGGTGCAATCTAATTAAAATTAGATGTTAGATCCGCTGGCATACTTGCTACAATAACATCTAACAACATCCCAAAGAGTATCACGTCCGAGGTCAAATTCAGAACAACTCTAGACTTATTCGCTTCATCAAATATACAAAGATTTTGCAGTCAATGATTTGATTGGTTTATATAATTTGACATCTGACGTGAAACTCAATGGGATATTGTTAGATGTTAGTGTAGCAAGTATGAAAGTGGATCTATTAACATCTAATTTAATTAGATTGATTCACGTGTGGCTCTCCAGATACATTTATTAAGGAATAACTGTCATATTTTTCGAATTCATGAAGTGATCAATGGATTGGCTTGTGTGATAATTTGCATAAACGCCAAAGGCGTTTATGCATAAAATTATCACACAAGCCAATCCATTGATCATCTTCATGAATTCGAAAAATATGACAGTTATTCCTTATATTTACATGCTTTGATTCCGCCAATCCACGGGCTCCAAGCCTGCTTCTCTCTAGGTGTTGTCCCGCCCTGCACGTGGTTTTTTTTGGAACCGCGCCAAAACATTCATGAGGAAATCAATTACATTTACAATTGGTAATTTTATCTCGGACAAAGACATTGGAAATGTAAATATAGGGGTTGTACATGCAAGTTTAAAACCTGTTTTGTAATATGTTTGAAATGTGTACACTACACAGATATTCCTGTCAGTGAGCATGTTTACCTTTTCAGCTTCCATAGGTTTAGTTCATTTAATATACATGCTTTTATACGGTATATCTAGTTTCACTATGGTTTGTATTATTAATAAAAGTTAATACTTTCACCTATTTCATATTAAGAAATTTAAGTGGATAAGTTAAGTCTTGTCTTCATTCAGCTCAATGTACATTTTCTGGTATATCGGTCAATTATCATTTTCTGGTACATTTCTACCCTTCAGCTGTCCATTTTGTGAGTTTCCTGTTGCTGTTGACCACGGATTGAAGAAATTTTTATGTCCCAACCCAGACTGTGTGAAAGTAAGTCCACTGGACAGGTGTTTATGTTAAAATTTCAAGAATTCCCATCCATCAAGTTGCTAAAGTATACATGTATAGCAGTAAAGCCAAATTCACACTCATTAACAACATTGCAGGGCCCCACTTACTAATGCATACAGCATACATAGAAAGAATGTTCTATAATCAGATAATAAATTGCTAACAGTATGGGGCTAGCTAATATTGGACCATTTGTGTGTTATATGATTTCAGTTCTTTAAATAAAATGTTTTATTACAGTTAAGCTGTAAATACTGTAAGAAGCTATGGAATGAGAAAGACCACAAATCTTGCACTGCTTTCATGACTTTGTCGGAGGAGAGTAAAGAACATCTGGAACTGCCCCGATACTGGCATCCAATGCCAGACGAACAACAGGTGGGTCTCATTAGTTGGCCATTTCAAAGTTTGCCAAGTTCAAAATATCAGAGAATACTAATGCTAACTGTGAATAGTTAAATAAAAATTTTAGTTTAATTATTTATTTGATAACTGGTAAATTCACTTAAATGTTAAAATTTTCATGTAAAAAGGAGATGTAAATTTTAATGTGCACATTGTTACAAACTTGAATTCAGTGTTTCATTTATTATGTATTAATTATGTTTTACTTCCATTTAATCTAAAAACTAGCGGCCAAAAAGATTCTAAAAATCTACTTTGTGTATATTTTTAATAGCAAGAAATTATTTTGAAATTTTAGGATTTTATCTTGGTTGAGTTGGATAGACAAGGAAGGGAGTTTACTCTGATTAAAGATTTATTTTGTTCATCAATGCGTCACATTCATCCTATATCCATACACAGAGTTCAAAATCCAAGGTTGTGGCAAAAATTTAGTCTGTAAGTATAGGATGAGTTTTATTTATACAAGGAAGAACTAACTGTTGATAAATTCAGTAATTTTACTTCTTTAAGGTCATACGCAACGTAGTTTGAACTCTAATGGGCTCTTCCCTGGAGTTGAAGAGTTCCACTAAATGAAGGACTTGTGTGCAATATTTTAAATTTCCATATGTGGATTTGTACACCTCTTCTAAAACAATTTTTGATGATAAAAATATCTGGAATTAATGTTTTGTAATTTTTGTACATTTTTATTAGGTCACCTGAGTAAACTCAGGTGACCTATTGCTATCTGTTTTCGTCCATCGTCGTGCGTTGTGCGTTAACATTTGAACATTTTCAGCTTCTCCTCTGCAACCACTCAACCAATTTCAACCAAATTTGGCACAAAACATCTATGGGTGAAGGGGAACAAAAATTGTGAATTTCATGATCCCTGCCCCCTGGGGCCTGAGGGGTGGGGCCAAAACCACTAAAATTAATGCAATCTTTAAAAATCTTCTACTTTACTCCTGGACATCAAGCAGTCAAACTGTTTGCATGATTGTAATCAGCATTGAGTCCTCTACCAAAATTGTGAAATTCATGGCCCTGGGGTCAGGGGTTTTAGTGCTAGGGCGGGGCTAAATAAGTATATAGTGAAAATGCATTATTTCTATGAAAATCTTATTCTCTGCTCCTGGTTATTAAATAAACCAACTAAGTACATAGTTATGATGAGCAAGAGTGCCTCTACCAAAATTGTGAATTTTATGGCCCCAGGGCCAGGGGTTCTGGTGTTAGGGCGGGGCTCTATTAATTATATAGTGAAAATACATTAATTCTTTGAAAATCTTCTTCTCTGCCCCTGGTTATTAAATAGACTAACTAAGTGCATAGTTATGATGAGCAAGAATGCCTCTACCAAAATTATGAATTTTATAGTGCCAGGGTCAGGGGTTCTGGTGTTGGGGGGTCTATTGATTATATAGTGAAAATACATGAATTCTTAGGAAACTTTCTTCTCTGCTCCTAGGTATTAAATAAACTAACTAAGTGCATAGATATGATGAGCAAGAGTGCGTCTACCACAATTTTAAATTTTATGGCCCCAGGGTCAGGGGTTCTGGTGTTAGGGCGGGGCTCTATTGATTATATAGTGAAAATACATGAATTCTTTGAAAATCTTCTTCTCTGCTCCTAGGTATTAAATCAACTAATTAAGTGCATAGATATGATGAGCAACAGTGCCTCTACCACAATTTTGAATTTTATGGCCCCAGGGTCAGGGGTTCTGGTGTTAGGGCAGGGCTCTATTGATTATATAGTGAAAATACATGAATTCTTTGAAAATCTTCTTCTCTGCTCCTAGGTATTAAATAAACTAACTAAGTGCATAGTTATGATGAGCATGAGTGCCTCTACCAAAACTGTGAATTTTAGGGCCCCAGGGTCAGGGTTTATGGTGTTAGGGCGGGGCTCTATTGATTATATAGTGAAAATACATGAATTCTTTGAAAATCTTCTTCTCTGCCCCTGGTTATTAAATAGACTAACTAAGTGCATAGTTATTAACAAGGGCCCTAATCTTCCAGGATTGTGAATGTCAAGGCCCCAGGGTCAGGGGTACCATAGAGGCAGGGGGGGGCGGAGGCTGTACTTATATGCTGAAAATGAATGAATTGTTTGAAATCTGCTCCTTGGTATTAATCAAATATTTTTGAAAAGCAAGGATGCCTTTTCAAAAATTTCGCAATGTATGGATCTAGGCCTAAGGGTCTGGGTTCGTGTGTGGTAGGGGCATTACTGATTATTGCTGAATATTACTGATTAGTTGAAATGCATTTTTGTTCCTCTGCCCTGCCTATGGGTATTAAGTTACCAAACTAATCAACTGCTAAATGTATAGTTATGATCAATGGTGCCTCTTTCAAAATTGTGAATGCCATAGCATCTGGCTTAAAACATGAATCAAAGTTAAATAATGCGAAAATTTTCAAAATTCGATATCTTTTCAAAACCCCTGGTAACGCATGCTGATTTTTTGTCTGAGAACATGTAATGATATTATAAGTTTAAATTTAGAATATATTGGAAAATTATCAGTAGGTAAGGTACGTTGCGTATGTCCTTAATTTGTAATTATAATTCATTATATCAAGGAGTCAGTGTGTCACCCTAGTGACTCAATTCCTCACTGAAAGAAACTTGTTTAAGTATGTTTTGTGTTGCAAAATATGTCTATGCTTGTAGGGCTAGAAAGCATATTTCAGAGGAGTTTGGTCCCAATATGGTAAATGAGCAGCAGTTATTTCATGGCACCAAGTGTGAGGCTATAGAGGCAATATGTAGATCTGGTCTGGACTGGAGGATGTGTGGTGAAAATGGGGTGGCCTTTGGACAGGGTAAGATGTGGATTTCTAAAGGTGTACTCCAGTCATTTTAAACATGTACCCAACTACCCATTACAAAAGATAAGACTGCTTTTTTAGAATGAATAAATTTCCCACTCCCAACTTTTAGGTCTTCAAGACAAAATCAAATTGCATTATCTTTTTCTTTTCCCTTAACCTAGTCTTCTGTATGTTTTCAGGAACATATTTTGCTAAACATGCAGAGTACTCAGATGGATACTGCCAGCACTTCACTGGTCGGCTTGTTAACCCAAGTAACCCCTATCAACCGTTGGGATTCAGTTTTGGTGCGGCTCCTCCCGCTCACTTTAGTTATGCAGTCGCTCCCCCTCCTTCTGCTCAAATCGTTCCTAAGCGAGTAGGAAACAGTATATATTTCATCACAGTACAAGGAACTGGAGGACAACAACAACAACCCTCTTCTGGCAGCAGTGGAGCCTCACAAAACCCAAATGCACTCAGTGGAATAGGAAGTCAGACTGGATTCGGCACAATCACTTACGGAACTCCCTTCGGAACAGACCAGCCTGCACAAACTTCCAGCAAACCCAAATCCTCTACAGCTCAAGACAAGCCTAAAGTGATCTCCGATATCAAACAGATACTGAGAGAGAAACACAAGTACATGTTTGTGGCCCGTGTTTTGGTTGGACGACCGGGTCAGGGACGACCGGGAATGAGAAAACCCCCGGAGGATCCCGCCGATCCCAAAGGGAGGCCATTCAATTCCTGTGTTAATACTCCACATAAACCCAGTATATTCGTAATCTTCGACAGTACTCAGTGTTATCCTGAATATATCATCGAATATATGCATCTCACTTCAAATAGGTAGTATTTTGGTTGTGAGAATGGATTCAAAAACTCTTCTTAGGATGCTGATTGTTTTATCATTATGCTTTTTAGTTCAATTTGCAATGAATGAATTTACAATGTTTTTGTTACTGGTATTTAGTTACTGATGTTAGTTAACCAATAAAGAAATACAGTTTTAAACAACCTTACTTATTTTGCAACACAGTAAAACATGGAAAGAGTACAATTACAAATTTGGAAAGCGTAAACTGTTCAAAACAGTTAAAATTTATTCCATCATTCTTAAGGGACTCTGACCCTCAGCTAGGAAGGACAACTCTTTAATTTATAATTTAATTCAAAAAGTCTTTAAATGAAGCTTGAAAATTAAATCTTTTCATGCAACAATTTTCATTATATGCTTCTCAATGTGCTTCAAGGATCTTTGAACTTCTCAGAAAGGTCTAATTAAAAGTAGAAATTTTTTTCCTGAAAAAGCATTTTTAGATACCAATATTTATTAACATGATATGAAATTAGAAGTGATTTATGAAGCTTTGCAAAGAACCTTGAAGCACATTGAGAGGCATATAATGAAAATTGTTGCATTAAAATATTTAATTTTCAAGCTTCATTTAAAGACTTTTTGAATTAAATTATAAATTAAAGAGTTGTCCTTCCTGGCTGAGGGTCGGAGTCCCTTAACTGCCTCACTCATAATACAGTGTCTAAATTATGTTTTACATTGTGATGGCTGAATGAGTGGCCGTATTTTATGGTATCAAAGAAGGCTTACTTTAAGCCTAATACTGTAAAAAAGGACAAGATAGGGAAAGACCAGTATTTGGCCCCCGATTTTGGGTGTCTTTCAGAATGATCCAACAGTTTATCTATGAAAACCTGTTTTCACCCCTGCCACAAAATGAGTATTGGTTTTAAGATTTAGAATACACAGGGGTCACAGTGAGGTCAGGAAATAGGTCAATTTTCGAAATTTCTCATTTTATGCAAATTTTCTTTAATTTTACAGCACATTTTCTTTCGGAAAACATAGAGCACACGCTTGCCTATCTACCAAATTTATATATTTTATACACTGATATGCAGTATATGTGTAAAAATCTCAGATAGGCAAGCTTGTACTCTATGTTTTCCAAAGAGAAATGTATCCCAAATATAATGAAATTCCACCAGAATTGAGGAAATTCGGGAAAATGTCCTATTTCTGCACCCTCTAGTGGCTTCCATGTGAGCTTTGAATCAAAATTAGTGCTTGTCTTAAAGTTAGCATCATTTTAACTTCTTTACTACAAACTATCACAATTTTACCAGTGTTCTGATTTTTATATCAAATAAGGGGCCAGATTCGTCTGTTACCCATCTTGTCCTTTAATTGTAAGATTCACCTACTTGATTTAAAATCACATCAAGACAATGTGTTTACCTCTTTATTTATTATATGCCCAGCAACATACATGAATTTTAAAAAGCACATTTGAAATAAGTCTCATATAGGGAATTTCTTCCTCCATGGTTACTTGCATACATTTTCAGGTACCGGTAGTTACTACCGGAGTTCCACTTTCATTACATATTCACAATCTAAGGTGGCTCTGGAATTTCCAGGAAGTAGTTTCAAAACTTAGAGCTCTGTCATAAGCCTGGAACTGCAGGTGGTAGCACCTGCTAGCTTTGTTCACCTGAGTTCCACCTTCATTACACTGGCTACACACAGTCTGAGGTGACTCTGGATTTTCCAGGAAGTTTCGTAACTTAGAGCCCTGTCATAAGCCTGGAACTGCAAGCGATAGCACCTACTGACTTTGTTCAGTTCTACACTGTGGAATCTGTCCAGGAGTTCTACACACACGACAAGATCTCCACAAACTTCTCGAATTACAGATAAAAAATCAGCTTCATTGAATGGAAGCTGGCTGTTCTCCCAGAAACTGATATCATGGGAGAATAGGAGGGGATAGAGACTTATGGTTGGGAGGAGAAGTGGGGGGTCAGAACTCAATATCCTCTGATAAACCTCCACAACTCGACTGTCTACTGACCACAGTAATCGAATATTTGGCAGTTGGAACAACAGAACTGCTAATTTGTCCAGATTCAAAGAGAATATGTCATATACTGTGTCATCTTTTGTATGAGAAAATACATGTCCTATTTCATGAGAGATTTTCTCATTAGTAAAATGGGTTTCTATATGAATTTGAGTATCTGATATTTCAATTTTGCATGTTCCATTGGATATACCACCTAAAAATTCATTTACATTTTGAAAGAGCATTGAATCACTAGGTGAAGGAATACACCCAATCATATAATGCATAACTGGGAGACACTCCAATTTAACAGGAACATCCACAAGTCTTTGGAGGGAACATAAGGTGGGATGCCCCAATAGTAATTCCTCGGGGAAACTCTGGTGACCATTCTGTTGTGGTGCCCCTAACGTGGATAATTTTGCTTCCTGTTCATCCTCACTACAGTTTTCTGGAATCTGACATTGACAGTAAGAGGGTTTCCTTATTGTAGGATCCCAGACATCCTCAACAATCTGGAAGTTAATCTTCTTGTTTAGTTCTTCTAGTTTTTGTGAAAGATAACACACTGGATTTCCATCTTCCCTGTGCAGTTGTCTAATTAAGAAATAATGGTCAGTTTCAATAGTTTGTTAGGTGTTTGTTTTTTTAATTAATTTCTTTTGATGAGTATACAACAAAGAGTAGTAAACATATGATTTGCCATAATTTTAAGCATGACATAAATTTTCCTGGCAGTGCATATTTAAGTCTCAAAAAGGCATTATTGTAGTGTATCTATAAGATACATTTATATGCTAATAAAATATTATACGGTATGCATATCTTGAAATTAAATTAAAAAACCAAATAACTAGTACCTTGATATTTTTTGTTGTACATATTTATTACAAGGACAGGTCATTTTGTGGTGCTCTATTATGTTCCCGTCTGGGATGGGGATGGGTTCAGTACGAACAAAGATGTGTGTTAGAGCTCCCTCTGTATTAAATCCCTTGTCTTGACTCCTGAACACAAACAGAAAGGTACAAGTTTAAAATTGATATGTGCATGTTCACTGAAATGAATACTGCATAATGGGTAATTTCTAAGGTTGTCTATTTTGGGCAGAGTTTCATTCAGTCAAAATCACACAAAAAATAATTCTTAAGTACCCTATTTCAAATCAATGACATTGCAAATATAATGAAAGGAAAAACAGATTTTTTTTTTTGAAGGTTCACACTGCAAAAATTTTGAACCACAAAAATTACCCTTCACACATTCTGTTGAACACTTTATGGAAAGGTCTAACAAAGGCATTTTGTCAGTTAATTGCCCAATTAACTAAATAAAATAATCCCATGAATACTAATATACATACCTAAAGCCTGTAGATGTGTACTCGGAATGTTTGTCAGCATGAAAAGGAACAATTTCTTGAAGGACTAAATTAGCACAAGCTGCCATGGCAACCACCTGCCAACTGTCAGGCCATTTTCTGCGGGGGTTATCTGCCGGAGTCCCACCCTGTCCTTTACACAGAGTAACGTAAATCTCACCTCCAACATCCAATACTTCAACAGCACTAGAAATAAAAAAAAATCTTGTAACTCGAAAATCTTTGTGAATTCTATTAGTGACAGTAAATTTAAATATTTTTTTCAAGGTGTGCACCTTATTTTCTCCCTTGGAGTGTAAAGTTTATTTGCATATACATGTATGTTGTCTAACATCCCTCTTGAGAATTTTTTACTCATTTGGAAACGCCACCACTTAATTCCATGAGGTCAGCCAGGTTCGATCGCCCGTGCCAGATAGCTCAGTTGGTAGAGCACCTGACAAGAGTTTCAGGGGGCCCGGGTTCAAATCCTGGTCTGGTCCGCTGTATTTTCTCCTCTCCTGTTACATTTGGTGCCATGTCACCAGGGACTAACAGGTGAAAGACCTGCCAGGAATGAGCCTGGGTTAAGGTCTTTGGAGGGCCAAAGACCTTTAAGGAGAGAGGAATGTGGCGGTCAGCCGGGTTCATTTGCTGGTGGCCAGATAGCTCAGTTGGTAGAGCACCTGACCGGAGTTTCAGGGGGCCCAGGTTCAAATCCCGGTCTGGTACGCTGCATTTTCTCCTCTCCCGTTACACATGTAATTATTTTATTTTTAAAATTTTAGCAAAATTTAAAAGAAATATTTCCAGATTAAAATCTCACAGAAGAAGATGTTAAAATCAAATTAATACAAATTAGGATTAAGGAGGACTTCAACACACCTGGAGATGAAATCTTTCAATAGCTTGCGGTTTTTCTTGTGGTTTGATTTACCACCCGCATGTGGGAAATTGAAGATGATTCTACTGTATTTCTTAGTTCTTATTTTTTCCTGGCTTATAAGGTGAGTAGCATCTGTGTTCAAATACACATTTACACCTGTAAAAATTGTTTTTAAAAATTAATATATTAATTTTATATAGGTATAGCATCTATTTGTAGTTTTTAAAGAAGTCAAGTGAAAATATCTTGAACTTGAAGAGGATATCTGAAACAAATTACAAACTGAAAGTTAATGAAAAATGTAGGGTAGAGGTCCAAAAAAATGCCAAGGCTTCAAATTCATAGTTGAACAGCATGTATGGTTTTATTCTTGGCACAAAGCAAGTGTAAAAAGTTTAAACTCAAGTGATTAAAATGTTAAATGGTATGTTGAACCATGTAAGTACACAGTACACACCTTGCTGTGTGAGCCACTTTATGTTATCTGATGCACTCTTGTGTTTCAGTATACTTGACTCTGTCTCAAGACTGGTAGACGTGATATTTCCCCACAAAGTCTGAGGTAGGCAGTCCAGAAGAGATACTGATAAGGAAAAATCCCCCTCCCCTACCAGAAGTAACTGGCCACAGAAAGTCCGGTCCATGTGTCGTAATTGGAAGTTGTTAAAACACTGTAACAAAAAGACAACGAGTCATATGATAACTGATAAAACACATAAAAGATCAATTAAACTCGCGTACTCGTATGTTACACACAGACACAAATAATTAACATAAAATGTAAAAGCTGTAACTCAACTATCCTGTCCATCAGGCAAATATTTTACAGGTAATATACATACATTCCAAACAGTTCGGTGCTCGCAAAATTTCTTCCTCAATTAATATTCCTTTATGAAATTCTAAAAACATTCGTCGTGATGCGAGTGTCAACAACGTTACTTTCACTTTCGTTTTACATTGAATAACTCGTTCATAAAATAGTCGGCTTAGATTTCAGTTTGTGCTGCGTTAACTTCTAATCTTCTATAAAGCAATTTGTCCACTCATTAATATATTTCATGTCAAAATGTAAGATATTTAAATGGTAATTTTGGTTGTAGTACATAAGGACATCTGAACAAGTGCTCTTTTTGAACTAAGGGGAGGACCCTGTTTGAATCTGAAGGGGATGGTGGATGGAATAAATAATCTACTCTCGATAATATTGAAAATAAAAAATCTGTCCTCAAATGGACAAGAAAATAAATAATCAATCCATGATCATGGCACCCCCAACCCCGGATTTTGTTTTGTTTGGACTTTGATATTTGTTTTTTATGCTCCCGTAATCAAGGGTTCAGGGGGTTTATAGTTTTGCCCTGTCTGTCTAGCTGTTTTCTTGTCTGCAGACACTTTAACCTTGGCCATAACTTTTGAGTGAATGGGGCTATGACTTTCATATTTCACAGGTGTATATCTTTCTTATGGTACCACCAAATTTGACATCTTGACCTTGGAGTTTGACCCACTTCTAACAATTTTTTTAAAATTTTATCCTTTCATAGAGCTTTCATACTTGACATGTGTATTCATTGTGACAAGATGGGTATAAATATTTTTGATCTTTTGACCTTGATTTTACAGCTTAATTGACCCACTTAAAAAAACTTTAACCTTGGCCATAACATTTGAACAGTAATTACAGGTGTAACCTTCCTCTGGATATCAACAATTTTGACCTTTTGACCTTGACCATGGAGTTTAATAGGGATGTGCGATTTTATCGGTATACCGGTATATCGCGATTTTTTGATGCATGATACGTATCGTGATATGGAGACCTAAATACCGTTTTTAGGTATATATTATAAAGTCCAGAAATTATTCATTTATTCGTTTAATCTTTTCAAATTACAATTACAGAAAGTATAAAAATGTTGTAAAACGTGAAAAGAACGGCATCTTATCGTCCAAACATAGTTGATTTTATATACATGTACATAAATATTTCAAGAAAATAAAATTTTGTTTTTCAAGCAAATTTTTTAGGAAAATAATGACTTTTCATATAAAATCATTGTAAAAACTGCTTTTAAAAATATCATGATTTGATCGTGATATTGTGGGAAAAAATCGTAATATATCGCGATACGAAATTTTTTGGCGATACCCATCCCTAGAGTTTAACTTGCATTTGAGAAACTTCAACCTTGTTATTTAAGCTGTCATACACTGTAAGGCATAAGCATGTGTTTACCAAACACTACTTGTTGACTACTATGAAATGTACATTGAAATAATCAAACAAGCAAAATTCAATATACACTCACTGTGCATTAATCATTTAATTTTCCAAGGCATTCAAATAGAGACGTATAAACATATGTGAATGATATATAAGTCTCTGTTCAAATATAAATGATATCACCATCATAACATACTTTATACATAAAATAAATCTTAAAAAATTAAAATATATCTAGTCTTAAAAAGAAAAACAAACTGAAAATAATTCACATATTCAATTCTCTGGGTAAAAAAAATGCAACTATTTTGACCATGTATTCAGTTTAAAGCATCGTTACAAGTCACACATTTAAATATTTCTCTACATATATTTATAGAAATCACTCACATAAACAGGTGATCAACAAACAATACTCCTGTACAAAACATATTTTAATGGATTATGAGATATCTGAATTTTATCAGTAAGACAATGATTATATTTATTACACCAATGTTAAACAAAAAACGCAAATATTGAGCAGTATTCACTTACTTTATAAAAATGGGTCACAACATAAAATGAAAAAAGACAACAAATTTTTGCAATTTATAAATGATGAAATTAATCTGCAGACCATAGGATCAACCCCCTCCCCTCCCCCTTCCCTCCTTTTTACCAAACAGAAAGTAACAAACATTTGGTAAAAGTTCCTTGGGGAACCCAAGAAATTATCAGACAAAGAGATACACAGGTAAACAGGAATATCCCCCACCCCCAAACTTTGTTTGCAGAAATTATTATTAACATATTCTAGTAAATCAATGCAAGAACTTTTATTTTCACATAAAAATTACACAAAGTCTGCTTCCGAAAACAAAGTTCTTGCATCTGACAATACCGGTACATGTATTTAACAATAATTTGTTAAAATATGGCTTGTTTTTAAATATGTTCAATGTTCATTACATCTAAAAGGAGCTGAATTATCTTAACTAATTAATTTAAACAAGAATGTACATGTACCTGCTAAAGAACTTTATTCGGTAATAAGCAATATTTGCCCCTCAAATCCAACTTTGATGGAGATATATTTAATTAAGTTCTTAAACAGGGGAGTATATGCTGACTTCAAAGCACTGATTATTTTCATAAGTAATGGCATCATATGTACGTAATGACGTCACAAACATGACGTAAATTTCAGTTTTTAATGAATTCTACAGAAAAATGTACATATTTTGTCGATATTTTGACTAAAAGTCACCGAGCGCATGTGTGTTCAGGATCAATATTTTGATATAATGTGTAGAATGATAATATCAATGAAATATATAAATATTAATCCTGAACAAACATGCGCTCTATAAATTTAAAAGCTAAAATTGTTGAAATTTTGTCCATTTTGTCCTCTTTCTGAAAAAAATTCTAAAATTGGACTAGTTTGTGACGTCATAAAAACAACAAGAGGCCCACGGGCCTTATAGGTCACCTGAGTATCATGTAACAACTTTCCAGTGATTGTATTTGGTTCGTGTTTTAATCAAAAAGCCATGAATTTTACAAATTTTGAAGGAGGCACCATTGCTTATCAAAGGGCAGATTTCAAAGCATTAATTTATTTTTAGTCAAAGTACCCCCCTGGTACCCCTGACCCAGCAGCCCTGAAATTATCTATTTTGAAAGAGACCCCTTTCTTCATTATAAGGCCAGCATTTTTTTTATGTTTAGGTTTAGTTATGAACATGAGAATTTTTGATAAATCAATTATTAACATTTGTTCATTCTTTTTTATGCTATTCTAGTAGGCTCCTTATAACTGGACACATAATACTTACAAATAGGAAAGTAGAACATTTAATTGCTTATTTCATGCCAGCTTGGGCCAGTTATATAAATTTTGTGATGTTGGTCAAAATATATTTTAAAAAATCAATTCTTTAAAAGTCTTTCAATTTATCTTCATTTTTTAAATATGTGTTAGATGAATGTGTAGACAATGTTCTAAAATTTACTTGATGCCTAAAATTATAATTCCTATCATAAAACAGACAGGGAGTATTGGGAAGTATGGTGAACATTTTTTTCAATTAACTGTAAAATAATTTTTCTGGCTGATATAATTGATACTACATGCCTGTATATATTTGTATATTCTTGCCGCCTTTTAATAGTTGAATTTTTTTTATTTCTTCAGGTTATTGTTTATTTCTTCCTCAAATGGACTTAACTTCTCCCATAGTTTTATTCATTACATCTGATGCATAAGCAACCCTTTTTTGAAGAATGATGCTTAGACTGTAAGCTATAACAGAGACCTAAACTGTAACAATGTCGCTGGCAATATGCAATAGCTCCCACGGGCAGTTTAAAACCTGGGGGAGGAAAATTATTTACAGACAGATACTTTTGAAACGAATACATAATTATCTCACCAGCATGTCATTGTGCAGCAAAGTCGTCAGCATTTTATTTGTCCTTTGAACGGGTGAAACGTTTTGAATGGCACTCGTATCGATGAATTTTACACTAAACCAAGCTCAGATCTAGCTTTATAATTAAAGTTTATTTACCCGCCGTTTCATCTTAAAACCGGAAGTGCGAGTTCGTAAATTTGAAATCTCGATCCCGACTCAAATTTGACATCGGAAAGAAAAAAATTGTTTTATTTTTTTTCTGAAAATTCAAAACCTTGAGCGGAGGGTTTGTAAAACTGAAAATAAAATAAATCCTGGCCTTAAATATGTAATTAGGTCATTAGTATATTAACCAGGAGCAAAGAATAAGATGTTCAAAGAATTCATGCATTTCACTATTAGAGCCCCACCCTAAAACAAGAACCCCTGACCCTGGGGCCATAAAATTCACAATTTTGGTAGAGGCACTCTTGCTCATCATAACTATGTACTTAGTTAGTTTATTTAATACCCAGGAGCAGAGAAGAAGATTTTCAAAGAATTCATGTATTTTCACTATATAATCAATAGAGCCCCGCCCTAACACCAGAACCCCTGACCCTGGGGCCATAAAATTCACAATTTTGGTAGAGGCACTCTTGCTCATCACAACTATGTACTTAGTTGGTTTATTTAATACCCAGGAGCAGAGAAGAAGATTTTCAAAGAAATAATGCATTTTCACTACCTACTTATTGAGCCCCGCCCTAGCACTTGAACCCCTGACCCCAGGGCCATGAATTTCACAATTTTGGTAGAGGACTCATTGCTGATTACAATCATGCAAACAGTTTGACTGCTTGAAGTCCAGGAGTAAAGAAGAAGATTTTTAAAGATTGCATTAATTTTAGTGGTTTTGGCCCCACCCCTCAGGCCCCAGGGGGGCAGGGATCATGAAATTCACAATTTTTGTTCCCCTTCACCCATAGATGCTTTGTGCCAAATTTGGTTGAAATTGGTTCAGTGGTTGCAGAGAAGAAGCTGAAAATGTTGAAATGTTAACGCACGGCGCACGACGGACGACGGACGACGCACGACGACGGACGAAAACGGATAGCAATAGGTCACCTGAGTTTACTCAGGTGACCTAAAAATTGTGAATAAGCTGCTTTGAAACTATAATATGTTCTGTTAATTTATATTTCTCATACAATTTATAGAATTCAGCACATTTCATGAAGTTTTCAAAATGTAACTTTTGTTGGGGCAAGTATATGCAATATACCACATATAGTTCTTTCTCAATGCATTGCTTTTATAACTGCAGATAAATGTGTACATGTACACATTTATTCTAAAGCTTTATCTGCTTAAAAGAGGACAATACCTCACAAAGTCACAAAGCTCCCTTAAGCAAGATTTAGCACTTTTTAAAGCACATATATAAATGAACTGAATGTGCAACTAAACTGAGCAAAGAATAAATAAAGTTACAGCAACCATAAAAGGATTCTTTAAGTGCAACAAGTCATAAAAATGGTTCTTCAAGATGGACTCCATAAGTGTTTGAAGCAACATCTTCACCTCTGAGTTCTGTTTACATGAATTTATTTACTTTATTAAGGCTAATATCAGTAGAAAATTAATGTCAATCAATTACAGCTTTTTTTTTCAGCCAGTTCACAGAGAGAAATTTTTCAATATCTGTTAGCATTAAGTAGATATCCAAAGTTTAGAACCCTTCCCAAATGAAAATTTCTGTTGTTGTAAAATTAATGTAGCAACATCTCATGGTCAGACCAAAAAAGCAAGGTCAAGGTAATCAGAGTTCCTAGCAGAGAAACTGTAAAACATCACTCCAAATAGTACTAACAAGATTACCAATTTCCCATTGAAAAACATATGATTACATGCATGTCAAAGGGAGTTTGGAGTCCCAGTTTGGACTGTATTGCTTGGAGGATTGGCTTATTCCCTGACAGAATTCTAATGAAGTTGAAGATGATTAAAAGTGGAGAGAATAAAGCTTTCTAGGGTGTATGCGATATAGGTAATTAAGAATACACCTTAATCTGGGTAAGCCTACTTGGCCCAATTTAATAAAGAAGGTGAGCTAATAAATATTCCCTCTATTGCACTACAAGTTGATTATTATTTTAATACTAGCGACTACTGTATGGAATTACATACCGGTATGGCACTATAGCTGATTAAATTAACTATACCTGTTACATTTACATAATAAATAGAGAATCGTCTAACGCAGAAACAAACAAAACATATAAATCCTTCTACAACCATAAAATATTTTTTATAGAAAGCACAAAGACTGCGCTTTCTATGTCTTTGAAGTTTGGTATACTGGACAGTTGATCAGCTGGTCCCCATTATAATTGCATTGAGCTGTGACTAGATTGACACTGTGAACCACCTTTCTTCCATCTCTGCTGGTCCTATGTATCACTGGTGAATATAATTATCCTTTTCCAGTAGATTTTTCAGATCATCAAAAATCTGTCAATAAAAATAAATTGGCATGCACTGTATATGAGAGATGTTTGCAAGAATAAATCATATGTACTTTATAATAAAATTTGACATACAAATTTAAATATTTGTTCAGTTTCAATTTTTCATAATCATTAATAATTCATTAATAGACTGATAGATGTTCTGAAGGAATATATTTATTTATTCAATATATTTTGTTCCTGACTTTTCAGGATAAAAATTGTCCTTGAAATTTAGGTATCAAAAAAAAAACTGAATTCAGGTTGCTCAAAATAAAATTCACAAAATTTCCCCCCTATAACATTTTCCTAATTTATTGTAAATTCAAGGTTTGATTCAACCATATTAACTTAACTATCATTTCTAACTGATCCCATCTTTGTGACAAAATTAAATAAATCACAATACTATGACACCTACCTTTAGCACCCAAGTTCTGTTGTTGAGACATTTGTCAAGAATTTCAGCATTGCCTAGCTTGCTGTTTCCTTGTCTTAAAATATCAACCTATAAAATTGAAAATTGCAGGAATTCATATAAACAAACAACAGACTCTGTACTACAATGTTATATGAGACATTTAAATCTAAAGCTCAGTTGAGAAATGATTTAAAATAGTACAATTGCATTGAAATACTTGTATTTTACCTTGGCTTGGCAACGCTTGGATAAGTTGTACTTGAAATGGTACAGACTGTGAAAAGGTAGGGCATACATGGAGGCTGTTTTTCCAATCAGAAATTCCTACAAAGAAGTAACATGTAACAATTAGCACAAGAGGCCCATGGGCCACATCGCTCACCTGAGTAACTTGGGTGATGCAGTTCTTACCAGATCCCCCCTCTTGCTATACCTATCATGCCCCACTACCCCCTTCCCTTTTATGATTTTAACAATTTAATATCTATATTACCCATGCACCCATATGACTTTCAGCTTTCCTGGCCCAGTAGTTCTTGAGAAGAAGATTTTTAAAGATTTGTTCTACATATTTCTATGTAAAACTTGGATTCCCTATTGTGGCCCCGCCCTACCCCTGGGGGTCATGGTTTTAACAATTTAACATCTAGAGAAATTTTTCAATATCTGTTAGCATAAACACCTTCTCCTGGCACAGTGGTTCTTCTAAAAATCTGAGATTTTTTAGTTACCACACTGCCGTCCTCTACTGTGGCTTTGTTTTCTGTTAGCGTTCTGTGGTCATAGGACTGACCAAACAGGTGGACAGATTTTATAGCGGGCTCATTGGTAAAGCGACAGGCCTAAAAACAAATAATAAACTTTAAACTCTGGAATTTGGATCTTAATCACATCTTTAACAGTTTTTCAATTTCTTTATATTAAGGGGATGCAATCTTTCTTTTGATTTTCGTACAAAAATAACCTTACCTGGCAAGCCACCTTCAGGTTTAGTCGATCTAATTCCCTAATATGTGGTTTGGATTGTAGAGCATTCTGAAAGAAAATCAATTTAATGTTTTTTACCACTTTTCATACACATATTGTTAATACAAATATGAAGTTATTCAAAACAAAAAAAAAACCCTGATCATCTTAATCCATTTTTTACTGTTTGATATTCTGTGAAAATTTCATAGAATGCAATAAATATAAATACATTTCAAGTAATGTTAACATTTTGATTTTTGATTCAGTGACACATATAAACTGATGTTTTCTTTAATCATCCTCTACATATCTTTATGCAGTAAATATTTAGTCAATGTGTATTAAATTAAGTTATTGCATCACATATAAACATACACAGTGATTACAAAGACACAAGCACTGTGGCACATCAGAGATGCTTTGCCTAAACAAGTCTCATGTTTTTTTAACCAAACTGAACACTCTAACCTTGAACTTTTGTTTCCACTGTAATTTGGCATCAATTTCAATCAACTTTTTGTCAATCAAGTCGTCAATGCTGTTTAAGGGTCCTAGGTAAAACTCCACTGTAACAAAAACAGTAAAAAATTCTAATGACTTTAAAATTCAAATTCCTCACATATGGCTGCATACCTAATACAAACTTGGTGCAGTTTCCACAATGCTAACAATTAAGATCTTCGCAAAATACTTTTATAACTATATCAAAACACTGACATATGTGTGTACAGAATGCAGGAAATTCATTCTGATCTTCATGAATATGGCTCAAAAGTTTGAAAATTTTTGTAAATATGATGCTGAGACAGCAAATGGAAATGCTTTATAACTGGTCTATATTTACATGAATGTCAATGACAAAATACCTTCCAGCTCAAATTTTTCAGTAAAACATTGCTGACCTTTGTTATCCAGTATTGCGGTGAGAAATCCAGGCTCTAAGGCACAACTGAGAAAAATCTGCAGATAAACGTTAAACATGTCTGCCATTTCTTCTTCATAATGTTCTAACATTTTCAAAATATTTTGCTTACAGGTGACACATATTAAATCAAAGTGTACCTTCAAATGCCTTAAAATTTTATGTCAAATCGTAAATATTAAATTGATTTGCACAAAGCTATTCGGTAAAAGTGTAAACAGTGAAAATTGATGACTACAAGCACATCGTAAACTCTTTGCCTATAACAGTCTGATAGTTTTTTTGTAACAATGATGAGCACATTGTGCCCGACGAAATTTTTTATCACATTTTATAACTTCAATTTATTTATCAGATGTACACAAGAAATAAAGTCATATCATAAGTGGCTCACAGTGGTTTTTTTTTTTTTAGATAATCTGCTCCGTATATGTGACTCTGTAACAAAAACAGTAAAAAAACTCGGACTTGACAAGCTTTAAAATTCAAATTCCTCACTTTTGGCTGCATACTTTTATTACAGTATTACTTAACGGTAATTTGTAGTTTGGTGCAACGATGGACATCAGTTTTTTTCAAGCCTTTACCTTCAACCATTTGTATTGGCATGTATTTAAACACAACCAAATCAACAATCGCACGTGTTATATCATTTGATCTTCATGAATATGGCTCACAAGTTTGAAAATTTTTTATAAAAATAATAGCTTAAACGATGCAATGAAAACAAATAATTATTCAGCAAACCAAAAATAAGGGTAGAAGACAGCCGAAGTGAGAAAAGCCAGGTAGCAGGTGCTTAATTGGTCACGATAATTACTGTATAAACACTGCCATATGCGATAACGGTCATTAAAAGGCGTGAGGAACCCTAATTACTGTATGTACAAATGCAATGAACATTTTATGATTTAAAACAGATTGTTTAATGCATTAATAAATAAGCATAGAAATATTCAAAAATATACATTGCTTAAATAACACGTAGGTCTGCCAATATCACAGTCTAGTTAAATCAAAGTGTACCTTTCAATGCCTTAAAGTACCTATACTTGTTACAATGAATTTAATTCTATCTTTCTCACCTGGAGTCCAGTTTAGGTTTGGGTCGATCTGCTTCACACACCTCCACAACATGACCGTCTCGTTCATTTTTAATGGTGGTCACTTTTATTGGGATGTATTCTAAATCCATTTTTGGCAAATAACTGGAATACTGAAAGTAAATTAAAATTCATGCAATTATACATTCTAAAATCTAGTCTGAGCAATAGCAGGATAAAACATATCAGTACTCAACCATGTCACATTTCTATTCATAAACAAGTGCAATATTAACACTCAATTTTAACCTTGAATGAAAGCTAAAAACAGTTAACTATGTTCTACATTTCAGAGGCCATTACTAAATTACACACTAACTCTTTAACACTCTTATAATGAGAGAACATGCTAAGAGATATAAACATCCAAAAAATATTGTTCCTACATACTCAGAGAGTAAAAAAAGCCTAAACCTATAAATACTGTTACTTATGGAGAGACCCATAAATAAGTCCTGAGTTTTTTTATTTGGTGAAATATTTTTGACTTACTGTACAGGTGGCCATGTGAAGTATCTTCCCCCGGTCAGTAAATAACTCATATTTCTTCATCATTTTACCAGGGTCTATCCTCCAGATAGGAAAACGCTCAAAATTGTTCAAGTCATTTTTGGCCATCACAAAATCTCCTATCTGTAAGATGCAAAGCTTGAAAATTTCCTTGAAAGGTAAAGCGATTTTTTTGATCTTTTACAATATATCAAATAAATCATCTCTTAACTTTACATGGATTTCCTCACAAACCACGGCCAAAATGTGCGATCCTCTCCCATTTTGGTTGCATCCCTAGAGATATTTTAGCCTTAAATGAATTGAGAATCCAGTTTGTTATGCAAGTCAACGAAATATCACAATGTATTCATTTATGAAATATTTAATATTTTGCAATTAAATAGTTTTAATCATACACAGACACTTGGAACAATCCTGTACAAATTTAAACACTTCATCCTATTATATATATGTACAGCTACTCAAATAAAGTGATGTGAGGTACAGTTGTATTCATTTTGGTAGACCTCATGTTAGATACCCAGGGTATTATCAGAGTATAGGTGTGTAACACCTTTTTACACCAAATCTTAACTTACACAGCACAGTAGAGTAATATTTATCAATCAATACACCTGTGACTCAGTGTAGTAGTATAAGACCCGGGTCCACCTTACCCTGAACACTGGTAGGGGGAACACAGACTCTGGGGGCTTGGGTTCTTGCTTGGTAAGTGGTACAACTGGTTTATTATCTACCGGAGTGAACACCTTGGCCTTCTTTTTGCTAAGATCAGTATTCTCGTTTTCCACGTCTAATGATGCTCTGTTGGAATTGGTGCGTCGCCTTCAATAAAACAACTAAAATTGCTGCAATCTTTTCACATGAAAGACACTCTTTACCTTGTTTTTCCAGTAAACTCTGTAACATTGAACTAAATTTTTATAACATTTCTTATTTGGGGGAAAAAATGCTGCACTTGTTGAACAGTTTGAATACAAACCAAATTATTTTTGCAGACTGAATAAATGAATTTTGTATCCAGAAGTTTAATTAATTACCTTCTTCCCCTTGGTGCTTTTGCTTTAGGCTCCTTTTTAGTTTCCTAAAAAGTATTTAAAAAATCATCTATAACTGTTGATATTCATAATTGTTTAAATGATGTTTGCTGACTTAATTGTAAAGTGAGTTTATTTTTTGGATTTTATTAGGCGTTAGCTAATTCTTGAGCTAATTTAGATACAAGCCACACCTCCTGACATATATGGTATTGAAATCAAAGAATGAGATAATGAGATACAAGAGATGAGATATAATCTTTAAAGTAAAGCATTGGATTTATTGGACGTGTTATAAACAAAATGCAGGTAACTTTACGTTTCAGTAAAATCCGGGTTTTAGAATATACACTACATTTAATATTTCAATATTGATACCAGAGACAATTTACAATACTTGAAATTTGAAACCCAACCAATCTCTACATGCTCAACAAATAAGATTTATGATGACAAACAGATTTTTTCTGAAACTCAGAGATGACATTATTAACACTTACAACTTCAAAGGGTGCCCAGTCTGGGTCTCTGTCAGAATCGTAGGCTTCCTCATCATTGGGCGTTTTCCTGCTGAAGGGAGCGATGGGGCCCATAACCTCATCATCACTATCTGATTCTACGTATTTCTCTGTAAGGTCAATAACAGGTTAATATCAACATGAAACATTTCTACGTTTTACATTAACTGCAACATAAAATGTGATTATTAATACAAGAATCCAAAAGATTAGCAGGACTTGAAGTCTAGAACAAAATTTGAGAAAGAGGAGATATAAAATGTATTGTTGACATTAACATTATTACATGTATTAAGTGTTAAAATTCCTTTGAAAAAATCACTTTTATTACATGTGAACTATGTACCTGAAAATTGAAAAAAAAATATTCAAAGACAAAGGTTATGTCAAGATAGGGTTGTTTTATAAAATGTCAAGTTTAGAAAATCCTTGATTGTCATTTTTGGAATGGAACAAGCATCATGCCACTGTGTAACGTAATATCTTCCTGAATTATTTTCATGAACTTTGTCAACCCTATAAAATTTCTTGGTAAATAATACTAGTATATATTTTGGAGAAATTTTGTTTTTTTTTCTGAAATAGAACACTCACTCTTCTGTTGAGCCCTTTCCTTGGCTTTTCGAGAAGACAGCTGCCTTTTAGGAAGTGAGGGAGATGGGGGCTTTTCTACAAATGAATTATCAAAGTCCACCTCATCACCTGATGACATCACATATGCATCATCTGAATCATCCTTGCGTTTCTTTTTTGTAGCTTTTGAGTTTCTGCGTTTAGTCACTTTTGGTTGGTCTACTGTGTGTTTGACACTCTGACCCCCCTGCCCCCTGCCCAGACTGATTTTCATTTTCAGACTTGGCTTACCATCCTCTTTGATCTGCTGCACAATACCCTGAACCTTGTTGCTGACATTTGAAGTTCCTAGATCCTCCTCCTCAGAAAATGTAGATGCTTGAGAAGTGGAGGGAGAATACATAGAACTTGTGTCAGGCTTTGGTGAAGCACTATCACTGCTGAATTTTCTCTCCGCTTTTTGCACTGGTTTCGGTCTCGGAGGTTCTGGAATATATTTTGGCAGTTCTGGTCGTTTCACAACTGAGGTATTTACACTTGATAATGTTTCCGGCTTTTTTCCTTGAATGAAGCTTAAAAATGAATTAAGAAATCCTGAATTAGGGTTTTTCTTGATTTCCGGTTTTTGCACAACAGAAGGAGGAGCAGGTTTAGTATTGAGCGAATGGTTCTGAAATAGACTATCACTACGCTTGGTCTCTTTGTTTACCACAGCACTGGGAGGTTTTTGAAGATGAGCAAACTCATCATCCTGCTCCGGTTTGGTTGCCACTGTCTTAGGTGGGGAGACCATGCTCTCCTGAGTACAGTTCCACCCCTCTGATCCTACAGGCTGATCCTGTACTGAAGGCAGTGTTGTTGTAGGGTAGTGACTAGGAGCAGGGTGTCCTCCTATCAGACTTGATAAAGCATCCTCATCAATGGTGGAGGTTCTCCTCTGACTCACCTGATATCCGAGACACTCGCCATTAATGTCAAACCTATTGCCATAATTGTCCATATTACCATACATACTGCTCTCAGCAGACGGCACTTGATACTCATTGTCTCCAACAAGTCCTAAAGCCTGCATGCCAAGGGGATCACTGAGAGACGATTTCACTGAATTCCCAGAATTATAATTTAAACTAGGCTGGTGCTCGACCACTGAAGGTCTCTGCATGGATGAGATCTGCATGGGGTTTGAAGGCGTAGGACCTGAGGCCATGGAGGAGGGCGTAGGACCTGGGGCCATGGAGGAGGGCATGCCACCAGAGTGAAGTGTGTGTGGCGACATCATGCTTGTGTTCATACTATGATTAATCAAAGGGCTCTCCATGGAATGAGACACAGTGTGAGAAGATACACTTTGTGTTCCAATTACACTCTGTGGTAGTGAGGTGTATTCATTCATTACAGGGGAGTTGTTACTTCCTAGTGAAGAGTTTGAGTGTCTGCCATTTTGAATATTCTGATGTTGGCTTCCTTGCATTTGTTGATGTTGGTGCTGCATGTGAGGGCTATAGGACTGGGGACTGAATGAGTTAAGATTCTGGGGGCTGTCTGTATGGTTCCTTGGTGCACTATAAGAAGAATAATTCCCTGGAACAGTGTATGCTTGATTACTGGTTGACACATTCACAGAGTTTACCAGTTCCATATTTTGATGATTTTCATCCCTTGACCTCCGCTTGTGAAACTTTGATTTTTTACTCTTTGATGTAGAGTCTGCTACTGAATGCACAGGAGGTGAAGATATCATGGTGGATGTTGGTTGCTGTAACTGTGGACTTTCTCGAGCTGAGTTTACGTGTGGACTAAGATTGTGTGGGGACTGATGAATTGGACTGGGGTTACTATTGTTAGTACGTACTGAAGGGGATCCATGCATGAACTGGTGGCTTGACATGTATGTATTCTCATCTGGTCCAAGGTCTTGTGCTAGTGACTTAGGAACATTCATGTGCTGCATCAGGACTGTGTTTTGATTTACTTTGACAGAGTTTCTAGAGGGGTCCACACGAGAAAGATCATTAAAGTCCACATGAGAAAATTCCTCACTTTGCTGTCCGTGATCAGAGACGGGGCTCACCGGGTCATAGTTCATACCGTGGGTCGTACTGAACTGTTCAGGCTTAGAAGTCTGTGTTGATGGAAATGATCCATACAAGGATTGTGTCTGATGGTGTTCCTCCAGTCCTGGGCTTGCTAAGCCATACAGAAGAGAACTGGTAGGACTTCTCATTTCACAGTATCCAACTTTTGAAGACGGAACAGAAATCTTCAAAGGTTCTGGTTGGTTTTGAAGTTTCAAAGAGAAAGGCTGATGTTGAATGAAGTTTTCAGCTGCCAAAGGATTTCGAGATAACGACTGATTGGTGGATCCAGAATGAGCAGGGGGTGGTCCTGACAGCTCTAAAGGGAGCTGGTTTGGGTTCATTAAATTTAACAGTCCTCTGTCAGCATCATGGCTGGTTTTTAAGGCATCGGGTGGATAATGTGATGGAATACTACGACCTACAGGCTCTCCTACAGGGGACCTCAGCAATGGTGCCTCCGAAAACGGAGCTTGGGGTGACACTTTGGGCAGTCCAAACGCACTTAAAGGAGAGTTCTCCAGAGCACTATGGTGAGGAGAGATTGATAATCCTTGTGGAAGGGCAAATCCTACAAATACAAAGAAAATTATCAGATAAAACATTACTACAGCTTTCATCTACATGTCAAAGAATACTAAACCAGGGCAAGTAATCTTATTAAAGAGTTATCCAAACAATGGAAATATATCCTTTGCTTTAAAAGCAACGTTTAAACTATCTTTGACTTTGCTTTTTTAAATAGTTTATTCAGTTCAACAATTTATTTAACATGAGTAGCCATATATTTGAACAATTCTATCTATCATTTATATCACTGAAAGACATAATTGGGAAATAGCTTAATCAACATGATCAACCAATGGTGATGCTATATGAAGCTTACTCAAGCTACATATAGCTTTAGGCCAAAAAAAATTAATCAATAATTTCTCAGGCACCGCCGCATCAGTTCAAAAACGGCCGCATTGATCAATTTTATTGACATATTGAAAAGGGAAATAACTATTTTCTATTTTTCCAAGTTGAAAAAGAAAATAAAATTAATTGAGTTATTCCCCTTTTCATAAATGCTAAAAAAAAGACATTTTTATTAGAAAAACAACATATTTCTACTAAATTTACAGTATTTTATGAATTAACCTTTAAATAAATGTTTTGGAATAACATATTATTTAAAGTTGAATACATATTATAACTAATTTCAGAGAACAAAAATTAAGAATTAGTAGATAATAGATATTATCATTTTATTGAACATATGGCTTAAAAAAAAGTGTAAAACCTGCTTCAGAAAAAAAAAAAAAAAAAAAAAAAAAAAAGCCTGCCTGCCGCATTGAATTTTGAATTTTTTGGCCTGAGAAACTATTAATTTATTTTTGGGGGCCTTATCAAGAGATGTTTAGACCTGATATAAGGTTTTTTTTTTTAATATATTGTTTTACTTGAACTGTGTTGAACCTCATCTTTATACTATGTTAGACCTGATCTAGCTATGTTTTACCTGGACTGAACCCCGGTGCCTGCTGTTGTCCCATGTCCAGTCGTCCCAGCCCTGAACCCAGACCAATGCCAGGAGACTGTCCATACGGAAGATTAAAGTTTCTCCACTGATTAGGGTCCATGCTGCCAGTTATTTTACAATCTAAAATATTGGATATTATAAACAGATTCATGAATAAGGAGATATTACAATTGCTACTACAAGTAAAAAGTTTAAACAGAGATTCATGAGAATGATTGACCACTGTTTGTAAATACAGTACAATTCACACAATGATCTTTTTTGGGGGGTGGAGGGGGGACTAATTAATACATTAATCTTTTAAATTAATAACAAAACTTAGGAAAAAAAGAATTGACAAATCATGACGTCTTAGTATACTGATTTCATGACCATGATGACTTTCAATAAGATTGAAGTGATGAGATGAATTCATCCATTTTAACATTCAAAAGGCTGCTTTAGCATGTTTAGAATAATTTCCAATAATTTACAATGTTGATTATTAAACTAGAAGTGGCAAGGTTCTGGGTCATTAATAGGTATTATTATATAGTCTATTTATAGTCCCTATTATATAATCTATACAAGGGCAAACAGTTCATAACACTATATATTCCCCCTGATTTGAGGCTATATTCACTGGAGGGTCAGTGCATGTGCAGCGGCATTGTGACATCACAATTAATACTAACAACAGTGTAAGCAATGATGTAACGGCCGCAGCAAGCTATGTATCTGAGCAGGAAAAATGTTAACTTAAACAAATGATTAATTTAAAACATTCATTATGAACATCTTGAACAGCAAAACTCAGAAAGGAATACACGGAGGCTACAAATTGTAATCTGGACTTTCTTTTAATATTTCTTTTATTTCAGCGACGGAAGTTCATAAATGAAAATGGTGTCGTCATGCAGCCTTCAATGTCCGATTTATATAAATCCAGACTGTATAATAAACAATTATGGACTCTTTTGGTGTTAAATATGGTTTGTTATTCACCACAAAAATATCAATATTGATGGAGGCATCTCCTTATCGAAAGCCCTACACTTTTCTGTATCAAAAAATCATTCTAATATTCTAAGAATTAATTTATTTAATGAAATCTAAAAACAACATCTGTTTCTTCACCCTCAATGTCTCAGGGGTCCTAAGTCAACTCATTGCCACTGGACCCATTGACAAATTTCATATGATATTCTTTGGGCTTCCTCCCTCATTAAGGAGAACCAATCAGACAGAGGATTTCATAAGTTAATTTAATATAAACATAAACAGAAAGTAGGCAGTTGACAACTCATTGGTTCATTTAACAGGTGGTTTGTCACCAAAAGATTGAATGTGATTGGTCAAAAGATAAGAAAAACAATCAAGATTTGTAATTTTTCCAAAAGACATTTCCACAATCAGCCAATAGAATATCAAATGAAATATACTGTCGGAAATCCAATGCTTAAGAGTTAACGAAAACCCTGACGTTGTATGTCATTTCTTATTGAAAAATTGTGAAGTCTGTAATAAAAAACAAATAAATGAATTGCTTTATCAAGATATTTTGAAGGGCTAAATCAAACCAAATATCTAAATGAGGAGATTGTTCTGGACTTGTGATCTGAAAATGAACCATGCAACCAGCTTAAGACGTCATGTTTTTATTTAATTTATAAATTCATTACGAATTCGAATTATTTCAATTTACAAGACATGCATTCCATTATTTTTATTCTAATATTCTATGTTGCCTGTTTCTGTGATTGCACTAAACATTACATTACATTTGTGATTTGCTGTCAATATTTGTTATTTTTAATTTTAACTTCAACATGTTAACATCTTTCAGTTGAGAGGTACACTCCCTGTGTGTTTAATTCTTAAACTTCAATGTGTTCCTTAAACATTTACAAAGAGTACAATTTTCAATGTATCAATGGAAGGGCCTAGCAAAATACATATAAACATAACTACCTTGGCCATGGATTTGCCATCTTTCTATTATTATTACCCAGCATTCAATGTAATACGAGGGGTTACGGGTGGAAATGACATGATTTATCCGGTGCCAGAAAGACCTGATTAATAAAGAAAAAAATCAAATGCTTCACGTTCTCATTATTGATATAGATTATGTAGCAAAAAAATCATTGCTTTTTAGAGGTTTGCACTATAATTTCACTTGTTAAATCAGAAAGACGAAGCAACCGGAAGTTGTTTCTTCTTTCGGATCTCCTCTTGGTTTACCCCAAGAAAGGAATAACGGACCTCCATTGCATTACTGCATGAAAAAGGACGGTACTCTCCATAAGAACTATGTCTTTGGAAGGTAAGTTCAGTAATTGTAAAGTAATATCTTTGAAATAATTGTAATATGAAAAACGATATACGGTATAAAATTCATTTCATGTGTATTTATGACACTGAAGATGTTTTAAATTGGTGCAATTTCCTAACGATTAACGATGCAATGTCGATTATTTATTGCTTGTAGAGATTCAGTCCTTGTGGGAAGTGCCGTGTATTGCGCATTTCTGCTCCCTGTTTAGATCGGCATTCGACCTTCCAGACTTTGATATTGAGGTAAATAACGATTAAATGAAATGAATTCCAAGAGTTTTTAGACGACTTTGCTTTTCAAAAATTTTCATAATTTTTACATCATTTACTTTCACTTTGTGATTCGTATAATTTTTAAAATTCTATTCTTTACAAATTTCTTGTTTAGTAAAACAGGTAGAGCTAATCATATTTGTTTATTTTGTCAGAGTAATAATTCAAAAAATAAAACTTTCTATGGATTTTCTCTTAGAGTTATCTCCCATGCAAGATTTTTTGTTTCAGATAGTTAAACAGAAACTAGAAAGTGAAAGTCGCATGGTTTTGTTTACAAATGTAGAGGCTATCATTAGATAATCATTTAAGTCCTATTTTAGATAATTAAGCCATCTGTTATACTAGATATCAGCTAAGTTCTTTTTTGTACCTTAGGACTTGGAGGAAGCTCTGGTAGACTCGTCAAAGGAGGAAAATGTCTTCTTTTTGACAGATTTAATGTGTAAAATCTTGAGGGGATACTATGGCAGAGATGACATTGAGTCAGTATTATTTTGATTTAGTTTTAACACAGATATCTATTGGGTTTTTTTTCTTACCACATTTTACGAATCTTAAAATACATTTGCTCACTTTATTCAAATTCAGGGTTTACTCATTGATTTTCATTTTGAAATCAACCCTACTGAATAAATATAACTTTTACGTCTCCATAAAATTGCATCTTAAACATGTTAAAAGTGATAAATAAGGATACTTTCAATAATTATTTATTTTGATTGAATGGCTTTATGGCTGTGAAGATTTAAAATGTTTGAAAAATATCAAGTTTTAACTGATTGTCATGATTATTTCTTATAGAACATATAATTGTGAGGTTTTCCTCAAAGACACGTTGAAATACAACTGGGAAATGCTAGAAAAAAGGGAGGAAAACCCCCTTGCTAATGCAGAATTCAAAGATCTTCCCCTGAGGACTAAAGTAGAGATACTACAATGTCTGTGTGATTATAGACTGGATGCAGCTGATATTTTGGATCAACTGAAGGTTAATTTATTTATTTTTATTCAGGTCTTTAGTATTAGCCATGATTTTGTAAGTGACATGCACCAAAGTCCAACCTAGAGAGAGACTTGGGTGAAATAGTTTATAATAAGTTTGGAATTACTTTGTGCCCAAATTTTATACTGAAATTGAAAAACAGGTACAGTTGTCATAACAGTTGTCAATGAGGTAGTTGAAAGAACATTTTCATTCTAAATCTGTTTTACCATGTTTATAAAGATACTACACATTATGATTAACATTTGGAAAAGAATTGTTTTTAGGAAGGTAAATTATGCCAATTAAATCATTTGAAGAAAATTTAATTCAACATAACTGCTACATCGCCAAAACTTTCAACTCATTACCGCTACATTTTTTCAAATTTTGGCCATGATTTTGTATCATTACCGCTAGAGACTTTTTTTGGCCGAAAAACAGTTACATTACCGCTACATCTTGAATCAGCCAAAAACAACTCGTTACCGCTACATATTGAAATAGCCAGGTATGGTACAGAATATTAGAACCAATCAACACAATTCACTCAATATGTAGTAAAGTACAATTTGAATTCTAAACAGGAGAATGTGAAGATTGTGAGTTTTATCTATGATCAGTGCTTGATTTAATTTTTGAATTTAAAAGTGTTTTGTGAAATAGAATAAATTTCATTGACAAACAAAGATTAAATAAATGAAAAACATCCCTCTCAAAGTCCTACTTCCACCTCCCCGTGGTGTGCAGGGAAACAGGAAAGGATCGACTTATACTTATATATGTTGTACTTTAAATCAATCTGTTAATCGCATAAGTTGATGGCTAATGAAAAAGGCAATGTAGCAGTAATGTAACGTTTTTTGTAGCGATAATGACTATGTAGCGGTAATGAAAATTTCAAAAATGTAGCGGAAATGATATGCACCCGCCACATAGTTTGAAGAAAATTTTCTCATAATTATCTTTCAGTGTACTTTGAACAAATTTATTCAGTTTAACCAAACTTTATCCTGTTCTCCCTTTTTCGTGTAATTTGCACAAACAGGCATAAATATCCATATTTATAAATACATGTATCAATATTTAAATAAGTCTTGTATACAGGGATTTGATGGCGATAATATGAGAATAGAACCTCTTGGAAAAGATGCTGTTGGAGCGAAATACTGGTACTTCTACGGAAGTCGCCTCTACAAAGAAGACCCAGAGCCAGAAGAGATTAAGTGAGTGAAAATATTACTAATGTGTTATCATAGATTTATAAGTTCTGAAGGAATTAGTTACTTTGGGTTCCTTAGGTTATTTAAATATTTAGTTGAAATGTTTGAATTGAAATTATTTTGCCATGTCATGTAGACAAAAAAGTAAGAAAAAAGAGAAGAAAACCAAGGGAGAAAATAAAAAGAAGAAAAAACAAACTAAAAAAGAGGAAACTGTGAAAACTTCCAGAGGACGAAAAGTAAAGAAAGTTATTAAAGAGGAGGAAAGGTAATAGTTTACATGATATTCCTGATTAGCGATATCTGTTATGTTTATTCTTAATGGCTCTCAGTTTGTTGTTTATTATTTATCATGAAGACAAGAATGTATATGAGAAATGAGATTTTGTTCTTTTCATTTTCCTGTTGTTAAAAATATACATTTTTGCCTACTAATTCACAGAAAAAGCCTTCAGTTGAATTTTTAATTTCAATTTTACATACTTATTAAATTACCCCTGTGAACATTATTTCATGGATTTCAAAGGAATTCTGGAGAAAAAATTCAAATCTTCCCACAAGTGACCCATTAGCCTGTAAACTGTCATTTTAGTAGTACAGGCTTATTTGTTGGAGTAAGTGTTTTGTGAAGAAAATTAATATTTTCATCGGAAAGTTTATAAATACATGCATAGGTAAAATGGTCTATATACAGCTTTGCATTTTCAATAAATTTTTAAAAGGATTTACATTTGTATGGTTAATAGAACATATATATTCCATGTATAAGATTTTTCTGGTATATACGAGTTGTAAGTCTTTGTCAAAAATGGGCATTTTTATCACCGTAAAAAAACACTTTCCCCATATATAAATGCTCTAAACTTTTTATATAATGTTTAGAAGACTTATAAGTTTCTAAAAATGCAGTGAAACTTTCTGTTGCAATTAGTTTCCGTTTGAGCTATTTTTTCTGTAGATTGACTAGACTATTGTATCATGTTTTGAAGTAGAGGCTTATTTGATAGTATAACTATCATGTTATATATATTTGTTTGTATATCAGTTGTTCTTTATCATATTTTGTAGTAGTGAGGAGAATGAAGACGAAGAGGAGGATACAGAGGGGTCAGATTCAGCCTCAGAAGATGATGTCAGTTTGTCCCAGCTGTCCAACAGGTCCACACCCAGGGGCAGGAAGAAAACAAAGTAAGAACAAAGGAATCTTTAGATTGTTATTTTTTGGGGGGGAGGGGGGGGTACACAATTATACACTATATGGTAAATTTTTAAAACAAATTTGTGTTTTATTTTTTTAAGGATTGTGTAATATAGAAAACTACAATGAAAAAAAATTCATTTCAATTTTTATTATATATTTGCACTTTCTCTCACTTAGAATTTTATAGTCTAAAGAATAGTAAATTTTCGAGGGTGTGGCATTTCCTTAATTCTAACACAGCCAGTTTAGAATTATATAATGTATTATTTGTTATAATTGAATATATGCATGAAATCTCTTAGAGATGTATATATGTATAATATTTTAAACATGATAAGAATATAAATTTTTTTTAAATTATCCTGATTTTTTTGCACCATTACCAATTCATGATTATTGAACAATATATTTCTGTCTTTATTAGGTGCTGTATATATTTTTGAAAATGCATTTTTTGAAACTTACTTTTCTGTTTATGGGCATTAAATAAACTAACCAAGTGCATAGTTATGTTGAATAAGGCTGTCTTTTCTAAAATTTTGAATCTAATGGCCCCAGGGTCATGGGTTCTAGTGCTGGGGAGGGGTTATATAGATTATATAGTGAAAATGCATAAATTCTTTGAAATTTTTCTTCTCTGTTCATGGTCATTAAATAAACTAACCAAGTGCGTAGTAGATGTTGAAAATGACTGCCTCATTCAAAATTTTGAATTTCATGGCCCTAGGGTCAGGGGTTCTAGTGCTAGGCGGGGCTATATAGATTATATAGTAAAAAATGAATTATTTCTTTGAAAATCTTCTTCTCTGCTCCTGAGTATTCAATGAACTAACCAAGTACATAGTTTTGTTAAATAAGGCTGCCTATTCCAAAATTCTGAAACACCCCTGGCAGGCAGATTATATAGTGAAAATGCATAAATTCTTTAAAAATCTTCTTTTCTGCACCTGGGTATTAAACCAATGTACTTTTTAAAGTTATGAGGAGGAAGGATGCCTCATTGAGATTTGTGAATTTCAGGGCCCCTGCTCAGGGAGTGTTAGGGTGGGGCTCTAATATTTAAATATTGAAAATGCATGAATCCTTTCAAAATCTTTTACTTGGTTCCTGGGTATTATGCCAATGATCTTAGTATATATTTATGTAGAAAGCTGTGTGTCCGTCCAAAAATGGTTAATTTCCTGGCCCCAGGGACAGAGGTACTTGGGGGGGGGGGATACATAATTTAATGCTTTGAAATCTGCACTTTGGTATTCATTAACAATATGAAAATAAAATTTAACAATTTCAAAATTTTGAAAGATGTGGCCCCAAGGTCTTCTTCCTGTGGCATGGGGTGCACAACTATAAGGTGGAAAATGCATTTTCTCTTTGTTACTCTGAGATACCTCTGGGTATTAAGTAACCAAAGTAAGCATGCTGAGTGTATGATTATGATAAGCGGTGCCTCTTTCAAAATTGTGAATTTCATGGCCTCTGGTTTAAAACATGAATCAATTTCAATTGTTGGAAAGTTGTTGCATGATACTCAGGTGACCTATAAGGCCCATGGGCCTCTTGTTAATTTCAATTTTACATACTTATTAAATTACCCCTGTGAACATTATTTCATGGATTTCAATTTTAACACAATCTTCTGTAAACTGTCATTTTAGTAGTACAGGCTTATTTGTTGGTGTAATTGTATCATGTTTTGTACTAGAGGCTTAATTGATAGTAAAACTGCATGGTGTTTTGTAGTAGTGAGGAGAATGAAGAAGAGGAAGAAGAGGATACAGAGGGGTCAGATTCAGCCTCAGAGGATGATGTCAGTTTGTCCCAGCTGTCCACTAGATCCACACCCAGGGGCAGGAAGAAAACAAAGTAAGAACAAAGGAATCTTTAGATTTTTTTTGGGGGGGGGGGGAAGGGGGGGTACACAATTATACACTATATGGTAAATTTTTAAGCTTGGGTTTTTAAGGATGAATGAATCACAATGAAACATCTTCATATTTTCCACTTTCTCTAGGGATGGGATGAGGGTGTGGGTAATTTAAGCATGAATATAAGACAGAATCTGAATATATGCATGAAAGGGTGGTTCAATATTTTCATTAGAATATAATTTTTTTTAAATTTCCTGTTTGATCACCCATCATCAGACATCCATTTTTCTGTCTAATTGTTAATTTTTCACATTTTTGTCTTCTTCTCAAAAACCGCTAGAGCCAATTTTAATCAATAAAGACTTATGACTTGTAGAGTATGTACAGTACTCAGGAGAATATATGTAAGGTGTTGGTGGTGTCTTCTGTCTATTCCCACTTTTTGAAAATCTCAATTCCACCTATTCCCACTTGCAAATAACAATAGATGTTTAGATAATTAATTTGCTTTTACACGAATTAGACTAATATTACATCAGCTCTTAAGATTTACCTGTATTTTGTACATTTTAGGACAGAAAATAATGAATACATCTATGAGAAAATATGATTAATATGGGATTTTTTTTAAATACTGTAGAAGTACTTTTTTCCGCGTGGTATTTATTTACGCTATGTACGCGGTCACAAATTTTCTGCCGAAATTTGTCCCCTCGTATTTAAAATGCATAAAAGGCTAATAGTGAGAGTTTAAGAAATCCGTGTAATTTTCTACCCGCGTATTAAACAGAAATGGTGATTCCTGTTTGTTTGTGTGTCTTACAAGAAAAAGAAATTTAATATCTTGATTTAAGAACATAAAATAAATAGATTTATCCAAAAAAGCATTGAAATAGGTGGATTTAAGAATGAAAAGATAAAAGGAGAAAAAATATAATTTCAATTAAAAATCCATTTTTTCTTTCAAATATTAGTAAGTAAAGGTCCTGATTTATAAGTTAATATTTTAGCAAACAATACCTGTCCTCTATTCCAACAGGTGTTCATTAATCATTGTTTGAACAGTAATTATATGATTTCATAGTTGATTATTTGTTTACACAAAAATTCCACCTATTCCCACATAAAATCTTACCTTTTTCTACCTGATTTTTAAAAAGTTGGAATAGGTAGAAGGAACCGTCTGTAACTGTAAATAACATGTATTATAAATTGTAAGAAATAAAAATTGTGGTACAAGCTTTAATCCCGAATTTGTAGAAATGATGAAAACAAAACACCTGGCAGGCAGAAAGGAAGAGTGGCAGAATTAAAAGACAGGTACAATCTTTTTAAATTTGATTATTTATTACATGCATTGCATTGTTGTCAGTAAACAAAATTAAGATGAGTAAGTTTATGTTTATGAGGATGATAGATAATCTGATATTAGTTAGACCAAATGGACCCTTTCTGGCACTGTAAACCAACTTCATGTCATCTTTTATTCGCAATTTATCAGTTTGAAATCGATTTGCACAGATTATTTTATGTGACTGAGGAAACATTTTCTACAAATATAAAGCAAAATACTTGGCTCGTGGCGATAAATATTTGCGAGTTTAAGTACGTCGCAAAACTTGTGAGTTAAAGTATATCACGAAACTCACAGATAGTTTTCGCACGCAAATAAAAGTTGGTTTACAGTATATTGCCCTGTCCAGTTTTATGAATTTTAAATGAAAAAAAAATAAGAAACTGAGGAATTATAACTGAATTATAAAATACTATAACCTGAAAATAGAGATATCTGAAAATAGGCATCAAAATATTTTTGGAATTTTAAACTTGCTCTGTAATTTTTTGGGGGAAAAAAGACCTAAATATTTGTTGGAACTAGACTTTTTAAAAAAAATTTATTGCATTTGCCTGCATTGGTGTAATTTCTTCTTAAATATTGCTGTATTTTTAGTGAGGAAACTCCAGTGCGGAGAAGTAGCAGAGGAAGAATTATTACGAAAAAAGGACCAATGTACAGGTTAGAAAATCTGCTGTTTTTTTCAATTATTCTGTATATTTGATTGATTTAAGGAATTTTGACCTGTTGTTTGACTTCGAAATAAATATCCCCCATATACCACTTAAAGAGAAGGCATTATGGATTGACACTTGTAGTAAAGTGATTTTCATTCTACTCAAAATACAAGAGAACTAATCAGACATAGCAAATGGCACTTATAATAAGATTGTCATTCTTCACTGGCACATTGTAAATTCATGTGTTTGAGAAAATTAATGATTTTCAATACTAGTGATCACTTAAAATTTGTGTAAATATGTAGGTCTCACTACTAACAATGTATTTCATTTTTCTACACAGCGACAGTGAACCAAGCCCAGCTCCAAAAAAGAATATCAAGAACAGGTTTGATTTTAAGTTTATACTTCACCTGTGCCAAGGACTGAAGTGAGATTTGTTTAAATGTTTGCCAATATCCTATTTATGGGGGAAAATAATTTAAAAAATAGTGGGGAAAAAAGAGAGTCTTTGTACATACTCTTACTAAAGAACAAATAACATGTGAACTTAAAGTGTTCAGAACATGCTCTTAGATGTAATTTTCAATGAACTGCAATTTGAATGATAATCAGATTTACATTTATATTTTTAGATTAACCACGCCCACCAATTCTGGTAGGAGGAGCACACGCAGATCTGCTGCCGCAGTAGAAAAAGAGGCCAACAGGTAACTGGTGTATGAGGCAGTGTAAAACTGTAAATGTTTCAGACTCTATCAAAAGTATAAAAGGAGGTGCAAAAGATGCAAATTTGTAAAGCTGTTTATCAATAGAAAGTAATCTTTTTAGCTCTTCTGAGCCAAAGGCTCAAAGAGCTAATACTATGGCCATTTGTGCGGTGTGCGTAAACTTTTTAGAATATGGGCCATAACTCAAGAACCCCTTGGCCAATCAGTACCAAATTTGTCACAGGGTATCCTTGGCCCAAGGGCTACCATTTGTCCTAAAATAAGGGTTGAGACCCTTAAACAAGGGGAGATAATCAGGAAAACAAACCCAAAAGTACTGGTTGCTAAAAAATCTTCTTCTCCATAACCACCAGGCAGATTTTCACTAAACTTACATACAAGGATCAGGATATGTCGAAGATTAAAATTTGCACGGGGAATTACCCTGGGGCAAAGGGCGTGGTCTCAAGGTCACTTCAAAGTTAGCCTAAATTTACAATTAATAAAAACGCTTATATTTTGCTTACTATAAAGACTAGGATCATCAAATCTTGTATGTTGATGCATCTTATGACTTCACATCATGTTAACTCAAAAGTAGGTCACGGTGACCTACTTTTTAGCTCTACTGGTCAGAGACCAAAAGAGCTTATGCGATAGGAATGCGTCCGGCGTCCGTCCGTCTGTCTGTCTGTCTGTCCGTCTGTCTGTAAACAATTTTTAAAAACGCTACTCCTCCTACAATTTTAGTCTGATTTCAATATTACTTGGCACACAAGTAGACTACACTAAGATACATAGAATAGTGCATCGGTTTTTGATATCGATGAACGGTGTTGCCATGGTTACTAAAAATAGAATTTTCTGTGAAATTCCTTTAAAATGCTACTCCTTCTACAATTTTGGTCTGATTTCAATATAACTTGGCACACAAGTAGACTACACTAAGATACATAGAATAGTGCATCGGTTTTTGATTTCGATGAATGGTGTTGCCATGGTTACTAAAAATAGAATTTTCTGTGAAAATCCTTTAAAACGCTACTCCTTCTACAATTTTGGTCTGATTTCATTATAACTTGGCACACAAGTAGACTACACTAAGATACATAGAATAGTGCATCGGTTTTTGATTTTGGTGAACGGTGTTGCCATGGTTACTAAAAATAGAATTCTCTGTGAAATTCCTTTAAAACACTACTCCTTCTACAGTTTTGGTCTGATTTCAATATTACTTGGCACACAAGTAGAATACACTAAGATACATAGAATAGTGCATCGGTTTTTAATTTAGATGAACGGTGTTGCCATGGTTACTAAAAATAGAATTTTCTGTGAAATTCCTTTAAAACGCTACTCCTTCCTCAATTTTGGTCTGATTTCAATATAACTTGTCACAAAAGTAGACTATACTAAGATACATAGAATAGTGCATTGGTTTTTGATTTCAATGAACGGTGTTGCCATGGTTACTAAAAAAAGAATTTTCTGTGAAATTCCTTTAAAACGCTACTCCTTCTACAGTTTTGGTCCGATTTCAATATAACTTGGCACACAAGTAGACTACACCAAGATATATAAAATAGTGCAATGGTTTTTGATAAGTACAAACCAGTAGAGCTACAGTCTCGACAGAGACTTCTGGTTAAATTTTGCGGGGATTTGTTTTCAGATTGATTTGAAGGCATGTTTTGGACACTTTAAGGCCTATGATCATCAAACTTTGTCAGTTGATGCATCTTGGGTCCTTGAACAATGTCAACTTAAAAGTAGGTCACCGTGACCTACTTTTTGAACTTTATGACTTATCCTTTTAAAAACATTAAATCCCATTATTTCAGACACTGGGAGGTTTAGAATCATCAAATCTTGTAAGTTGATGCATCTTGGGACGTTAAAACATTTTTATGAAAAAGTAGGTCACTGTGACCTACTTCTTGAACTTTGCAGACCTTTGTTTTCTAATTGTTTAAAACGCATATTTTGATTACCTTCAGACCTACGATCATCAAACTTGGTCATGCATCTTCGGTCTTTGAAAAATGTCAACCAAAATGTAGGTCACGATGACCTACTTTCGACATTTTATGGCTATATTTAAGTATCTTAGGTATTTATTGGCTTAGAATCATCAAACTTTGTGAGTCCATGCATATTTGGTTTTCGGAGAGTGACGACCTAAAAGTAGGTCACAGTGACCTACTTTTGACATTTTATGGCTTTAAGTATCTCCGGTACTTATTGGCTTAGAATCATCAAACTTTGTGAGTTGATGCATCTTGAGTTTTCGGAGAATGACGACCAAAAAGTAGGTCATGGTGACCTACATTTGACATTTTGTGACTATAATTTAGTATCTCTGGAAAAATCTATTGACCTAAAATCATCAAACTTTGTCAGTTGATGCATCTTGGGTTTTCGGAGAACTTCGACCAAAAAGTAGGTCACAGTGACCTACTTTTGACATTTTATGGCTATATTTAAGTATCTCAGGCACTTATTGGCTAAGAATCATCAAACTGTGTCAGCTGAGGCATTTTGGGTTTTCGGAGAATGTCGACCAAAAATTAGGTCACCGTGACCTACTTTTGAATATCTCAGGTACGTATAAGCTTAGAATCATCAAACTTTGTCAGTTGATGCATCTTGGGTTTTCGGAGAGAGTCGACCAAAAAGTAGGTCACTGTGACCCTTTTGACATTTCATGGCTATATTTAATTATATCTGGTACTTATTGGCTCAGAATTATCAAACTTTGTCAGTTGAGGCATCTTAGGATTTCATTGAATGTCCAACAAGAAGTAGGTCACGGTGACCTAATTATACCCCCCAAACGAAGTTTAGGGGGGGGTATATTGGAATCACCATGTCCGTCTGTCCGTCCGTCTGTCTGTAGACGAGATTTTGTCCAGACCATTACTCAGAGACTATTGAAAGGATTTGTCTGAAAATTTGTACACATATTATTCACCATATGAAGGTGTGCACCTCTATTTTCATCTTGATTGGATGATTATTTTGAATTTTACAGGTGTTTTTTCATTTTTATTTTGTGGTTTTGTGCAGACCGTTTCTCAGAAACTATTGCAAGGATTTATCTGAAAATTTGTACACTTATTATTCACCATATGAAGGTGTGCACCTGGAATTTTCAACTTTATTTGTTCATTTTTCTGCATTTTACAGGTTTTATTTTTTATTTTAATTGACTTGTTCATTTTGGGCTCATGAGCTTATCAATTGTTTTATCTAAATCTCCTGGGAATTTGGCACAAGAATTAAAGATCTCTCTTCTCTTACTATCTTAATTGTAATTTATTGTCTGTCAAAGCACTTCATTACTGGATGACCATCTATTTATTTTCAAAATGAATTTGATATTAAGTTATCAAGATTGATTTGATTTTGTATAATATGATTTTTTTTCAACAATCAGTTAGCAGAGTGTCATGACACATAATTGCAATATATTTTTTTAATGCAGAAATAAAAAAAATGTTACAATGGAATTACAATGTATTAGTATTAATGTTTCATTTGGTTGTACCTTTGTTTTATTCATTAAAAAACATAATGGGCAATTATATTTCACTGCAAATTTTTGTAAGTAAATTGTGAACACCTCTAGATCCATAAAGTATTTGTGAATTGGCACCTTCTCGGAAAAACCCAGCAGGGGGTATTTGTCCCTATTGGACAGTTCTAGTTTTGAATATCTCAGGTACTTATTGGCTTAGAATCATCAAATTTTGTCAATTTAGGCATTATGGGTTTTTGAATAACGTCGACCGAAAAGTAGATCACGGTGACCTACTTTTGACATTTGATGGCTATATTTAAATATCTCTGGTACTAATTGGCTTAGAATCGTCAAACTTTGTCAGATGATGCATCTTGGGTTTTCAGAGAATGTTGACCAAAAAGTAGGTCATGGTGACCTACTTTTGAATATCTCAGGTACTTATTTAATTAGAATCATCAGTCTTTGTCAATTAATGTATCTTGAGTCCTCAGAAAATTTCAATCAAAAGGTAGGTCACTGTGACCTACTTATGGTATTTTATAATTATATTATAATATCTTCAGTCTTAACTGGCTAAATATTATCAAACTTTGTAAGTTGATGCATTTTGGGTCTTATGATTCTAATAGAGTTGGAGGCTTCTAATAGAAGTGATAGATTGTACAATTTATCAGAAGAGCAATTCAAGGCCCTTGGGCCTCTTGTTGTAGATATCTCATTCACTGATTTTTGCAAATTTATAATGTTTATAGTGAGATGGGTTGGATTTGACCAGAGACATAAATAATAGATTCACACTCCACAACTACACATTTTTGTATTAAAATTAATAATGTTTAGGGCATTATATCAATCTTTTGTTCAATTTATGTAATTTTTTTATATATTACATATGCCAATAGATTTCCAAAGATTTCAAAGAGTTGCAGACATCTTTTTGCAAATGTTTCTTTGTTTTGACGAATCTGTGGTTTAAAAAATGACAAATGGTTTCTCTGCAGTGATTCAGGAATTGAGGAGGAAAATGAGGGTGATAGCATTACCCCAAGATCCTCAAGGAGGAATTCTTTGTCAAGCATGAATGACACTAACACACCTCGATCTCGAAGTGGAAGGAAACAGACATTGTAATTTATTACACAAAATTGAATGACAATAATCAGTATTTTTTAAAAGTAGCCATGAACAATAGAATTATTTTACAAGGAATGGAAACAAATGTAACAAATTATTGGATAAATTTGAAGTTATGAAATTATATAGGACCTATTAAAGGGCATGCATGTATACTCTCTTATATCAGTGTTCTAGTATCAATTTAAGATATTTTTTAATATTCTTTCAATTAAAGATGTTTTTAAGAACAAAAACATGACACTTTAATTTTTTATGCAGGGTTTCAAGGGAAGGTACTCCTGAAATGCCACCAATAGTACAAAGGGGAAGACCTCGTAAGAAAAACAGGTAGGGTAGAACTTTTCTACTTGTATACACCCACTCAAGAGAATTAACTTACTCAAAATGTTTGTACATTTTTTTTTTCAAAAAGGACTTATCAAAATTTTATACATGTATTAATTTTAAAACATTTCAATTTTATTTCATTTCCATTTGATTTAGCAACAACAATGCGTCCACTCCATTGAAATCATCATCCCGACTTTCCTCTCGCTGTAACTCTGAGGACAGCATGGCTCAGACTGAGGCTAGTGTAGCTCCTTCTGAGGACAGCATGGCGCAAGCAGAGGACAGCATGGTCCAGGCAGAGGACATGGCCCAGGGTGAAGACAGCACACCACAAACTGAGGAGCCCATGGTTCAGGATGAGGACACTTCAGACAGGTAAACCATACATGTTAACCTATTGTGATGAAAAATAGGGAGATTGAGACCTCAAAAGCGGTAGCATTGCGCGCGCGTTATTTTACGCTTGGATTTTCAATATTTTTCATGTAATATACATGTATGTATATCATAGCCTTAAAAGAAACCTACAGTAATTAATCTTAAATATCAACTGCAAAGAAGACAGAAACACCTTTAGTTTGACATAAATTGTACAAATTCAAATATTTTTCATGCTCATCATTTTGCTTGGATTGGCTGTTTAACTTAGTATTTTGAAGAGTGATTTTTGATGATATAGCCTAGAAGCAATAATTCTGAATGTTCATTCAGTTGTTAAACAAAACAAATGATAACATGGTTTAAATGAAATAAATAATAAAACAAGTTCCTATTTTTGTTATATAAACAACTATTTTGAATAAATTATTCTTATTTGCAAAGAAATAATTTGTTTATTTGCCACATGGCTTTGTCAATCAAGTGATTTCTATTGACTTTATTGATAAAATTGTGAGCTCCTGTGCTTTTATAGATGATGTTAAACGTTTTCATCCAATTTTTAAAAGCGTTATCTCCTTTTTCATGGCAGTGATGTTGACTAAATTTATCGTAACCAATGTAATCACTGGTAATCTTGTGCTGTTGTCGTTGTCAAATTCATGCTTGAAATCTATGTACACATCGGTACTAAATAAGCATTTGTATGCTTCCGAGTCAAATCATGCGATTTTTCTAACGAGAGATTTTTATGCAGAATGGCTTTCTAAAATGGATACCCTGTGTTGAACCAAAAATACTTTAGACGCAACTATTGTAGAAAAGCGGTAGATTTCTGAATTAAATCGGTAGGCGGGAGATTGAGTGAAAAAGCGGTAGACTCCCGTCTAAATCGGTAGAGTTAACATGTAAGGGTAAACTGAAAAAAAAGGTTTCAGCTTTTTACTGCTAGCTAAAGTTTTTATATAGGTTTTTGCAAAAATCTGATGATAATTGATAAATTTTGCTATATATTTTTGTTGAAAAATTGTGTGATTTGCTATATCAATTTGTTGAGGGTCTTAAGTTTTGTTTAATTTTTAGGGCACTTAAGACACTTGAAAAGGATCCTGAAACAGCAAACAGTCTGTCAGCTGATTTACAGAACGGAGATGACAGGTACAGTTAAACATGTCAAAATATATTGTTTTGTTTTCAGGTGAAATATTTAAAAAAAAAAAAACCTCTCAACTGAGTGTCAGGAAAAGGGAAAGGAGATTTGTAATTACTATGTCTGTCTGTAAAGTTGTGTATGGTGAAGAAAAAGTATCTTGTCACATCAAGATATTTAAGAAAACAATTGCAAAATAGCATGATATATTCAATTTTTAAAATTAACAGGTTTCTCCATGGAAAAAATGCACTAAATTCATTGAATCCATAAGTAATTGTTAAGTATTTTCAGTCAGAGATATAAAGAAATCTTATCTGTTTCTTCAACATAAGCTAGGTGATTTTACTAAGATTATTTTACTGAGGGACATGTATGGGTTATATTCAAACTTTTAAAAAGACTATAATATATTGCAGCAATGAAAACAAATGCAGTAAAGAAGAAAATAGTCAAGATAAACTGGAAATCAAGGAAGACACTGAAGATCCTGCTGCTGAAGAGAAATCAGAGGGCAAAGAGGAGATAGAAAAGAAGGAGAAGAGTATTCCTCAAGAAAATGGGTAAGAGGCCAAATGCATAATAATTTTTAATTTTAAATATTAATACTGCATACAGGCTTATTTTTGTCCCTTGTTATTTTCGCCCTTCTACACTTGCTATCAATTTTACCCTGCTTTAATTTTGCCCAGTCAGAGTTCTGTTAAAGAATTTTTATTGTGTTCTTTAAATTTGCCCATTAAAAATTTGCCCACTCACTTGTGTCAAGGATGAAAGAGGCGAAAATGAAATGGGGGTGGAAATTATCCTGTATACAGTAAGAATTTTACTATTTCCATGTTCTCTGAGGAGAAATATGGAAAAAGAGGATGAAGTGTTTGCAAATTATGGAAAAATTTTCTACCGTATATACTCGCCTGTAAGTCGGTTGTATATTTTAAGGTTAATTTGGAGGGATTTGTTATTGACCCGCTTATAAGTCGGTAAAACTCTTTGCCAAAACCTTTTGACATTTTAAATCAATGCTTTGATGGTTTTACTTGGTTTCCATTAATATTTTTTTGAAATAACGCCAATATTTAATTTTGGATCATTAAACATATAAGCTCGAAATGCAGAGTTAAGATAAAAATAACACTATTTAATTTAGTTAATACCTGTACTTTATGTATAATATTTGAATGCATAAATGGTTATACATATATGGACATTGTTCTTCACTAATCGTCGGAAACATATATAAAGTGCTACTTTTCACTGTCCAGAAAAACTTGTATATTTATGACTCGCTTATAAGTTCGGACATAGAGTTTTGAACCAAAATTTAACTCCCAAAATACCGACTTATAGGCGAGTATATACGGTAGTTTATCAGTTCTGCTAAGAGCTTTAAGAATTCTATTAATGTACTTTGTATAAACGTGTGTGAAAACTTAAGAAATGGCCAATTGTATTCTTTCAGGGAAAATGAACCAGAAAGCACAGAGATTGAAAAGGAAAATGGAGAGGAGGAGGAGGCAGATGAACAAGATGAAGATAAGGATGACACTAGGTCAGAGTTCATGGAGGATATCAAGGAGGAGACAACTCTGGATGGTGAAGATATAAAGGAGATTCCAAGGAAACTGCGAGCTCGAGCCACGGCTGACAGCAACAGTCACGTCAGGTATGGAAAGATGTGTGGTCTTTATACTGTTTTGTTGTAAAATGCTGTAAACGTAAAGAGTAAAAAAATGAGTGGATGTAATGCCCTATATTTAGTCTTTTTGCAATTTCTCTACCAAGTTGTAAATAAATTGAGTTCAAAATGTTTATAAGTTTTATTAATAATAGCATGATGTACAAATACAGGACTATATTAGGTAGATAATTTATACATAAACAATGCCTTAGTGTCATGATTTAGCGTCACCTTCCTGAAAACAACGTCCACCCAGCATAGTTTTTAGTTTATCTAATAATTGTTAATAAGAGGCGGGGCTATCAATGAACATCATCTCTCTTTCCTTCACTCTCTCTCAAGAAATTCGAATGTGTGAGGTATTAATTAAAAATTCTTTGTTGAGGACACACAAAATAATACAACAAACAAATACTGTAGATCACTTAATTTTCGCGACACTTTATTTTCGCGAGATAGTCATTGACTCTTTATTAGCGAGACAAAATTTTCACGAATTGTGGTCGTTGCTCTATATAATCTTAAGGAATTCAATCATACGCGAGAATTAAATTTTCGCAAGCATATCGTCTTGCGTAATTACGCGAAAATAAAGTTCTCGCGAATAAAAAGTGATTTACAGTATTTTTATTTAAGGTCACATGGACTTGAGTATGAGCATAATCTACTGCATACTCTGACTACTTAACGTATCTTTTAATATAAACCGAACTTAAGAAGAGAAACCTTTTTTTTTACAGTGAAGGGACTGATAAAATGACTCCAAAGATGGAGGTCACTGAGAAAAAAGAACGCCAGCCCTACCCAAAGAGACCACTGAATCCAAATGTTCGCTGGCACCTGATCTGTGTGGATATGGATGACTGGGAAGGGTTAGCGGAGTCGCTGAAGGATAGCAAGGTCAAATGTGAGCGTGACCTTTATAAATGTATTGTGGAGGACTTCTTACCGGCTATTCCTGACATCATTGAGGCCAGGGTAAGTCTAAATATACTCATAACTAACATGGCGGCCATACACAAAGGTTTTATAGGGGTTAAAGATTAAAGGTCCTTTTTTTCCTTCGTAAATCTTAAAATTCTTGAAATTAATAAGAAATAGCATGACATTCATTTAGTGTTGAATGTTGATGTATGAGGAGTGATAAATGAATGGAACATTCTGCTATTTGCTCCATTCAAAAACTAACTATATATTATATACTGTAAAAGCACAAATATTCTTGGGGATAAATTATACAATTATTATATATATTTGACTATATATTGTCTTTTAAAACAACAAAATTTAATGCCCACGAAGCTTTTTTTGAAGACAAATCAACGAAATTTTATTCCCACGAAAATTTGTGCTTCTACAGTATACTTAACAAGTCTTGGAATCTGAACCAAAGTTCCACTCATGTTTTAATAAGACACCTTGTGTTACTTGAGCTTCAGTAAAATTCAGATGATTTATTTCTGTTGAATAGTTGTAAAGATTCAGAAGAGTAAGCAACACTAGGGCACATTAATTCTCCTATCACAAAATACTGTATATTATTACTGTTTGGTAATCAAGAATTTTCCTTTCTATTTATACTGCCAGTGCATTGAAAAGCAATTGTTGCTTAAGATGATAAGTTTGATTTGGAAAAAGAATCTTCATAAAGGTGATAAGTAGTATGCTTTACACAGTTGATAAATTCGGATTAAGAATCAAGAGATCCAGATGTTGAAGTGTCAGAAAGATACAAAAGAAATGCAGAGAATGCTACATACATTCTTACATTTCCTGAGACGTAGTACTCCATGACATAACCTAACAAGTATATAGGAGTTGTCTCCCTTTCAATGCAGTAATATAACGTCAATACAAAAAAATATTTGGTATTATTAACATGTGTGTAAGATAATATCAGCAGGAAAGATTTTAAATCCTTTATGGATCTGCAAAAAAATGAGTTCAGATTCTATAAAAATTGTTAATTTGCTCCATATTCCATAAAAAATCTATGAATTGGATTCCTGGTTCGTGTGGAGTGTTTATTCAGCAGAAACAATGAATGGGGGGAAAGTGGCAATCTTTGATGTATTGTCTGAATGCATTTCCATCCCCGAAAAAAAATCGCCTGCATAGCGTATCTGTCTGACATAATGAGTGGCAGGGAGAGCAGTTGGTTGCCAACTGCGGCAGTTGTTGAGACCCTCAGCAGAAAGCTGCCAGTCGCCTGTCTGTATCGCAGACTGAGGAATGACAGAAAAGGGGCGTGTCATTTCCTCATTTCTTGGACGTAAGAAAATTCCGCCACTTTAAAAAATGTGCTTAGGAACAATCTAATCATAAATACCTCTCATCTTTCCTGGCTGAACATACTTTTGCATTTTAAAAAAAAATCTCTTTTATTGAGAGGAATAGAATTAACACCTGTTTTGTCTATAGGTTCTTTTGATGTCTTTCCAATATTTAATGATGATTCAAACTTTCTATCTACTGAAATTTATACAGATCTCTAGTATTCCAGGAAAATTATCATAATATCACTTTTTTTTTTTTTTGCATAGTTTGAAGGATTGTTACCATAGGTCATGTAGGTTAAACTTTGACTTTTCCATCTATTTAGAATTCTAATTAATATTTTTCATCTGAAAGATGAAGAGTTATATATTTGAAATGGATACGTATTCTAGAGCATATCCATAGTTAAGTCATTTGTATATGATTCTTTGTACGTCAGGGAGAAAAAATCTCAATGAGTTATGAGTGGATTATGGAAAGTTTGCTTGTAATTTCAAAACATCTTTCACATCATAATTAAAAAGTGATGTTGATTTTGCATCATTTCTGGAGAATTTCAGGATTGTAATAGTATACATGTACTTAACTTAGCATTGAGAATTTTAGTTACATTGTATGAAAAGTTTCGCACATAGTTTGGGTATGAGGTGAAGAGCTTACAAGCATTGGATCCTCCTACACCGTTACTGTGTGGGATTTGATCCCTTTTGATGATTTTAAAACATGCCAGGTCTTGCGAGTCTAGCCATTCTGATTGATTTGATTGTTTGCCATGTAATGTTGTCTCTTTCCTCCCCATCAATTTCTGTTGGAGCTGTAAAGCTCGAGTCTTCATTAGTATGTTCAATAACACACGGCTGATCTTTGAGGTTTTTTGAGAATCTCAGTGATTTCTCACACTTTATGTTTGGCAAGAGGGACAGAGTAAAGATACATGTACAGACCGATTCTGTTATGATGGTGGTGGTTGTATATAACCCAAAACAAATATACAAATGCATTCTGATATATGACTCATTTGATCATATATTGGAAATGTCTTAGTTCAGCTCTCTCTATCATTGGATAGTTCTTCCAATATGTAGCCAAAAAATAAATGGAGAAAATATTATAGGTTACCTGCATAATTTGAGAAATGGATAAAACTCTGACACCATTTGTTTCTAAAAACTTGATATCGATCTTGGCCTTGATAAGTTGAAAGAAGTAAAAACATCAAGTGAATGGAACATGATTTTTTTTATTTTATCTTTACATTTACGTATATACAACACTATGTACAATATTTTTTTATAAATATAATACTTTTTTCCTCCAATACCCTGCACAATAAAACCACAGGAGGGACAAAAAAACAAAAGATGCAAGAGGAGTATCATTAATTCATCACAGACAGGTCCGAAGAAAAAATATGGGAGAAATGAGCCATTTTTATGATGATATATGGAGCTTGATGAAGAGTCAACTGTGTGTACGGTAACACGGTTTTTTACCCCCCAACAGATCCCATTCACTGTCTGTTACCGCTGATCTCTATCAGTCAGACAGAGAACAACACGTGTTATAACCTATTGCACATATTGCCATGTTCTATTGTCTGTAACACAGGAAACCAATCTGATGACCTGGAAGTGCTAAGGGAGATAATCAGAGAAACGGTACCACAAGGAGTACCAGCCAAACACACAGCACACTGAGTATCACATGACTGGCTGAGGATTTCTGTGACAGAGTTACTTCCCCTTGGTTATCCCTGTTTGAATCTGTGTAATACTGGAGTTTATTTTGAGAGTCATTATTCCCAATCACAATATACATCCAATGAAGTAGATTTCTCCCTCTCACTAAGTCATGATAGTCTTTGGAAATTCTTTTACCAGACACTTTACTGGAAATTTGTCCTTTTGTTATTTGGTCTTTGGAATTTAAAATAACAGGTACTGGAGAGTCCATATCTATTTTTGGCAAGACTATTCTATCCAAGAATGTGATAACACTAATACTTCCCTGGAATTCCCCTGAATGAGGGGATGATGCCCCCTCCCTTACTGGGAAATCGTTCTGTATTTGGTAAAGGGGGGACTGTTCTGTTGAGACACTAGCTTTATTTTTGCCCTGTGTTTGGTCCACATTTGATGCAATGTCTTTGGAGGAGTTAGTGTTTATTTTACACATCTGATTAACCATAGGAACCCAGGCCTGGTCCAAACTTTTCTGAACAGTGCTGTAACTTGACTGTGTTGGACAGTTGGTCAGATATGTGTGAACGCACAACAGCATCTTCTTGTATTTCCTAAAATAAAAGAAAAAAAGGTTGAAGGAAATGTAAACCCATTTCATTATCTTGAAATTTAAAATTCTTTATCTCTTATGGGTGCAGCAAATTGCATGAATTAAATATAGTTGCACCTAAACAGGAAGTACTTGAAGATAAAGATGATAGTCTATAATTAATGAAAAAAAAATTCCTAGATTTAGAAGAGAATGTGATGAAGACATCAGTGGGTAGGAATGTTTAATGACGACATCGCACGCGCCAAAATCGTAGCAAAGTATTAACAGCTCAATTTTCCCCCCTCGATATCAAAAGAACACAAAACTAAAATAGCTTTACAATAGTTTGCTTTTCTATTTCTAGTGCTACATTCTTGTTTCATTTGTGTGACCAATAATTTTGGAATTCAAAGGTTGTCAATTTCTTCATGTTAGTCTTCCGAAAGAGGGGAAATTAGCTGCTATTAGCTTGCTGTGATTGTTTTGAGTGAGGCGGAGGCAGGGATGTTATGAATGCATCTAATTACATGTGACTCAGTTACCATCATGGGTCAATATGAAATCAGCTGCTATTCTTAAACTAATGATAGCAGAACTCTCTATCTCTCCCTCATCAATAAGGTCTACTGATCAAGTTTCAATCAGCCTCAAGTTCTAAGTTTCAGTTTTCTTTATTAGTGGACAGGTTCATATGCAACATCAATATATTAATCTAATTGACTGAACTAGGCATTTTTCATTTTTTTTTAATTTATCGTCTATGTATATTGGTTGCATGAAGATGGCATGATCTAAATTTGTTAACATTTAGCCAACGTAGAGAAAAATTATTTTGTCAAAAATTCTTTGGAATCTATTCAAAAGAATTTTGCATAAAAGTCTCCTATTGCAATTTCCATTTCTTTTGTGTTCTATGTGTTTCTTTAGTCTTTTATATGCTATCATATTTTCTCAAAAAAAAAAATGAAAGTGAAAATTTTTGAAGATCAGGTTTCTGTGTGATGTGGACAGATTATCTTGTTCAGAATCAACACATTTTTCAATTAAAATCTACCCATCAAAAATAATTGCAACTTAGGGCATGAAATTTTAATGATGTGTCATACTTAGGCAAAATTGAGTTCGATTCTTGAAAGATGCTAGCTTTTCTGCAGATAAGAGTTTTAATTTTGAATGCTTGTTATTCAAATGAGGGTTTTGAGGAGCGTAAGTGGTTTTTTAAGTGTCAGGGGCTGGTAAATTGATTTTCTATGTAACCTTTGTTTTCCCGAGATGCATTATGCAGCTGTTGTAGCTTTTTTTTTTAATATTATATTTTGAATATTTGATGAGACGGACATGCTGAATTTCAGACACCCTTAATATTTCTCCTGAATGTAGCTCAGCACACTGTAATAATTACTCAGGGATAATGAAGATCGTACAGTCTTAACCCGCACTCATTAACAGAAAGACATAAGTGTAATCAACCATAAACATTTACACACTTCATTGCACAGCTGCTAATGGTTTCAATTTTACAAGCTACAACCCCTAAAAAAGAGAGAAAGAAAAATGGAGATATTCTGAAAAAGATATTATGAAACTAATTGATCATGCAGTAAATCCATTATTTTACACAACTGAAAGACTTTGTGGAATGATATTCAAGATATTTAACCTGCCCTTTCATTTTTTTTTTATTATATTAATTTGAATTTTAAAGAAAATCAATGTAAGTAAAATTACCATTAAAAATTAAGTACAATATCTGCAACTTCATATGAATTAAATATTCGGGTATTTTTCTTTATACCATTTCTTATCATTGAAAAATTGTACTTAAAATAGGATTTTTTATGCATCAATTTACAGATTTTCTTATTTATTTATTTTGATCAGTATTGAATTTTTTTTAATAGGACTGCTCTTAATTGAAAAAAATTTGAAAGGAATAGAAAGAGTTGACAAAGAAGGAAATTTGCCAGTTTCATTAAAATTACAAAAAAAAAAAAAATTCTTACCTGCAAGCATGCTTGACGAAAATTTGGTAAACAAATGGGTTCTCTGGTTTGATGTGAGTGTATTGTTTGACTTTACGAGAAAATGGCTCAATGCAATGCAGGATCTGAGAAGCGAAATCCTCTTCACAATTTGAAGGAATTTGTTGTGTCTTTTCCAACTTTCCAATGTCTCTGTAATCCATTGTTATTTTTTCCTCCATATTTGATGCCACACTCACCGTTAAAAATCCGTAAAGCACTATAATCGGAGGTCCTTGCAGCTTCATAGCTAACACACTGTTTTTGAACTCCTAGCTCAATAATAATTATTATAATCTTCAAATATACTGGTGCATTGTTAAATTATATATTGTGTAATGTTTCCATTATTATTTTTTGTCTATTAGTTCCGATTGTTACGAATCGCCTTTTGTTTACAAACAATCAGTGCCGCCGTTTGATGTCTTTACACCCTCCTCTGTGCTGGCTCGATTCAGCTCTGAGAATTTTTTCCAGTAGCACAATTTATTATATTTTTGTCAATGACTTGCATAAAAGATCATATTGAATGCAAAAATCTTCTGATCACAAGGGTTAGATGAGCTTGTGAGAAAAGTTTGATAAATTGTGAACTTGAGGAGCTCCGGTGCCCAATTGTTTGCCTCTTGCAGTCAATTTAACCTTGCGGAGTAAATTCCTAGGATTACAATAGTTTTGCTGGGGGTGCTAGCTCTGATTATGTCCACTGATTAATATCGACAGTTGCGATTGTTTGGTGGGGTGTTTAGGAGCTCACTGAACCGTGACCACTGCCTCCCGATGATGTGTTTTGTCATTGGCCAGTTTCCTGTGCATGTCGTTTACGACTGCTTAGAACTCCCACTACGCCTGGGCCAATACTGAGTCTTACTGAAATATTAACAGTCATGTTACAAAAAATAGATATTGATTAGATTAATGATACAACAGTTTATCATAACCAATCATTAATAATAATCATAAATTTTATAAGATTATCTTAGATAATATACAAAGTCAGAATAAGTTACAAATACATGCTTACATATGCTTTATATTCTACAGGCCCAGAACTTTAGGCATACTAAATCAGTCCATACAACCTATGCCAGGTGCTTGAATTATCTTGCTTAGGAGACTTTTATATAAAATCATTAAGTGACATTAATAAATCTCTGGGGAACAAATGGCATATACACCTGACATATTTTACTTCTCTGGGTAAAAAAAATCCAGGTTAATTGGTGACCTATTCATTATCACTGCAGAAAATTAATCCATCCAATCTGGTTATTATTCAGTTATGGTCAAGTGGTCATTGTCATTGTTTGCTAATTATCTATTCACTCAAGCATCACTTAATTGACCCTCTTACTTGTAAAAAGACTGAATCTTGAGTTTTCAGTTTTAGTCTGATTTTTTAAAATTTTGAGCTTTACAACTGGGTCATCCAACAATTTTTATATGTAGAAAATGTTTTTTATTTCTATTACATAATTTCCTCATAAATTTAGGACAGGTGATTTTTTTTGTAACCATTTTCTTACTTTCTAAATGTTAACTTCATCAAAATCCACAACCCACCTACTTATGTCAATTGACCATATACCAATAAAAAGTCAGAGTCTTGGGTTATCTAACAATTTTTTCCATAAAAAAATGTTACCTGAATGACACTGATAATTTGTATTACTTAATTTCCTCATAAATTGAGGACAGCTAGGTCATATATTCTCAATCATTTTCATAACTATTAAATGCTGACCCCTCCAAAAATGAAAACCCACTTACTTGAGTTAATGCAGCTGGCCTTTAAAGTTGATACTCAGTATATAGCAGCTAGTACAGGTACACTGTGTTTGATCACTTTTCCATGTGTAGTAATGATTTTTGGAGATGGATGTATTTGTGCTGGATTAGTTGTCGTGACTTTCACAACTCGCCCACTCTTACCAGCAGGGGTAGCTCGTTTCCTCCTGAGGTGTGAACACCAGTCGCAACTTTGTCACCACTGGCTATTGGTCCCCTATACTCAGTCCACAGGGAACCTAACACGGAAGCTTATGGCTTGTGATCCTTTGGTCAGCAGAAATGACCACTATGACATAACACTATTGTAGCAGATGAAGAATTAATCTCCAGTGGTTCACACTCAAAGAATGGTCCAAGCTAATGTTTTCAATTAAATTCACTGGTCAGGACAGATTTCCCACACATAGTTGACAGGCCTTTTTCTGAAAATTAAAGTTTGATTTTTTAAAGTCCTGATTGAAATTCAATTAAAATTCATTTTACAATAAATCACAACAGGTCTTGGTGTTTTTTGCTACTGATAAGCTGTGAACCTCCGCAGACTTCCTGCTGAGGAGGCCGCTATCTGCTGCTGGAGATAGGTACTTCTGCAATGATTTATAACAAACAGGTAACCATTATTACCAGTGACCAGGGGCATGTGTCAGCTTCACTGATAGAAACTGCCCACTGTCTGACGGATCTACCAAAACCTTACCTCAGCTGTGAGGAGTCTGATAAAACGGTGTGATCTGACACGGCTTATGAAGAGATACAACCAGAGATATAACCTCAGTTACAAAAAATCTTCACTGGAAGCAGCTGGCAGAGCTGTTCACGACAAATTTACGTATTATCATAACAAGGCCTTATATCGTCAGCACTTTATTTAGAACTCTGTTTGCCTTCATTAAGGTGTGCTATTTATAAGATTGACTCTGTAAACATTGACTACCGACAGATATTGATACAAGGAACTTTTTTTGTGCCGCATTAAAATAATTACTTGATCACATTCATCAATACTTTATCATTAGCGGTCAAGGTGTGAAACATTTGTCATGAATTTTTTCCTGATCATGAAGGCTGATTTTTTATGAAAAACACATGTAGATTTAATGTGATAGACACTGATCTAAGAAATATAGACAGACTATTCAGTGTTAATCTCCTGATCAATATAAGATTGGACATCGCCACAAGGCCATCAGGAACTAGCTTCCGTAGTTTTATTGGGCTGTAATGTTCCTATATCTTTAATGTGTTGGTCTGTAAGGATCTGGGTATTGTTTCTTGGTAATGGCTTGTGACTTATGGTGTGAAACTTTTTGTTAAAGTTCAGGGGGTATTGTCCATTTAATTTCTGAGAGGGCAACTAATGGTTTCCATATTGGACCTAAGGTTAATGGACAGCAGGTTGGTTGGATCTAATTGTGGAATAAAACTCTAATCGAATTGGCTTGCTAAATACAAGATGTCAATTAATGTATAATGCAACAGCAGATTACATGCAATATCAATACAACTTCTGTGTCTTCAACCTTTTCTGGACAAATGGAAATGACTTGCTTCTGATTTTCATGAAAAATAATGAGCCCACAGTATGTTAACCCAACTTGATAAAGTATTCCTAATGAAATACTTGTATATTAGTCTTGGAGGTATCATATAGTCTGTAGAAATGCCCAGATTTCCAGAGAATTAATCAAACAGATTGAAGTAATCTATGGAGACTTCAATACTTATCAGATAGTAGAGGGAAGATAGACTGCCATAATGTTAAGGTAGTTTGTAAGAGAATAGAAATAGTATTTATTGCCACAAAGATCTTGGCAATGTGAAAATATTCCTGGCCTTGATACCCTCGGAATGTTGTAAAAAGGAATGAACAATGTCTATTATAAGTAGCGGAGAAAAGTAAGATGTCGGGTTCTCAGTCTGTTGTATTTGGAAGGTTTATCAGGGAGAGGAAAAAAGTTATCAGAAGGGAGAAAGTGTTTGGGCTGCTCCAGGGAATTGGTAGGATTGGAAGCAATATAGCTGTATCATGTTGGCAAAGTGAAGACAAGCTTTCTTGATGAAGATGCAGGAAACAGCAAAGAAACCTTTATGCAAGCTGGCAGAACTTAGCCTTCTGGCAAGGGTTACTTGATGCTGTGAGAGCCCTATGGCTTTGGTACATGATGCTGTGGGCTTTTGTAGGTAATTAACAGTGTCACTTGGTTATGAAGGATAAACATGACAGGGCAGACCTTGTGTTGTGTTACAGTGTTTGATTCCACTGATGCTATCAATGAGATGTTTGTTTTATTGTCTGGTAATTATTGCTAATTGCACAAATGACTATAAAACTATCATCTCTCTTGTGAAATGTAAACAAAAAAATTTAGAGGGAAATATTAATGAACTTCATGTCTGACAAATCATACTGTGTAAATGAAACACCCCATGGAGGAGAGGTTTGTGTGCTATCAATGAGATTTTGTTTTATTGTCTGGTAATTATTGCTAATTGGCTTATGATCTGGTACTGGGAATAATATTCCTGTCATTAGTTACACATCGGTCACATTACTGCTAGTGATGAGGAGAGAGGCTGGTATCACCTTTCACACTTGTGTGAACAGATGAATGAAAAGTTCCCCTACTTAGAGTAATGTACATTCCTGTTGTTCTGTAATAGAAACAATGATGTGGATCTTACAGGACTGAAACATCAAAGATCTATATGTAGAAGTGTGGGGGAAAGCAATAAAATGAGAATTATACTCCTATACATAATGTAGAAATGGCCTCTGTACTTGTAATGTAACAAATAGATTGAATTGAAAGCAGCCATTCTGTGTAGTGCAAAAGTGGTCATCATCATTTCATGTGTTTGATTACATGAGCGACAAAACCAAAGTTTCTCAAATTATATTGTTAAGTTTCCCAAACTACTGGTTCATCAAATAAACCAAATCAATGCCTTGCCAAGGTATATCCATTAAAACCAGCATTATAATTGCCATGAAAAAAATATGTTTTATTCATAACATATACTCATGCAGTTAATATTGCACGTAGTCACTGGACATTTTCTTGTTCAATGTTTTAAATTCAAATTTTATCAAATGGTGTTAGATATTGAATATGATAATACAGAAACCAACGATGAAAATTTAGGTAATATTACAGCCGACAGGACTCCCATGTACTGTCTAAATCTGAAATAGCTCTTCAAGAATTTCCTGTCATTGGAATTCCTATTGCAAATACAGTCCAACCTTGTTATTTTGAACTACATTGGGTTGCATGCAGGAAAAAAATGTCGAGTTATCTGAGTATTCAAAATATTCAAGAGTTATATACATTAAATACGAGGACATAATTTATATACAGTCTTAATTCACTTTCAATTGTAACAATTGACAAGTTGTACCCACTAAACAAATGGGCTTAAGTTATTGTGTGTCTAATACACTTATTTGTCTCCATAAGCATATGGAAATAAAAGCAAAAATAAAGCATTGTGAAGGAAGAAATGGGAAAAAAGGAAGAAAGATGATCCTTTGAATGGTTTATTAACATTTATCTCTTGTGTCTGAAAAGATTGAATACCAGACTGGAATGCAGCGTGGCCTACTGCTGAACTGGGGGTGCTTGTAGAAATGTAAATTAAAGTGGGCTCAAATAGATTAAAAAGATTGTTGCCCTTAAACAAGAAGAAAACATGTATTTACTGGGGGATAGTTTCCTTCTCTGTTTAAGGGGGGTGGTCCTCGGGATTTACAACGATCATTATGAATTACAGTTATATTCAGATGGGGACACAGAAGAGTTCCCCTGTGTTTTGTTCCCCCATCCATTCAATTTTCCTTCTGGAATGTTAGTCTGACAAAGCCTTAAGCAGCATTAATCATAGACTGTCAGAGGGAGAGAGAAGTCCGGACAAAGGGTCAGAGAGGAGAAAACCTACCCTGAATTGGTCCACTGTTACCCAGGAATTTCTGGCATTGTCCAGGATTCTGTGTGGCTAACGGCAACGTCTTTCATACATCTGTTCAATTTTTTTTATCACCTGAAAGGTGTACAAAAGATATTTCATACATGACCAGGTTTTATCTGCTGGAAATTGTGGAAAAAATACGGCTAGTGACTATTTGGCAAAGAAGCGATTAATCTGTGTATCTAATACTAATGGGTTGACCAGGCTCTTTGTGGGCAGTAGTTAGCTAGTTAGCCACTGGTCAATAGAGATTAGGGACGGGAAGTGGACTCAAGCTGTTTTTAAGGTGATTCCTTCCATATTAGCCTTCATTAATAGTGACTCTTTAGTGTCACTCAAATCTAAATTCCTGAGAAAAGTTTTGTCCACTCTTGACACTTTGACCATAAAGTAAGGGAAATTAGGTGGAAAAAAAGAGTATTGGTTCAATCCTGAGAAAAATGTGCCATCAAAATAAAGTTTTGTAAGTGGCTTATGTTGCTATATCACATATATTCTTTTGGGACTATAGGTCCTTGACAGTGATCTACTGTAAGCTTGGTGGAGGAATTTCTAAATGCCAATTGGTCTGTTGTATCTACAAATAAAACGAAAACTTGCCAACACAGAAGATAAACTCATCGTCCTGTTGGTAGATTAATAAAGTTTATTGCTAAAATTTTGAGTAAACAATGAAAATATAATGAATCATCCACTCTCTGAGGAAATGAGTACCATAATATGAAAGCTAGCTTTAAATGAGGATATTAAATTATATATGAAATATGATGTGCATATAGATTTGCTGCTGTAGCCCCAATGAAGCTTTTTGTTTGTGTGTGGGAGAGAGAAATATTGACACTCCCATTTAATCTGTCATCGTGTGATGTTAAAGGGAAAAGGATGCTAGTTTGAGTATCCAGAGAAAATAGCAAAGTATTGGCTAAATATTGACAGAGAGTGGGATTAGTGTTTAAAAACCCCATGCATTTGGTGGATATTGTAAGCAGGCCCCCGGTCCATTGATTCTGGGGGACTAATTTACAGTGATATTAAATCTGACAAAACATTGTGTATTTATTATCTATTGAAACAAAATGTCAAGGGGGGTTTGAGGGGTTGTCTAATAATCAGGGAATAGAGGAAAGAATGGGTTGTTAGCCGGACTCAAGTTTCAGTGGCATCCCATTGCTGCCTGCATATTGAACCACTTATAGTCAAACAAAATGAATAATTCAGTAGATCTGGCAGGACAATGGAACATCAAACTTTTGATCTTCATGTATAATCTATCATTAAGGCCAGTGGTCCGGTCATTAATGTCCGGTATATGGGGGATAGGGACAATGAGACCCGCCCCCCAGGGGAGAGGTTCTGCTAATGACCCTATCTAGGTATAGATCACAGGACAAACATAGATTTGTCAGGCAGTATACTCATTTCCTAATAATCTCTATAGAAATCAAATACATAAAATTGGAAATTGGAGAGTGTCATGATTATCGTAATACTTTAAGATTTATTTGAAGCAGTTGTTTGATTCTAACGTCATTCCAAAGATAATGCTATCTGATCTATCTTCTGACTGTACGATTTCAAAGATTTAAAATTAAAGCCATTAAAATATCTTATAGATGTGTGAATTTCAAATTTAATGATGTTTGAAATTAAAATATTGCAATTTATTGATGAAATACATCAGATTTATTTTTATCTGGTAGTATTTGAAAATCTTCCAGTATATATCCAGTAACACTAAAATTAATTGTGTTTTGTGTTTAACTTTAATTTACAATGCAAAGAAGAAATCGATATTTTAAAATAGGATTCTATCGTCGCATTTTCGTAATAGATAAATTGAGATCTTGCATTATCAGGGAGCATTGCATCAGTGACAGAAATAAAAACCGATGGCTAGCGACTTTATTGATGTGTAGTCTCAAACACCTGCCTTCAGGTACTTATTAATAACTGGTTCATCCTTGATCACGCTCAGATGAAGTTCAGCCGTCATAATTAGGGAAAAAAACGCACAGATCTTGGATAACATATCAAGTTAACGCCATCATGTGGCACTTCACTGCAAAAGAAAGCACACGACAGCTGTCAGTAACTCCGCATTATAAGAATAAAAAAAATCGGGTTTAACAACTTTATAAAACCCAGTACTTTGTCATAGTTTTTTAGCAAAGTTCACCAAGCGGGTCTGTTGATTATTTTTATTTTTTGGGTTGCTGGATGCGATGAATTTAGATTATGTACTTTTGCTATGTCAATAAGACCCAAAGTCTTTTCCTATTTACAGCTTCCTTTCTTGGCCATTCCTAGTCTAATAAAGGAAATAGTTTTCTTTCTTTTTATACCTTCTCAATAAGGTGTGCTATTCTGTTTGACTGTTTACAAACGTATTAAAAAGGAAAGTACTGGTGCTTTGCCATATGTTGTTTGGGGTCTCAGTGTTTGTGAGCTTGTTCATGGGCCTAGTTATTTCTAGCGGGAGAATTTTTATCAATGAATGGCGTGGGAGATTCTATTTTAATTTTATCTATAAAATGTGACGATTTTCTGTCATTATTGTACACCTGAAGTGTTCATATCCTATCCTTTTTTTTGTCGGTAATGTGAAACTTTTACCCTCTGATAGCGCTTTTGTTGGCTATTGATAATTTAATCAAATATGATAAATGTCAACAAATTTTAAACAGGACCAAATTAAATGTTGAATTTATTTCAAGCAAGGAAAAAAAATTGAACAACAGAATGAACATTAGTATTAATTTCCTTTGAAAGTCTCATATATAGGCTTTACATAAAAAATCAATTTTTGTGTTTATATTTAGAACTATGACTCTTTGGTCTCTAGAGTCCATGAGTCATTTGACCAAATAAGTATATCAATAAGTATATCTATTTAATTTAATTTTCACTGCACATTTTAAAATGGCTGCCAACAAATTGCACTCACAGTTTGCAGTTTGAGTCATGGACGTTTAGGGCTACATGATGTCTATTCTTGGTTGTTTGGTCACTAGCAGATCTGGGGATCCCTGATTAAGGCATGATGATGAGCTATGTCAAAATTAAGATGATTATTGTAATAAAGAAAACTGATAAAAATAACCCCATTGATGTTTAACAGATTTCAGCCTTGGAAAATGAGTGAGATATTGAGACCTCAGATCTGTACTAGTTTGATAATGAATTCAATGTGGCCTCATTGAGAATTAATCAGACATTTTATGTTGTTGTGGCATATGCTCACTAAGCCTATATTAGCCTCCCTGGTTCCACTGGGGGTAGCAAGGGCCATTGGGTCATAGCTTTTGCTCTTTGCTTGTTGGCCACATTACAGTGATGTTTATTGATATCAGTTTATTGAAACTTTTTCTCCCGGTGGTTTGATATGATTAGCAGAGGAAATAGATTTGCCAATTACTGATAGAATTGTGGTCCTGCAAGAGTTCACAGAGATTCTGTGTAGATTACATACAATTATAGCAGCGGGATGGAAGTCCGTACGCAGATAATTCCCGGACTATTCATGGCCTAGGTGCGAGACAGAGTTTAATCTGTTGATAAATGGACTGTTCCCCCATCGCTGGTACCTTACTTTTGTGTCTGGTTTTGAATCATTACCTACCTCTTGCCATAGGTAAAAATAAATATTATATTGTATATACATGTATATCAGTACTTAGAGACAGACACATTTTAGATTTGAGGCTGCAGGGACCAATCTTGGTACTAATAATTCTGTCAAACATATGATAGGATCAGAGAAGTTCTGCTGATTCAACAAGTTTTTTATAAGCATGAACAGGAAATAAGCAGATTGGAGACATCTGTAAATTACACAGCTACCGCTAACAAATATTAATAATTCATTGATTATTTCAACTGTTTAGCAGCATTATACAGAAAAAAATTTCCTCCCTCATTTCAGGGAAAGCTTTGAAGTTCTGAAATTAAGAATAAAAAGGATATGCATGACAAAATTAACAACAAGATCAAGAATTATTGCAATTGTCCATATTTAAATAGGGTTGTTGAAAGACCCAAATTTGAATTCATGATATATACCTTTATTCATTGATTAATGCTGTTATTTTCCTGATTATTTGATTTAATAGAAATAGTCATGTTAACATCGATAACTAAATACCAGGAAACGAAAGTTAGATGAATTTTTTATTTCAGTGGATTTTTCCCACTTTTAAAATTATCTGGTACTAATTTTCAAAATCTAATGGTCTGGCCTCAGTAACAAAGAGTAGATTGCTATTTATATCCTGAAATTAAGAATTTCAATACATTTCTTTCAAAAATTTTTTCACACAGACAATGTGTTTCTCTTGTTTATAAGTTCATTGGGAAAGCAAATATCCGGTAATATGATTAAGCCTAGATATCAAAGTAAAATTCAAAATAATCAAAAATGATTAAGCTGGATAAGGTGCGTATTTTCTTTATACGCATTAAATTTTCAAAATACGCATTGAAAAGTAAAATAGAGCGTACAATTACGCATTAGCAATCATAGATACGCATTACACCACGAATGTACTGCGTACAACAAGTATAAGAATACAGGTACGACTAACTTAATGATTTGGAAGTAAAAATAAAGAAAGTAACCTGGCTTTGAAAAGGTTGACAAAAATTATAGGATTTTCCAGTTTGGGCAACTTTTAAATTACCTTTTTTTTTTTTTTTTTGCTTGTCAACTTTTTCAGGTCAATAAAATAAAAATTTTCTCTGTGCCTATTTTAAAGATGATCCTACGTGCCTGCTATATAAACAAAATACTCTTCAATCATTTGCTGAAAATCAAAATCTGCATTGATTTGAAAATCAGGGAGTAAATACACTTTGGGGTAAAAAATTATCTGGAGCTCTGATGATTAAATCATATTTTCTTTATACATCATATTCCTGTGTATTTGCAGCATAAAGAGAAACTACGACGAGAACAAGAAAACATGCCTAGAAGAATGTCGTATAGAATTGAGCTCAAGCGACGTGAACAAATGGAACAGGTAAAAATAAAGAAGAAAAGTGAAATTATTGTCATTTTTTTCTACAATATACTTGTTTATCAAAAATTATAGGAGTGCTGATGCATGACTTCTGTGCAAATTTGATTTTGAGATTAAGTAATTTTGGTGTTCAAGTTACCGGTATCAACTTTTGGTACATGTGCCTATTTTATGTTAGTTTTTCATCATTGTCCTACTGTCACACTTAACATTTATATCTTATACAAAGAACACAAAGAAATTATTTTAAAAAAAAAAATTTTCAAAATTCATAATTATGCTGAAAGTTGAAAGATATTTTATCAAAATGTGTATGCTTATACATACCGGTACTGCAATTGTGGCTGATAAAAAAGGCAACTGCAGAAATACCAAATATATACCAAGATAACTAAATCGCACTTTTCAGGAAAAGATTTTGGCTGAAGCGAAAGCTGAGGAGATTATATAGAGGCAAGCTGACCATAGATTCGTGAAAATTTTTGAGGCAGAAAGAGAAGAGGAGGAAAAGAAAGCTAGAGAGGAAAGACAGAGGGCAAGAGAGGGTAAGGAAGAACTGAGGAGGGGAAAAAAGGGTATATAAAGGAATACAGGGGGATAAGAAAAGATTGATTGAAGGTACGAGGAATAGGGTTCAAAAAGAAAGGAATGTGAAGTATAAAAAGACCATATATGAAATGGGGGGGTTCTTTCTTAATTGAAACTGGGTTAAATCATGTAGATTATGTGCTATCTATTACAGAAAGGGCCAAGAGATTAGAGTTGAGGGAACAGAGGGCTGCCTACCTGGCGGAGGGGAAGGAGATCCCCCCAGAGCTGATGTATGTTGCCAATACAGGTCACAGCAAATACGTGGACGATCATGACAGGTGTGTACTCAAAATAAGATTTACACAGTATCTTAAAGAATACTTCAACATGGAGAATCTTTTTTAAAAGTCAGAAGTTCTTATGATGTATTAAAATTTTAATATTTTACCCTATATAGCTGTTGCCCAACTTTATTCTATGAACAACTGAGAATGTTTTGAAACCCCAATAAATTCTTGTGTTCTTGTTTTACAGTTACACTAACAGAATAGAATTAGATGAAGAAGTTGTGGAAGAGATGAACAAAGGTATGGGTTAAAATAAATTCTGCATTGGTCAGAAAAAATAAGTACTGAAAAGTTGTCAAGATATTGCAAATGCAAGGCTAGTAGAGTTATTTCCCTTAACTGTTAATCCTGTCAATAACTCTTTGTAATAATCTGACAGTGTTGGAAATGGTGAAAGCCCATAAAGATGCCTGGCCATTTGAGGAGCCTGTCACAGAAGAAGATGCACCTGGTTACCATGACATCATTAAGGTAAGAACATTAACATCATCATGGTAATACATACATTGTAACGGTAAAGAACAACTTTGCTGATATGGAATTAAGGAGGAATTCTATTACCATTCCCATAAAGATGTAGAATTATATGGATTTACAATCACACTCCATTATCTTGAACTTGATGGAGCAAAGAAAAACAGATGTGCAAGGATTTGAAGTGTCAAGGATAAAAACATGGAAAAAGTGTTTGGAACTTCTAATTTTCTTTGACACTGACCGACTTTAACTTTCTGTCAACAGAGACCCATGGACTTGTCCACCATCGAGAAGAAGCTGACAAACAGAGCCTACAGAAGCAAGAACAGATTTGTCCAGGACCTGAACTTAATGCTGGACAATTGTCGACAGTTCAATGGGGAAAATAGTGGTGGGTATTACCTTCATATCTTTGATACCACACTATTCATCCGGAGACAAAAATCATAATTTTAACAAAGATTTGTATGATTTGCTTTTAAAACTGCAAGTTAAAAAAAAGTTGTAATTGGTAATGCAGCAGAGGTGTGAAAACTGAAAAAGGAAATCCCTTATTAAAGAGTTTTAACTAGCCTTGGAAAAAGGGTTACAGAATTGAGAAATTTAATTTGGAAAAAAGCATTTTAAAGATTAGTTTGAATCAAACATATTTCATTGTCATTTAATAATACAAATGGGAGATGGACAACTACTAAATTGTAAAGAATGGCTTCAAATTTTGCCTAATGTGAAATTTTAAAAAGACCATTAATATACCATTAACTGACAAAGATGGCAGCACGAAAGAAATTGGTTTGTCAGATTATCTTTATTGTGAAGCAGCACCTGAGTTATTTAAACATGCATATTAAATCCTGGAGTCCTACGTTAAGTTTCAAACCTAATTTTCATTACTTTTCAATTTACTTGTTTTCACAATTAATTAATGAAATGATGAAAATTTCTATTTTTAAAAAATGTCATATTTTTACCTGTAGCCCCCCCCGTCCTTCCCGCGAAAAAAATATAAACAAGAGGACACACTCTGTCGAGTTGGCAATGGATGACAATATCAAATTGATGTACTTCAATTTTTTAACAAATTTAATATGAAAATTTTAAAACCTGTGTCATAATAATTACTTGAATAACAAAAAGTGCATTGCATTTGATTTTTTTACCCTTTCATATTTTAAGAATTAATTTTGGTTCAAACACTTCCATCCAGAGATAAAAATCATCATCATAATTTGCTTTTATAATTGGTAAAAGCGTGTTCACTACCAATGGAAAAGGAGAGTTTTTTAAAAAAGCATTTTGAAGATTGGTTTGAATCAAACATATTTCATTGTCATTTAATATTACAAATGGGAGATGGACAACTACTATGTTCTTACTATGTTGATGAAATTTTTTTTTATTTATGTTGCAAATTACTGTAAACCAAATTTTATTCGCGACGACTTTATTTCGCGATTTAATGGGGGTAAACTAATTTGCTCGAGACACACTAATTTTTGCGATCAAGAATTTGATGTACTTCAATTTTTTTTAACAAACTTAATATGAAAATTTTACCTTGATGTATTATAATTACTGTATTCTTATTTTGATTTTTTTTACCCTTTTCATATTTTAAGAATTGATTTTGGTTCAAAATATATCATCGATCATAAGGTTCTCAAGAACTTTGCAAAAATTTCTTGCAGGGGAATAAAAGTTGGTTTACTGTATCTTTTTACACTGATCAATTATGAATCATGTGACTTTTAATTTTAGAATCTCACTATGGATGATGATGATGACTCCAGAAGCAGTAGTCCTAAGCTGGTCAGAGTAAACAAGAACCGCCTCATCCCAGAGCTGTCCTCAACCGTTAACCTCAGAGAACTGATCAAAAGGCCTCTGATTATCAATCCTAACTCAAACAGCAAATTAGAATGGGACCCAGAGAAAAAAGTTGTTCGATTAAATGGACAGAGTCCCTTAGGTCCACAGTTTGTAACCCGTGGGGAAAATCCACAGTTTATAGCAAAAGAGGAAACCAAGAAGTTCTCCCCGTACCAGGTGAAATCAGGGACGAAGAACAATTGTTTTATCATGGACCAGTCAGGGAACCTTCAACATACTATTGTACACAATGGGAAAACCTTCATCTTTCAACAGAGGCCTACTAAAGTGTCGACTAAAACCACTACACCTGGCACACCTCAGAGAAGTCTCCTGTCAGCTGTGTCTACAGCCCAGAAAACACCAGAAAAGACACAAGGTAAGTCACACCTGTCTACAGCCCCGAAAATACTGGAAAAGTCACCAGGTAGGTCTACAGCCCAGAAAACACCAGAAAAGTCACAAGGTAAGTCACACCTGTCTATGGCCCAGAAAACACCTGAAAAGTCATAAGTCTACAGACCTGAAAACACCAGAAAAATCACAAGGTAGGTCTGCAGACCAGAAAACACCAGAAAGTCAACAGGTATGTAGCAGCTGTTTACAGTCAAGAAAACACCAGAAATTCATTAAGATGCAACTGTCTACAGTCTAATAAATACAGAAAAATCAAAATGATAAGACGCACTTCTTAGCAACCAAGAAAATACAGATAAGTAACCATTTCAGTAGCATCTTTCAAACATTTTACCAAGTGCTGTAGGGAATGTGTTTTGGCTATGGATTATGGTAAAAGTTGTATGTATTAGTAGCTGTCTGAAGAATGTTCTCTCCAAAAAATCTAATCTGAAGTGTTACAATTGTCTACAAATGTAGCAACATAAGATTATTAATAAAAGTGGGAATTAGTAAGTATAATGCAACGTATGATGCTTAAAAAATCTAGTTATCTACTCATCTAATACTATTATAAATGTTTTGTAGGTCAGTCTGAAATCCTGGCCGGTCATGGACAGAGTGGGGGCACCATGAAGGTCAATCTCCCCATCACCCAATCAGCCTTGACCCCAGGGAACCAGTTTGTGGTGCAGACCCCACAGGGACCCAAAACCATACGTATTGTCTCCACCACTAACCAAGCACAGTCCACCTCCACCATTCTGCCCACAGTGGTGACTAAGCCTCAGACAGTCACAACAGCCACAGGGGAGGGGATCAAAGTGTCCGGGGGAATGCTGGTCCTTGATGGGCAGGTCACAGGAATTCCTGTGTCAGGAAAAACCAAGATAATCTATAAAGGTCAGTACATGTAATACTGTAGTGGGATGTGAAAAATACATGTATGTACATGTACATTGTACATCTCTATTTCTGCATGTGGAAAACAGAAGAGGAATAAATCATTTACTGATTAACTTCTAAACACATTTTTATACTAATTACTTTAAGTTCTTAATTGTTATTCAATCATTGAGATATAAATCATATCCAGATATTGATTTTGGGCTCACTGAGGCAAGCATTATTAGTGCTACATGTTTTAAAGTTTATTTATAAGCATGCCACCAATTGTATCTGAAGCATCAAAATACTGCATGACTCTTAATATAGGCATACATTGTTATGCTAAAGAAAAGTCTGCTAAGAGATCAAGTGCAGGGGCATACATACCCAGCATATGATATTTATGAAAACATTTTATAGGTAGAGTTTTATAATCTTTATTGAATTTTTAGCTCCAGTTGGTGTGGGTTCTCCAGGAACATCCTCAGGGAAAACTATTGTTAAACTGGTCACCACTCCAGACGGCAACAAGATTATACAGAACGTAGGACAACCGACACTACAGAATGTAGGACAACCAGCCATCATCAAAGCCATGGCAACACAGCCTGTCAGGCCAGCCACCCAATCACAGCCAGCCATCATACAGGCTCCACCCACAAATCAAGCCATCATCCAGTCCCCATCCATCAGAACCACTACCCCCGGGGCTCAGCCGCGGGGGCGTCTCCTACCTGAGCTTTCAGCAGAGTCAGGCTTCAGTGGCTTTGTTCCAAGCAGGCTTGAGGGAGCAGAAAATCCCTCCACAGAAACTCCTCAGACTCAGAGTTCTGTGGCTGCCACCCTGGTTAAGAATCTTAGTGCCACACCCATACATAGCCAAGCCCAGAATGTGATTCTCAGCATGTTGCCAGGCAGTGACTTACTTTTGCCTACCCCTGTACAAAATATAAATAAATACATTGATGATGAAGTGTATGCAAGTGTAAAAGAGGATCAGAATAAGCAAAACGTGTCCAACACAGACTCTATACCAAATGATCAAAGTGTGATTAATGAGGCAATCATTAGTACGGCCAGTGGTACTGTACCACAGAAACGGAAATTAGAGAGCTCCGACTGTGAGGTACCACCCAAACTGTGGCAGGGAGGTGAGACAGTGATAAACAACCAGAACATTTCTAATGTGAATGAGGCATCCACCATTTCCAGTATACCAGTAGCAGTTTCCTCTGAATCTGTGGTTTCCAGTGTCCCCGTAGATTCGTCGGTGCAGTTTGCATCAAATACACCAATTGTTTCCAGTTTCCCATCAGTGTCCAGTGTTCGCATAGGGTCTAATGTACATTTAGTGTCCACTACTCCAATTGTCTCAAGTGTGGGAGGCAACATACAACTCTTATCCTCTTTGCCAGTAGTTTCCAACATACCTGCCAGTTCGAACATTCAGATCGTGCCTCTGGTAACCAGTGGTGCAAATGTGACATCACAAAACCGGCCAGTAGGGGAATCCCCAAGTAAGAAAGGCAATTTGTTTGACAATTTAGAGACACTTGTGCCAGATGCTAAATCTGCAGCAGTGAAAAATGGCATTTCTGATCAGGATCCTCAAAGTTCATCTCCACCCAAAGCCTCACCTCCTGTCTTTAAATTATCCCCTGAGGTGATGAACAAAGTGTCCATGTTTGCTGCAAATCTCCACTCAAATTCCTTGGCCAGCAAACTACAGGGGTTGACAAAATCACCGACTGGATCAGCTTCAGTTCAGGTAACCTGATTGTTTTAGCATGCTATACACAGCTTTAATTCAGCCTTTATGAAGTATATATTATGTAAATTGGTAGATGGCTTTTGAAGATTTTCATGCTACTGCTTTTAAGCTTCTAGAAATGTCAAATTTTATTGCCTGAGATTACATTGTGTGCTTATAGTCATGCAATCACATAAGATAAGTTTAGTCTGGATTTAAAATTATTACCTGACAAGAAGTACTACTACACATTTAAAAATTAATTGACATTCTGAAAATACAGCATGTTCAAATATTTCATTGCTTGGCTTCCATGTTTTAGAGCATAAATGTGGCCAACATCTTGACCAATCCAGTCACAGCAAACCTCACAACCATGGCAACTGCAATACCACAGGAACAACCAATATTAGTGCATGATGGGAATTTAGAGGTCACGACCTCTTCCCAGCCAGATGTGCTTGTTACAGGGCCCCAGTTTACAACAGAGCAGCTGGTAGAGGCAGGCTTGGTACCTAAACAAGACCACGTTTGACAGATGCCTTAGCTAGACCAATGTTTACTAATCACCTGTAGGTTGCATGTGCCATCATTTGTCTTAACTAATTATATAAAACATTGTGTGAAACTTGCAAATTATATAATTGATTTAATCTTTGGAGACTTCTATTATTCATTCTTAAATTCTGTATTTTTGAAGCAGAACAAAAAAAGACCAACAGACAAAGATCAGCAGGACTGAGTGGCAGAGGAAGGGAACCAGTTTATACAGAGTAAAGGAGCCAGAAAAGATGATACATCATGAAGATGTTTACATTTTTCCATTTGTGTTGTGTGAATTTGCGAGGGGAGGTGGATGTTTGAGAACGTAAAATGTTATTTAACTATTGTAATGATTGAGATTTGCATTGGTTTCTTTTCTTTTTTTTGTGGTCACATTTGTACATTTAATGAACTAATCTACCATTGTTTCATATGGGTGAGATATCAATAATTTCTTGTTAAAATGTAGATGAAATTGAATGTGTATAGACTGTGTTAATAACAAGTGTTTACATGTTTACCAATTTGTGATGCTCCCTGAGAGTTATATGTGCAACTAATTTCTAAATTTGTGTATTTTTTCACCACTTATTAAAATCTATTTATTTTGACAAATGTAGATGCATCTTGGGTTTTCTCATTATTTTTTTCAAAGAAAATAGGAATCTTGTCAGTGTAATATATGAATATCCTTAAACTTTTTGGATGATGTTTGAAAGTTGACATGGTCTTATGGAAACCTAAAAATTGATGTTGTAACTGGTGTCCAGAATAAAGTCATTATGTGTTAGGGGCATTTATTTTTTTAATTCAGAATTTCTCATATGAATTTTATGACACATCTGAAATTTTTTATCAATTGTGTGTCAACAGCAAATAAAAAATGTACATCATTTCCTTTAATTGTTCTTAACTACCTGTATGGTTAACATAGCTTGTTTAACCATAGACCTCTAATCTATGGCTTAACTAGCTCCTGAGGAACTTTTATTTCATGTAGATCGAGTCTATGACAGGTGAGTTTACAGTAAAACTTCCGAGTACCTTTGTCAGCATTGTCTTAAGCCATGGTCCGGAGACGGCATATAGCTTTCTCCTTCCCGTGGCTGCTTGATCACAAAAAGAGTCGTAATCTTGAATATTTACTCCTCTCTATTTTTACATCGTATTCAGCCATTGACAATTTTTGTTTCCATCGCAATTGAAATCAACAATTGACATCAGCAATATACAAGAAATATTTCCTACACTGAAAGGTCACATCAAAGTTCATTACTAGTATCGGACTATGCTTTACTCACATTGGTCAATATTTTAATGAGCCATGAAATATTCTCTTCTAATTCAACCACGACCAGAGTGGGAGAGGATTGTACATTTTTTGCTGGTTTGCAACAATGCTTTGTCAGCTGGAAAGGAAATTACGGTGGAATTTTGGTGTCTCGAACTCTCATATATCTTGAAACGGTATATGTATATCAAAATCAAAGGTCAAGGGCAATGGATTATAAATGTTGGTACCCAAGGGAAGATCTTGCCACAAGTAATACACTTGTTAAATATGAAAGCCAAAGCACTTTTCATTCAAAAGTTATGGCCAATGTGAAAGTTTTTCAAAAATAAGTTAAACTGTAAGTTTTCACTGCTTGACCCAGTGGGTAGGGAATGACCATTTGATTCTGAAAGGGGGGCTGGCAATTTCTTTTCATATTGGTGAAGAACAGATTATTTATTCTGGGGGGGGGGTAATAGCACTGATCAGGGACAGATTATATATTTCCTGTCAAGTCGACAGATTATTTGTTTTCAACATTTTTGAGGACAGTTTATTTCCAAAATCTGCCAGCCCCCCCCCCTTTAGAATGAAATGGTCGTCCCCTTAGAGTGTCTGCTCTAGAGTCGTGAAGTATGCCGCAGGTTCAAATCCCACTGTGGGATGTGGAGACTGCATGGTCCTTCGGATGAGATCATATAAACAGAGACCCCTTGTCACAGTAGGTTCTAGCCCGAAAAAGATCCCTCGATCACTGCTCAATATCCCCCCCCCCCGTGCCAAGTGAAGGACAAAAAGTTACAGCTCTCCACCGGCAAGTTGTGGCATCTCCATATGAGTGAAAAATTCTCCAGTTAAACAACAAACAAAATATAAACTCTAATATTAAGGTCAAGGGGATCATTCTCTATAAGGCCGTTTTGCGGCCTACAATGACATCAAATTTTCAGATAGTATTTTTTCCCTTAAAAATTGCATGAATCACACACACAATGATAAATATTGGTTGGTTAATGATACAAAGTATTTTAAATGATATAGGGTCACAAAGTAAGGTACTATCGATTATCATTAGAGTAATTCAAGAGGGTGGATGTGTTAAAATTTTGTCATAACCACCTTTAACCAACACCAAAATTTGCATGTAAATTTCTAATAAATATAAAAAGTGACTACCAAATTATAAATTTGGTTAAAGGTGGTTATGACATCCAAATAAAAAGTTTTCGCTTCATTTTTACGATATTTGCAGAAAAGCTAACTACTCACAATAAAGGATATCTACTTATGTAGATTATTTCTTTTTATGAACTTTTGGTTAGAGTACAATTTTCTGTTGATTTACTATGATTTATATCAGCCATGCATATCTACTATAAATAAATGTGAAATTTTTACTTAAAAATCTAAAATCAAAGGACTGAGAAGACTGGATGTCATGAAATTACAAGTGGAGACGTTTCTTTAAAATGTCTGATAAAAATTTAGAAATAAAAACTTTTTATATGCTTTAAATTGTGAATATGAGTTATCTTTTATATTTATAATGATAGTTTAGTTTAGGTTCTTTTTATGCTATTTCTTTGAATTCCGTTATGAGTATTGCATATATTCTTTGTATTTCCTTATGAGTACTGTATACTGAGTATGTTGTAGAAATGATAAAAGCCATCTTTGTTGAAGCGGTAAAATGCATTTCCTATTTGTGTTATAGACTTTTTTCCTATGGGTACACACATAATTTTTATATGGACACTTCCCTACGAATAACATGTGATCCATATTTTGTTAACTGCATGGGTCTGAATTGAGAGGACTCAATCTATCCATCACACTTCTTTGATAGCATCGATATAAGTTATGAGAACAGTAGTCCTGTCTTAGAAAATAAACTGGTAAGGAGGAGAGGAATTTCTATATGTAATATGTGATTTATAATTGAATGTTGCTTTACCCCATTAAAGGATCTTTCAACCAGATAAAGAGATCATCCCTTTAAGGTCAAGTGTTTATGCATAGTTGCATTACTGACCAACGCCTAACGTGGGACGGGACCTTTTTTTAAAAAGATAATATCCTAAAGACTCATGACATTTACTTTAAATTCTAAAGACTTAGGTAGGGAACTCTCACTATCCGTGTTAAACAAGTTTTTGACGCTACACTGGGAAAGAGAGTGAATTTAACCTACAGGTTTCAAGAGTGGAAAAGGAGCATCAAACCCTTAGGGTCCATTTTGTACCTGGGATGTTGTAGAACTCTTAAGTCCATATACTAGTATATACGAAAACTTCTGATATGCATAGTTGAAGGAACTGTTCAAATTCTATACTCCATTTTTATGTTGTGCCGTTAAATACGGGGGAGGGGGGTCTCAACTTTTATACATGTAAATACATAAAGTTTAGATGGCATTTTAATTTAAATATATCGTGCAACACGTGTAATTGAATAAAAGCAAAGCCATTTTACGACGATATTTCATTTCACTTAGAGATGTATACTTTAATGCTTATTTTATGCGTAAAATAAGTAACACATCTATAGAAATGATATACAATTACAATATAATTATATATGATATAATACTTTTAATAAAATGCTAATCAAACTTTTGTCAGCATCATACAGTGTGAATTTCGTAAAGATTTACGTTCAAAATATGCAAAATGTGGATGCATCGGAATTCTTGTCATAAAAAATATCTTGAACCTTAAATTTATAAAATCTTCCAATTTATTACTTATGTCTGATGTATTTCCGACATGAATAAACAATTTTTGATCATTTACATTCAGAAACATACAAAGAAACTTGATTTGAATAGACCCACCCTCAATTTTTCTTTAACTGACGGCCATTTTTTATTTCTAAATCACGTGACTTAGATGATCGATGTTGAAAAACAAACATCAAAATCATGAACTTGAATGATCATAATTATATAAAATCACATCTTAAAGTGATTTTATCGTAGGCCGGAAAATGGCCTTACAGAGAATCAACCTTTGTTGGTACCTAAGGGAAGGTCTTGTCAAGAGATGTACACACACGTGTGAAGTAGAAAAAAAGTCCTAACAGAAATTATTTTTAAAAATTTTGCTATAAGATGTAAGCTATAAGCTATAAAGTTTGTAGGAATTGTCCAACAAGCATTCTCTGAAGAGGCTGTCATGTAGTTAACGGTGTAGACTTGTGACAAAGGAAGCTTTTCTGGTCTTTGACCACTAGTGATAAAAATGGAATCAAGGTCAAGAGGTAATATACATACATATTTGTGTCCAAACAAGAAAGAACAAGCGAATTCAAATAATTGTGGTCCCCCGCTTTCGGTGTCGTTGTGGGTGAAATTTCATTTTTTTTTATGGCATATTATGTCAAATATGAACACCCTATCATAATTTATGTCATTCAGAAAATTAAAAAACATGTCAATCGTGAAGGTCAGGTGGTCAGAAATCATAGCATACTCAGAAATATCTTGTCACAGGTAATGCACATGTGAAATATGAAAGCCCTATCTCTTCTCAATTAAAAATTATAAGGAAAAATCAAAATTATTGAAAAGTAGGTCTAATGTCAAGCCCAAGGTCACAAGTTAAAAAATCTTAGTGTATTTAAAAAGATCTTGTCACAGGTCATATACATCTGTATTATGAAATCCCTATCTCTTCTCATTCAAAGGATATGACCAAGGTTAAATTTTTTGTGTCGGACGGACAGATCACATCCTTACAGCTAGACAGAGGGAAAGACGAATGAGATTTAATGTCCCTTCGCTTTCGTGAAAGCGGGAGACAAAAATTATTTGCAATTGCTCCCCAAATCTTCGTTTACGGGGGAATAAAAATGGGGCAAATACGAGTTTGCCGAATATGTATTTAGTTTAATTATCAATCAAACTTTGGTAATATCTCACATGTAATATCACTTTTCATGCAAAGGGAAAAACATTCAAATAATAGTAGGCATTGTAGATTCTTTTTATATATGATAGATATGAAAAAGAATTTGCAAGTTAAACTCCATAGTAAAAAGATCATTAATGTTGTTACTCAAAAAACAAGACTTGTCTCAATGAACATGCCTGTGAAACGAAACATATGGAGATAACTAACGGTATTCAAGATCAAAAGTTCATAAAACAATACAAAAGAGGAGCAGAGCAAACACGGACCTCCAAAACATCAGAGGTGGGATCAGGTGTCATGGAGGAGTGAGCATCCTCTGCTGACCGGTCACATACGCCGTGTGTTCTTTGTCATGATCGGGAAATAACGGAAAAATCCGTCTTCTTTTTAATGTATAAATAACGGACTAATAATTAGTATGAAATTAAAACGTCAGTCGGCATGCATGCATTTGACTCAATGATAAAGTGTATTTGCTGACAAGGTCATTGTATTTACCATAGAACTTACGAAATTATGACTCTAAAAGAGACTGCTAAAATTCTTGTTTCATCAACTTTTATGTCAATAATTTACCTCGTTTTAGAAATTGTTCATACGTAGAGCATGATCTGGCATATCAAATCAACTGAGATAGGCCTATATCACAGGCCTTTGGATGGCTTACCAAAAAAATGTTAAAAAAATACACACACAATTTTTTAAAGCGATCCAAAGGCCTGTGAGAAACTCCGTATGCACTGAGGTGATGAAGGTATATTGCTGCATAAGTAAGGGAGGTTGATGATTGTGAAGTTAGTAATCACGTTTATCACAGAGCTTGGTTGTTAGATCACCATTAAAGTCTTTTTCAAGTAAAATATCCAAATATGAAACAGATGTGTCAGACTCTGTGGTATCTTTTGTCTCAAGCTTCCCGGGATATATTACTAATAGTATATCGGCATAAGAATGGAAATTTATTGACATTACGTCGTCGATATATCTAAATGTCGAGTTGAAGGCCAAAGTACGAGGGTTGATCCAAAAGTTCGTGGAATTTCTTTCTAAAATTTTATCGTGATTTGATGAAATCAATCAACAGGCATATTCATAACAGTGGCGTAGCATCGTTTTTGAAAGTGGGGGGGGGGCAGGCAGAGAAATTTTTTTTTTACTTACCTGAAAAAGTTGACAAGCAAAAAAAAAAAAAAAAAAGGTAAAAGTTGCCCGAAGTCGAAAATCCTATTTCGGGGGGGGGGTGGGTAGGTAAACTTTTTTTCAGTGTCAACTACAACTGGCCCCCCCCGGATACTACGCCCCTGCATAATATAGAGTCATAATGCAACAATATTGGAAAATTTCACCACTTTCCAATTACCAATAAGGTCACACGAGCTTTCTGAAAATGGATAGTTGGGAAACCCGGGGGAGACTTCGACGTAACGTCAAGTTAGATATGTCACGTCACGTTATAGAAGCATCTCGCCCAAATGTCCAATTATACTACGTAATTCTACAAAATGCTGCCTTTTTCTCCATTTTTTTTCTCAAAAAAAGCCTGGGTATCCTCTCGCACCAACTTATCTTCATTTTTTACTCATATTTCAAAATACTACCAATCTTTCCATATGATGTTCCAATTTCAGCAGCAATGTCAAGATCAGATCGGCAGCCGACAACGTCCTTTAACGCTTTAAATTTGGCTGGGGGGATACGTACTTAAACAGAGCCTGTAAAAAGCAACCACACTTTTTATCAACGTCAGTGGAAGTTCTATTTTTCTTAAATTTCTTATGCCACTGGAAAACCAGTAACTAAATGCATTTTTCCCAAGCTTATGTCTATAATATACGCGTTTAAGATCGAGTGATCCCGGGATTTTCACAAAACGTGTGACTTGCCCAAATTTTGACGTTAACTTACAACTTAAATATGAGCAATAAATCACCAACTTATAAACAAAATATCCAGTAAAATCAATAAAACTCTCACACAAACGTTTAAAAAATATCAAGCAATCGTAATAATGACATAATTTTCCTTTTATATACCACATAGGGCGGTTTAATTCTTATTTCACGAATTAAGAATTTAAATGATAATAAACGCGTTAATGTCTCCCCCGCATTTCCAAACAACCGTTTCTATGGCAACTGCCATAAAGTTACTATCAAAGATATTTAAAATGTTTTTTAATTTAAAATATTCATCAAGTGTCTATATTTTCATTTGTAATTTTCAACCAATTTCACTGAAAAATAAATGAAATATGAAGAAATTCCACGAACTTTTGGATCAACCCTCGTAAGTGTTTTCTTCTTTTCACATGTACATATAAGATTTTGGACAAATTCTGCTTTATATGAATACAAAAATAGGTCTTCTAATAATGAGGCGCAATTGGTACTCATGGGAATTCCAATTGATTGTTTGAAGACCTGGTCTTCAAAAACCACATAGATATCGTCAATCAGAATCTCGAGCATCTTTTTATGTCAACTTCAGAGTACTTGTGTGTACATTCAGAATGTAATTTAACAAAATAAGTAAATTTACGAATCCCATGTTTTATTTTATTGAAAAAGCAGCTGTCAGTGATATTTAAAAAAAAAAAAACAAAAAAAACTTGAATTTGATTTATCGCGGTGAATGGTTGTGTATAAAGTCGAAAAGTCGTAAGTTTTTAAGCTGTTGATTTTGGTAAAATCTTGTGATTTCAAATTGTCCAAAAGTTCCTTGGAACTTAAATTTTAAGTATTTGTAGTATACCTGATTTACACCGCTTCTTGAATTTATTGTTGCACAGTACTCTTGTCAGTATTGAAGTTTCTCCTTCACTACTGTTACTACATATCTTAGAGGAGTGAAGGAAGAGGCTTGGTTGAGCATTTCCTGGAACCCGCTATATATCTTTGCTTGTAATGATTTTTGTGAAGTTTAGGAATCCAATATATATTCATTTTGTTCTTTGAAGCATGAAAGCCAACGCCCCAACCAGTGAGTCTAAAAGTAATGTTACCCAGGGTAAGGCATTGTCATAAGAAAAACACATGAAATTTAAAGGCCCTGGCATCAACTGTTCAAAAGTTACGACCAAGGTTAAGTTTGTGGAAAAGATCAAACTCCTAGGTCACGGTCAAAATTGTTGGTATTCAAAGGGAGGTCTTGTCAGAAAGAATACTCGTGAACCTATCTGAAAGCCCTGATACCTACTGTTCAACAAGACTGAGTTTTTAAAAAGGTGCCAAGCTCTAACCACTCAAAATCGATTGCACGATTTCGGGATTCCTTTGTAGGATTTCGGAAATTCGTCTGTACGATTTTTAAAATCATTTGAACGATTAAATAATTCGTACGATGTTGAAATTCGTATATACGATAAAAAAAAATCGTCTGAATGATTTGGAAATTCGTTTACAAGTTTAAAAAATGTTGAAAATCGTTTTAATGCTTGAAAATGTCATTTGTGCAATTTAGAAATTCGTTTTGAACGATTAGAAATTCTCCTGTACAATTTAGAAAATCATTTGTACATTTTTAAATCATTTAATCGAACGATTTAGAAATTACTCAATTTAGGAATTCTTTGTAAAGAAAGAAAATGGAAACACATTGATATATATAAACAATTATCCAGATCTCACACCAAAATTTTGGAAACAAATGATAATGATATATCTATAGAGAGAACACACTATAATTATTTTTTCAAGTTTTAAAGTCCTTCAATTAATGCCAAAACATTCAAAATCTTGACAGTTTAAGTTGACTGAAGTAAAATACGGAATAAAAAGTAAAATGTCATATACCGGGTAATTATTTAAGTCGATAACTTTGCAAAAACAAAGAACTTGCTTTTCGCATATGCATTTTTGATAAGTATTGTTATTCATTCTTCTTTGGAAAATTTGTTTTAAAAAATGACTTCACTGAGTAGACATGCACAAAGCATCGTTTTTAGAAGTCGGAGGGCGTGTCTATAGCTAATAATGGACAAGCAAACAGAAAAAAACTCATCTCAAGAAATAAATTGACAGACAAAATCAGCTGAAAAAGGAGATCTGACAAAACATTCCTATTTGGTTTGGAAGTAGGTGTAGGAGAAAAACTCTTTCTACAAAATATGTTTGTCAGTATTTATACATTAAAGTCTACATGTACTGCGGTCAAAAAGTATAGGGATCGAGGGAGGCCGGGGAAATTCCCATGCTAATAAGGGAATACTGGTATTATACACTGCATAACTAAAAAGTCGCCATTCGAGGACTTATATTAAATTATGATAAATTAACATTTTATATATAATCTAAATAAAATATTGTTTGAAGTATAATCATTAAACAGTTTTCATCATTTTCTTTATCGTTCAAGCGAATGTTTTCTAAATATGTTCAGAGTGAAACGATTTTCTAATTGTTCAATTTTCTATATCGTTTGAACCGTTTAAACAAATTTCTTAAATTACAAAAGATTTTCTTTAAATCGTTCAAATTGAAGGATTAGGCCTATATTATTTTTTTTTGCATATGCCCGTGTGTTGAACAAGTTATCTTCCGTAGCACGAACTCTTCAGTGCTGGAAAATCAAATGAGTTGCTGATGCGAGGATGATTCACACGATGTGTTCTCGGTGTCCGATAAACACAAGGGATAAACCAAAGCACATTTAATTTTATATGCAGAGTCAAGTGAGATCTTCCGTACCAGTTTGTTGGTGATTTGTAGTGCATTTTTTAGTCGTATTCACTAATGATGAGGCGAGAAAGAATAAATCGAAAATCTCTTGCTCAATGGCGGAGAAAACCCGATCGATCGCTGTGAATTTGGAATATTGTTAATAGATGTCATTATAACGGAGAGTTTTATTCCCAGTAGTGAACCCCATGTCGCGTCCCCAGGGACGAAGCACCCACGGGCACAAGGAGGAACAGTATGTGGGCCCCTACAAGTTGGAGAAGACCCTGGGAAAAGGTCAAACGGGTAGGTTTGGTTTCTGTCACTAATTAGTATGTGCATCGACAGGTGCTCGATTATCCGTTAGGAATCATAGGTATCTGAATAATTACCCAGTTACCTGTGAAAATAGCAATATGTCCAGTGTATGTTTTAGATGCACAAATTGATCATGTAATTGTTGATCAAGACTGATTTGCAATATTCATCAGTTGTCATGCAGTACCAACTTGCACTGTACACGCTGTACCATATGAAATGTGTTGACTTTTTTATGCTGGTTGGCAAAATGTGAGAAGGAATCTATGCCTTGTAGTGAACCCCTTGTTTGTTAATTTCGTGTGACAGATGCAGTATGGGACTCCACATATTGATATAACCTTTGGAATTTCTCTGTAAAACATGGCCTTTATTGGTCAGTGAACCTCTCTTGGATAAAATTACATCAGCATTAGGCAATAAATGACTTTTGAATCATGTATCATTTATAAAGCAAGATGTTCAGATGTGGTTCTTACTTGCACTATACAGGTATGAATACTAAAAAACTGGAAAATTGGATAATCTTTGACAACACCATATAAATTTCTTCTTAGATTTTTAAGCCTGACTCCCATTGTGTGGTTGATAATTACTGGCCCAAAATTTTCTTTCCAAGATCCTGAACGTGTGCTACACACTTAGAACTTTCAACATCTTCAAAAGAGTTAAGATTGTATCAATTTAATTAAACACATACATCATGTACATTTTTAAAGGCAGTGTACTAGGCATGTCATTCCTTTTCTGTTCTATATTTTTCCCAACTGAAAAATGTTTAGCCTTAAAGTTCAAAATATAGTTAGAGATATAGACCAGCTAAGATGGAGGATGGTGATGATGAATGCTTAGTAGACCGATCAAATAAACAAAAATTGTACATACATTTTGCAAAAGTGGTAGATCTACAAAGGACATCATCATGATCATTGCAATATGTTGGCAAAGTTGGTCATCAATTTCTCATGTTGATGATAAATATAACTCTACAGTTGTTCCTTTGTGACTCCTCCATAAAAATATGTAGATATATATTTATATGTTTATCATGTTTATTGTACTTAGCTATATTACTTGTTTGTATTCTGTTCCCAGAGAGAAGAACAATGCTTAGGGGAGTCTGTCTAAACAATACAAATGTATCTACATCTTGTTTGGTGGTCTATTTGTCTGTAGTCTAATTAGTAATTAGTGTGAATTACTTATCATGAGCTATATCTAGAGTTATAACTGACAAAAAGCTTAAAAATAAGAAAAAATAATATCAGTATTGAGTAAAGTTTTGGGCCTTTTATTCCATTTTCAGAAGCTTTACACAATAACATACATGTATACTAAATATATTATGCATATAATTACTATAATTAGCTGATTGTCAAGAGCAGTTGACTATGAGAGAGTGAATGAACTGGGTATTATTAAATCACATTGTTTGTCAGCTTTATCATAAAAGAGAATGTTTGTCAAAACACCTTTATTGAAAATCAGGTTCTTAATGTGCACAACTGCACATCATTTGTCTGTTTTCCTCATTATTTCTCTCTTCTCCATCCTTAATCATATTAATCCTCTGCAAATTAATGTTTTTCAAGGAAACTACATCATGTACGACTGCATGCATCCTCAAATCTGGGTTATAATTACAGTGTAATTTGGATAAACATGTTTGTTGTTCAGGAGTCTTTTAGTTCTTAGTTCCTTGACATTTCTAGCATCAATGGTTAATTTAGAGATAAAATGATAATGAAGTGAACTATAAATACCCATATATTTATATTATACTATACTATTGTACTGTCAGTGAGTACATAGTACATGTGTATGTTGCTAGACATATTGGACTGTACCACTTACATAACAAACAAGATCATTTTTCATATTTTTACGTAAAATTATTATTATATTAATTAAACCTGCTTGGTTGTTAGATTATGAGATCCATTAATTACCATTTTGTTGTTTTCCATATAGTTACTGTAATGGTCATTGACTTTGACCATCATAGGATGTGAGTGAGATTTTTCTCGATGGTTACCTATATAATATTATGTGGGACAGTTTTATGCTGGGATGCATTGATTTATGGGTTATTACACAGGTAATTTCTAAATATTGAATGAGGGAGACTCTGGACATTTGTAATTAAATATTAGGAAATCTGGACAGTGGCTTGTTACGATGTTTGTTATTGTCTAGATATCACTTATTTATCAAAGCGGGATCATTAAATGACTAAACAGTTCTGTAGGATAACCAGAGAATGACATAACAGCTTGTGGATGTCAGAAACAAAATAGGTGTTAACCATTGACTTAAGTTTATAAATTCTGTGTTCAAAATATCTATCACATGCAAGTTGATGCAACTTGCAAAAATGCCGAAGGAAAACTTAGTACCGAATACTGTACAGTAGATTCCTTTTAACATGTTAAAAGTAGTCTAGAAAATTCTTTGAAGTACCAGCTGGTCTAAGAAAAGTCAAACCCACATATCTTTAAACACACAGGCAAAAGGTGTAAAGGAGCACACAATTTGAGATGGAACTCAGTTTCATAATAAATGGGTTGGATACACTGAATCCATTGAACTGTGGTGGTCAGCTGGGTTTGATCGATGGTGGCTAGATAGCACAATGGCTAGAGCACCTGACTGGAGATTCGGGGGGCCTAGGTTCGAATCTCGTTCTGTTCTGCCACATTTTTCTCCTCTCCTGTTACAGAACAAATCCATGTGATTCCACTTATCATTTGTGATTAACTCAGTGTACCTAACATTATTTAGCGCTGTAAAATTAGGAAATGCTGTCAATTACTGTAGATCACAAAATTTTCGCGACACCTCATTTTCACGAGAAAGTCATTGACTCTTGATTAGTGATACAATATTTTCACAAATTGCGGTTATTGCTCTATATAATCTTAAGGAATACTATTATACGCGAGAATTAAATTTTTGTGAGCACACTGTCTCGCGTAATTGCGCAAAAATAAATTTCTCGTGAATAAAAAGTGATTTACAGTATAATAGCAGATTCTCACATTGTCATTTTTTAGCACTGCATGAAAACCAGTAAGTTTGGTTGTCTTTCCAAGAATATCTGAAATTTTAAAAAAGGTCTGATAAGAAGAGCATCTTCATGTGTGCTATTTTATTGGTTACTAGTACATAGATGTGAGATTTAGGATATACTGTAAGAGTTGTTTGGTAACTTTGACTTATAAAAAGCTGGCCAGGAGTGTTGTTTTTCAGTACATGTACTACATGTATTGCAATGTCAATGAACTTTTTATAAAAATTACTCAACAGGATTATTAAAATGTGCATATTGGCACATTATCAGCCTTGCACTTCAAAGGACAAGGTACGGTAATGTCCATATCTGGCCCCTAATTTGATGTAAAAATCAGAACACTGGTAGAATTTTGATAGTTTGTAGTTAAGAACTTAAAATGAAAATTGCTTTATGGCATGTCAGATTCAGCATAAAATACTTTTAAAATGACCTAAAATGTCAACAAAGGGGGGCAGGTTTAGAATTATTCCTTGAAAAGTTCCTGGGTTCTCAGAGTTTTTGAAAAAGGTTTTGTGATTTATTTCTTGCTATAAATGTACTTTTTGTACATTAAATGAATATATACATATATATTTTGGGTCACAAATATTTGGGGGAGGGGGGCTATGTTATGTTACTTTTTAAGCCCTTTTAGATTTCACACTTATGGATAATCATTTGGAATCAGCTGATGGATTTCAGTGAAATATTCCTGCTTGATTCTCAAATGTTGCTGCACTTAAAATTGAGATAATTGGAATACAGCTGTGAATCTCCATAATTTCAGAGACATGTGGTAGAAAGATAAAACATCAAGTCTAATGGTACTCTTTGTCATTAATTAAAAGAATAGAAAAAAAGTTACTGTATCTTATTTTCTCAAAGAGCTCAAAAATCTCAAATCTTATAAGCAAATATAAGTACTTGCATCAATTAATGCCAGAGTCTGAAGCTCTTGCATGAAATTAGCTTCAATTTGATGGCATTGAAATGTGTAATAGGTAATGATGAAATCTGAAGTGTACAGGGGGTTAGAACAGCTATAAAATCTCAGGGAGATCTAATTGAAGTCAGCAAGTGAAGGAGCTGGTACATCATTCATCAGGGATAAAAATTGCCTCCCGATTTGTGTGTTGTTACAGCTTAAAGATGATGTGCAAAAAACTTGTTCCAACTTTTCCCCCTGTCTGTCTGAGAAAAGGGGGGCTGTATGATGACTAAGGGGGCATGTGTGGGATGAGGGTTAAATCTTATCTCTTTTATATCAAGATTCATTTTATCATAGTTTCAATTGCCGTCTTTGTGTGTGAAAATGATTTTTTTAATTATTGAAAAAATCAAAATTTTTTTACTTGTCAGTGTTGGATTTGATGAATCTTTCATATAGTTAAGGGTAGGAAAAGTGTGATCATAATTATATCACTTAGAGATTTAAAACATTAAATTGTTCAAAGCAGGACCTACAGTATTGCCATTGATTTGATAGATGTTATAGTAAAGGGAACTCGAATATAATGCAAAAATAGGATAGAAATGGATATTTTTAACTTACTGTTAAGCATCAACACAATATTTATAGGAAATTATACCCATCAATGAACTAAAAATATCAGATGCTGCTGATATATTGGATTTTGGGGGAAACATTTAACCTAATTTAATGGTTTTGATGTCAGAAAACCAATATATTTAGTTATTCATATGGTTTTCTTCAAAGAATGAAGAGAGAGGAGACAGATAGAAGTCATTGTTTACAGAAATATTGTAGCCCAGCTGAATGGCATTCCTACAGTGTTCAAATCAATAGCTCTATATGACCTACTCATTCTCTGAAGGCTTAAGGTTTTATAAAAAAAGACCGGAGTCTCTGAATCTGGAATAATTAATTAAATGAGTGAATTGGTTGAAAAATCTTATTGAAAAGTAATCTTAATAGATGAATAGAGTTCATACATTTTTACTTACTTTGGTGCTATTATGATAATTTTGAGCTTAATCTGGGGTGGGGGGGGATACCAATGAACTGAACAGAAAGAGACAGTCAATATCAGTGTGGTCTATAATTTTAAGTTAAAGGCTTCAGGTCAAAGTCAAAGTTATGCATCAATGTTATAATGTTTCTGTGGCTAGTTTATAACACAGGTTTAAAAAACAGTATATGGTCAAATGTGTGCTGTTAACATTGTTTGTCATTGATGGTTCAGTCTGAAAGTGAACTTTTTTAAAAAAGAGTTGGTTCAACTTTTAAAAACCCATACATATTATCATGGTTGAGAACTTTTTCATTTGTGTCTAGTCTTTAGTGCTGTATAATCAGAAATTTTAGCGAGGATTTAATTTTGGCATTATTAGCAAGGGTGTTGAGATTGCTAAAATTAATTAAAGAAATATCACTAAAAATTATTTGCATTTTCTTTGTTATAGCGTCAATAATGAGCATTTTAAAATCGCCAAATAATATCATGCTAAGATTAAAGTACCAATTTTTATGGACAAATCGCTAAATTTGCCTCTTGCTAAAATTTCAACTTATACGGTATGTGTAAATATTTCATGACACGCAAAAAAGATAATGCATAGGTTGACTCAGATGTCATATTTGCAGACCACTTTTAGTTTTTTCCCAGGCTCTTCTAGATCATATATAGGCAAAATCAATCTTAATTATATAAATGCTGAAGCGACCGAGTCTAGCGTATTGTTGAGAGACTGTAATGGTAACACACATCATTTCTCCTGCTGTATTGGTATTTGTGGGTACTTAGTGGATTCAGATGGAGACTTCAGTAAGTAAGTCCCTGTGGGCCTGATTAAGTTCCATTCCACAGTCTACCAGTATGTGTAGACTTGAGCTTCTCTTTATAAGGCCATTCCAAATTTTTTTCTCTGTTTCATAGAATCTGGATAGAGCCATGTAGTTCACTCTCGCAAGATTAGGCATATGAAGTTCTATCTTGAATTTTCTTTATTTAAAAAAGGTGAGGTCAAGTTCAAAGGAAAGGTCAAAGTCAAAATATGTTGATGCAGGAAAATAGCTCTCATCAATGTTTATCAGCATAGGAAGTTTTATATAAAAGAAAATTGAATAGTTTCTTTGAAATTGAGCTTTGAACTGAGCTAAACGCAAAGCGGGACATCGAGCATCAACAGTATATGGGTTGATGGTGTGATCAACTATAGGCTTGATGGTGTGATAGCATAATGATGAAGCAATGACAATTACAATGATGTGATAATTCAGCAATGCCATAAAGATGGTGTGATAGTTTGATGAAGGATCACAGTGAACATTACTTCATCATCATGGTACCATAGCACCATTGCCTCATCGCTATCACACCATCACATCGTTGCGCTATCACCTCATTGTACCATCGCATCATTGCATTGTCACACCATTGCATTATTATAATCACTTTATTGCTTCATCTTCAACACATTATTTAATGCTTGAAATGTCCATAATAATACATGATCATAACTTGTACATTTATCCCACATTTGATGCACTTACAATGTTGATACAGTATACGGGGAAATTTTCACCCCTGCTTCATCCCCCCCCCTCCCCCCGGCCTACCCTTTATTGGGGCGAATTTAAAGCAGGGCAAATACAAAGAATACAGTATAATTTCTTAAAACTATGACTTGGCGAATTTAAAATGGGGCAAACTTGTTTGTGAGTGTGAAAGGGTGAAAATAACACAAGGCGAAAATAACCCTGTATACAGTAATAAACATACTAGATTTTTTAAAAGTCTGTTTAATAAAATTGCTTGAAAACTAAGTTTGAAAAGTTTCAATGAAACAATTAGTTCCCAATCTATGTTATGCAGTTTTTAATCCATCTAAGAGATTGATCAACATCTGAAACAAGAGGCCTTCTTGAGACTGACTAAAAGTGATTTCAGATCCAACTGAGGAATTTGAAAAAAAAACCCAACTTATTACCCAAATGGAGTCAAATGAGATGCTATACATGTATCTAAATGGTGTAGGGAAAGCATGAATGTAAATTCAAAGTATGTCAACAGCAAAAGAATTATACATCTTTTAAATGTATAATGTGATATTGATGTTTTGATGATGAGAAAGTACTAAGTTTCTGATCAGTGTAAAAAGATAGCATTTATATACACTATGAATTATACCAAATACTAGTCCTGGGAACAGTCTATGGAATCAATAGTGCCAGCATTTTTAAAGTACCATTGATTTTTCACTATTGCCATGAAATTATTTTATCCAATATGATCGTTGCATCATTCATTTCCTCAATGGGATAAAAGTAAATATCATGGGATAACATAATAATTTTGAGGATATATTATGACAGTCTATTTATGCATTGAAGTCCTAGGTATAAGGGGAGTGTGTTATTTATTCTTCTCAGAGCTTCTGGCTAAAAAAGGGACATGAGTGGTATTGATTCTTTCACAGTAACATAATATTGACACCAAACTGCTTTGATCATTTTCACGTAGATGCTTGCTTAGCTGAATCTGTGTTAATGGCTAGACGGAAATGAAGGATGCTAATAGAAATAAAGTAACAGAGTCCCTGCATGAATTTATTTTTTTTACCAAATAAATGATGCAGGATTTAAATTGTTACCATGTACAGGGAAGCGTCCCTAAGAATTAAAAGATAAGGGGGTAATAAAAAAGTAGAAAGTAACAAGGGGATGAGAGGGCATTACCAGGCTGAGATTAACCAGGGGGTCACAATACATCATTATAGGTTTGGAAATTCCCTTCCCCCTCATCTTAAGGGACAACCCTGCTTAAAAATACATGATATAGAGAATTTAAAGAAAAAAACACGAAAGATTCTTTCAGATGCAAAGAAAAATAAGCCAGATAGTTTTCCGACAAGTTTTGAGATAGTTTTACTCTTTTGTTTTCACCATACCAGTGTTTGCCTGACAAATGATGATATGCTACATCACTTTATTAACAACATGATCCCTGGCTGTTAATGAAGAACATGAAGTATGTAGATGATTTTTTTTTAAGATTCTTATAACCTTCCCAATAGATTTCCATTATTTTTCTAACGCATTTCATATAAGAGAAATTGTGTGTGCTCTTCCAACTAATATTTATTGTAAGTTCAGACCTGTAGAGCAGCAGTTTATTAAGAGATTTTTTGTCCAGTTGAAAGTGTTCTAAGGCAAATCAATGACTGAAAATTGCTAATTTTATCTGGAACTATATACTCTTTTACTTCTGCCAGGGAATAAACAGCAATATCTAAAGGAGCTTATTGTTATCATGTCAGACAAAGCATTGCACTTCATGTAGACAGGGGAGGTTACTGAGAGTGTCAAGTGAACACTACACTAATGAGCTACATCTGTACAGGTGCCTCGAATTATGCACTCTGTAAATATTTATGTCTCGGGGATGCAGTGAAAATAAAACTAAGTTTTAAATTATTTATCAGTCTACATGCACTGTTAAATAAAATTTTTCTTCATTTAATTGTATAAAATGACTGTGCTACATAATTATACAAAAAGAAAAGTAAGTTGGCAGTGGATACCTTAGAAAACCACTGAATAGATCAGGATTTCTACAAATAGCGTGTTATGTAGAGGTGAGACAATGCACACAGCTGCAAAAGCTTTCTTTGGAGTTGGAACCTTGCTGTGCTTCAGCAGCTGAGTAAACTGTTTATCCTAACAACTGATCAGAACTACCTGTAAAATCCAGAACAGGCAGAAAATACGGTCACTGCAGGAGAAATCAGGAGACGCTCCAGTAGTGAAAAAACTTGGGGCAGGTTGAAAGGAAAATATCAGCTGCTACATGTTTTGTTTGCCATGTGGGTTTTTTTTTTATTTTTGAGAAAGCTGTATTATGGCTTGTATTGCTTAACAAAGTTTTTGGTCAGTAGGCAGAGGATCAAAACAGAGCTGATAACAAAAATATTGCAAAAACCTTGAAAGAGAAATTTCTGTTTCGCAAAGAAGCTGGAAGATAATTGAATTATATTACATTTTATCAACATGCCGTTTTAATGATCTGTTTTATTTGAGTGCATTTTTATTTGAGAACAAATGTAGCAGCTTATCAGACATAAATTCAGAGTTTGTAAGGTTAAATTATCTGTGTGTATCACATTTGTTACTTAAATGCATATTTACTTTATGGTGAATCTGGCTTATCAGCAAAATATTTTAGATGATTCATTTATGCTTGAATTGTCGGATGACATTTTAATTGCAATTGGGAGAAAAGAAATTTGTGTTTCATGTCATTGTTGATTTATATACATGCAGCTGAACTTCTTGATTTGCAGTTATCAATATTTCAGATACATGGGTATCTCTATATGAGCTAGAAATTCCACCACACTTTCTATTTTAACTTCAAAATCTTGAATCCTTGGAGGTTTCCAAGGTTTTTGCTTGCAGCCCTATTCAGAAAAAAAATAATAAGGTTTGACTGTAGGTCTTTCTTCAAATTTTATTATGACAATAATAGTTGTGTCATTTTGATGACCAGAATTTTATGACATTGAGAATTGGTTATAACCTGAGCACTGTGGTGACACTGTATGTGTTCTATCAATGGTTTATTTATATCTTTCATCAAAATGATTGAACAATTTTGTAAAATATTTTACAGGTCTGGTCAAAATGGGAATTCATTGTGTCACAGGAAAACGAGTGGCCATTAAGATTGTCAACAGAGAGAAACTGAGTGAATCTGTCCTTATGAAGGTCAGTAAGTAAGGTCAAGGTTATAGCAGATTCCTTATTTAATTCATTTCCTCCTATTCTGAGGTATAATTTTATCACTATTTTATTTAATATTTATGTATCCATGAGTATTCTAAATCCTAGTCATGCTTATAAGTGTTTACTTTCAAGATCAATGTCTATGCATGGATTCTCCACTGTATCTTGGTCTTTCTTTTGAGAACCATTTATTTTTTGGTTTGCTCCAAAATTGCTACATTCTTTAATGGATTATATAATTAAAGCATATGAAAGAGTATTTTCATTTATAGCTATTTTGATTTGACATGTAGAGCTGATAAAATTAATAAAGATATCAGATCCATAAAAAGAAAAGCCCAATAGGGAAAGTTGCCATAAAAACAGATGGAACAATGTACAAGTGTCTTCACAAAATCAGGAATATTGGTGTTTTATGTTTACACAGGGTTTATATGGACTGATTATATGGATGTACAGGGATGTGGAATTGGAATTGTTTTCTGCAGGCATCTTGAACACAGAAATTGATTAGTTCCTGACTTTAAAGACCTCGGAAAGATAGTGCACTAAGCGTAATGGAGTATATTATGCATGATGACCATGAAAGTGCTCCCTTTTTTCTGTATTGATCAATTTCTTTTATTTTTTTCTTGTCAGGTTGAACGAGAAATAGCCATAATGAAGTTGATAGAGCACCCCCACGTTCTAGGTCTTTTTGATGTGTATGAAAATAAAAAATATTTGTAAGTATCAGGTTTTAATATTTTCATTGTAGTACAAGGTTAATTCTGCAAGTTTCAAGGTAACATTAAATACCTTTACAACATGACAAAAGAATGCTGAACGAACAATGGCCGTAATAGGCTCTTTCAATCTGATTAATCCATGTGCAGGCCGATAATAGTGTTTAATATTTGTCTTAGCAAGACATTGATGTCATTGATTCGGCCTTTGTTATGGAATATTTGATAACAATATAAGCCATCTGACATACTGTGAGAGTGCCAAAATTACAGACATTTTGGAGCTTTAAGAGATTTATTTTTTGAAAACATTCTCAAATCACTTCCAAATCCTACTAATTAAAATGAGGCATTTAAGCATGTTAAGTAAATATCAGAGTTTAAGAAATATAATCGTAGACTCGTATAACTCCGTCTTTACATCCGACCCAGAGGGAGCGATTTTCGTAAAGAGAAAGGCAGTATGGGTACTTAAGACCCTCTGTTTCTGTGGTAAGAAACTTAAGGAATGCTCCCTCCTCACTTAGCATATGTATACAGTGATTATTGAAGTCTGTTATTATAATATGACAAGAGGAATCACACACTATTCCGGAGGGATGAAATCTGTCTTTCGTATTCTCTTTCCCGTGATACACAAACTTTAATTTTCTTTCAAATGACACAACCTTAATTATCACTTCGTCTTTGGACTGACGATCTACCACACAAATATCTGTATTAAAATTTTCAGCCACTCGGTAGGGGAAATTAAATAATCGAGTTTTTTTGTCATCTGCATATTCATAGGATTCTGTTAGCTTGCCTTCGTTTGTAAGATGTTGAACCATGCGCATGCTGTCTTCACCGACATCGTAACAATCCTTGTCCACAAGACAGACCAGCAGACCCCCGTCTAGGGCCAGCCCCACCCCCAAGGGCATCAGGGGTTTGGTGGTCCAGAATTCCTCCACTTTACCTGTCTTATAGACTTTCTGCATTGTTCCCCCTTCAAATTCTGTGTAAACCATGTCCCCAGAGTTCAAGACGACAAAAGAACTAGTCCATCCCCCTATATAGATCTGTTTTGTAACTTTACCCTGGGAATTCATTCTCTCTGTAAATTTAGAGTTATTGCAGTGAAACCAAGTAAATTCCTCACAGAAAGCATTGATAGCTAGAATCGGCTCATTGCCATGTTTAAAACAATGGATTTCAGTCACTGAGGGCGCTAGAATCTTATCCTCTACCTCATTTATCACGTCAGAAAGTTCACTCAGACTTATTTCAGTGTTGTCATTTATCTCCCGATCCTGAAAAGTCTGTTTGAGGTATTTATAATTGGTGTCTTCACTGACCATGGAACGACCTTGAACAGAATTCTCCCTGTCAGTTTCCTCTTCTGCTAGTGCATTCAAGTTTTTCTGTGGTCATGACCTGAATGATTTCTTGAATTTCCTCCGATTCCTGACCCGCTGCCATCTCTTCATTAAAGATTTCAAATAATGATATACCAGGTGAATCTCTGTCCATAAGTAACCCGGTATCAGTGCTCTTTTCCTCCGTGCGATCGTCATCATCCGTCAGATTTTGTCTTTGACTAATGATGTCATTATCCTCATTCCATAGATCATCTTCATCGGAAGAGATGATTGGATTAATGTCCGGGCTCCAATTGGTCGTGTGCTTTAATTTAGCACTAGAATTTTGTTGGTCATTTTCCACGTATTCTCCGATGCTCTCATTCTTATTAGCATCATTAGAATCTATTTCTTCCTCTTCTTCCATTGATATCCAAACTCCCCAGCCAGGTAAAAAAAAAATTGCCTTGTAGATGTAATGGAGTGGAAACCCTCCTGAATGCAACACAAATTGTTTACAAGAAGTGCAGTTCAGGCCCGGGTTGTTTAGGTAGATCTTTGTAGTTATTTCATGATTTAAATATAAGCTATTGATTTAATGTCGACTTAGTGGACTGTTGTGGAACATTTAAATGTACAACTTGGCAAATCTTACCGAGTCATTGGTGCTTTCTGAATACTGTATTATTTTGGTCAGATAAACCATGTGTGAAATGTGAATTTGTCATCAGATGTATGCATACTTCTCAAGTGTGCGATAGTCTTTGGTATATGTGTCAGTTCTATTGACAGTATGAAACTGTCAGTCTCAACTTCAAAGAATTTGACAGACAATATTAGATTAAACCTGTGAAGTGTGACGCATTGTAGGATCTGTTTAATTCTTAAGGAAGTAATACTGAAATTAATTGAATTAAAAATTTCCTTCAGTAATTTCAACTGTCACTTTTTTTATTCTTTTCCCCCAAATAATGCTGTATTGCATTACCTGATGTATGAAATATTTTCCAGATAATTCATGAGATTCCTTATAAATTTTTCACAAACATAAATTAATTATGGTAAAGTAGAACAAGTAAATTTCAAAGTCAAATATTGTTATGGGGAAGACAAAAGATTTTTTTTGAAATTCTATTTTTAATGATGACATTGCACAAAAATAAATTTAAAAAAGTGTTGCATTGTAATTTTATTTCACTCAGCTTTCAGAGACACACCAATTTGTAGAGCGCTATATGTTAAGCTTAAGATATCAAGAGTTCAGTTCCTTACCTCTTAACACCCTATAACATTTTACTGTTTCCAGATGTCTTTGAATGTGAAGCTATTTTTTTATAACAGCTGGGATTTTGAACACTTACGCAATTTGACTTTTGTAGTTTGTTAATTTTAAAACCATATGAACTTTTAACTGTGTTTTTTTTTGGACTAAGATGAAAAGTATGGTACGTTATATTACTTTGACTTTGACTATTTGTATACTATTTACAGGTATTTGGTCCTGGAGCATGTATCAGGAGGGGAACTGTTTGATTACCTGGTTAAGAAGGGTCGACTCACTCCCAAGGAGGCGCGCAGATTCTTCCGACAAATAATCTCTGCTCTGGACTTCTGTCACAGCCATAATATATGGTACAAAACACTGCCAGCTCAAGTACTGTTTTCATTCTTAAGTACCTTTTAAACCAGTATTTTCATATATGAAATGTTTTAATTAAAAAAAGAAAGCATAAAAAAGACAATTAATGGACTACTGGTAGCTACCCTGGAAGCTTATTGTTCAAGTAATTGCCTCATGATTGAAAGGTTGTGGGTATAAATTTTTGCTTAGGGGGATGGGGGGACATAAAACTTACAAAAAATTAGTTGCATGATTACTATTCCTACACCATTTGTGGTATTTAGGCATGATATCCAAAGCATAATAAATCATTTAGATGAGAATTTTGAAACCAATGTATGTGTCATGATAAGTGCTGGAACATTAATAAAAGAACCTAGCTAATATTGAAAAGAGTCCATTGATTAGGACTAATCTTGGCATTTCACTTATAGGCAGAGAAGTAAGATACATGAATGAAAAATTCTGGAGGGAAATTAAACAATCAAATGTGACAGCGAGGTTTTCAGATATTAAAGCTAGGATTCCTCTTGACAGTGCATATAAAAAAATGAAGGAAATGACTGATTTTTCTTATTATTGTGACAAATTATGACAACGCAAACAGTATTGAAGGAAGTACCTGATATGTTGGGCCCCCATAGTTCCATTAAGAGTTAATTCCATTATGGAAATGAGACAAGTCAATTACTAATAATGTTATGTAAATTTATTTGTAGTCACAGAGACCTGAAGCCAGAGAATCTGTTACTAGATGACAAAAATAACATCCGTGTGGCAGATTTCGGTATGGCCTCGCTTCAGGTGGAAGGTTCCATGTTAGAAACCAGTTGTGGGTGAGTCAGGAAAAAGGCTGTGAAAGCTATAGTCTCCACTGTTCTAAAAAGGAATTTAGAATTAAAGTACTTTAAATTAGTGATTACTGATAAAAGTTTATAAGCAATACTTTAACATGAAGATGCAGAAAAAAAACCCAAAAAAACAAGCTCATTATGGTACACTATAATTCTCATAATCAATACATGTAATACCCTTGGCGTCGGTGTCGGCATCCCAGGTTAACTTAAGTTTTTTGGAGCAGTTTTCTTTTTAAGTACTTCTATGTCCTATATTGATTAGACATGCATGGAAGATGCTTCTAGTGTGTTTCTCTGTACCAGTCAAAGTTTCAGATGCTGCAATTTCAGCAAAGGAATGACCAGGTTAATGTTTTTGGAGCAGGTTAACATTTTTGGTGCAGTTTTGGGTGTAGGTCTCATTTCCAAAGAACTATAAGCCCTATGTTGACTAAATTTGCATGTAGGATACATCTAAGGGTGTACACTACCTGGCTTGCTTCGGATGCTGAATCTGACCTACATTTTCCGGTTGAATGAACAGGTTAAAGTTTTTGGTGCAGGTCTCATTTCCAAGTAACTATGAGCATTATAATGACCAAACTTGCATGGAGGATACATCTAAGGATGCATACTACCAGGCTTGCTTCAGATGCTGAATCTGACCTACGTTTTCTGGTTGAGTGAACAGGTTAAAGTTTTTGGTGCAGGTCTCATTTCCAAGTTACTATGAGCACTATAATGACCAGACTTGCATGGATGATACATCTAAGGATGCATACTTATTACTACCAGATTTACTTCAGATGCTGAATCTGACCTACATTTTCCGGATGAGTGAACAGGTTAAAGTTTTTGGTGCAGGTTTCATTTCTAAGTTACTATGAGCCCTATAATGACTTAACTTGCATGGATGATACATCTTAGGATGCATACTACTAGGCTTGCTTTGAATGCTGAATCTGACCTACATTTTGTGGATGAGTGAAAAGGTTAGTTTTTGATGCAGATTTCATTTCCAAGTAACTATGAGCCCTATAATGAGCAAACTTGCATGGACGATACATCTTAGGATGCACACTAATGGACTTGCTTCGGATGCTGAATTCGACATACATTTTGCAGATAATGGACCAGGTAAAAGTTATGGGTGCAGGTCCATTAACAAAAAACTATATAAAGGCTTATATAACATTGTATAAACCAAACTTGCACAAATGATGCATCAAGGGATGAAAACTGTCAAATTTGCTTCAGATGCTGGATTTTAATTACATTTTCATGAAAAAAGAACTAATTTAAAGTTTTTATACAGGTCTATTCCAAAGTATCAGATCAAAATTGCATAAATATTTTCATTTTTGGATGTACACTTTTTGTTGGTTAATTGTGTGACTTTGCCTTACTTAAAGAAAACATTCATTGAGGTGAGCTCTGTAATCTCTGATTACCTATGTTTATTTAGGAAATTTTACTAAATAGTAAATACATGTTGTTCATGTATCTCAAAATCGTAGGATATCTTAAAAGATTTTTCTCAGTCCCAATGAGTTTGAGATAATGAGTTTTAACTGTAGTGAACCCTGTTTTTGATGAGTTTGGCTGTTATTGTAGCTCTCCACACTATGCCTGTCCTGAGGTGATTCGGGTAAGACTTGTCCTGGGCATTTCTTGATGTTGTACCTCTGTTGTCCTTTACCAGTACAATTTTTTTGTTGGTATGTATTTTTACTCCACAGATTTTGAGTTTCTAAATGTACAGTTAAACTGGCTTATAGCAACGTGCCAGAGATGAATAGTTTCGATTTGTTACTTATAAGTGTACATGTAATTTTATTCATTTAGTTTTTAATATGTTTTAAGAGTAAGAATTACTTTAAGAATTAAGAATTACTAAGTGAGAATTACTTTGCTATAAGTGTAAATTCATTATATCTTTAAGCATGTTTGCTATAGCTGTGTTTTACTGTAGTTAAATTTCTTTTACAGTCAAATGATCACCGTTACAAATGACATGGACATTGCCATTGAATTTTTTTTTTTTTTTGCTAAGACACGATATTCTGACAGGGTATGCTCATGCAATCATTTCAATGCAGGACATAGAATTTGGTGTTTTTCAAGGAAAAATTTAACATTTCATACAAAGCACTGCATGACAATGCAAGCACTCAAGCACACACTCCCTGTGTTCTAGCATCTGAAAATTTTTGCAAGGAGTGTTTTACTTCAGTAAAAAACTATTGATTTCTGTGAAATAAACTAAGATGAAGTGTTGAATAGGTACAGGGATAATTTGTTTTCTTGTGACAATTAGGAATCGTGTGAAAGTTTTACGATCTTGAAATGATTTCAGTCTTTGTCAGTGAGATTTAGTGAGCCCCAGTGTATATATGGATAAGCTTGATGTCCTGATCAATACATAGCTGCTATACTTGGTCTAATAATTGTACATGCCCCTAATAACCCCCTTCACACTTGTGTTTCATTTTCAATTGGAAAAAGAATGAATGATTCTTTTTTTTTCTGTCAATTAGCTTTCTGGAAAATCAAGAATATCATTATGATCCACATTTCTCCAGAGGAAAAAAATCATTTCTTATGTGTACATCAGTATGGATTTATTTAAACCCCTTTTAAATTTTTGTAGTTCTCAAAAGAAGCCACCGGATTTAATTTACAAAGAAAACTTGTTTGGTTGCTTATTATGGTGAGCACAGTTGACATTGATAAACAGAATTTGATGACAATATATTTACAGAAATCTTGTCACACTAACAGACTAAGACAGCCAGAAATAAAGACATTACTACATGTATTGTCTTTTTACCTTGTATTACCATGGCATGAGTTATTCTTTTTTTATGAATGAGATGCTGCAGTAGAAAGTATTAGTTTACCATGTATGAAAATTTTTAATTTTTACTTTTTTGATAGCATGTTGTTTTATATGAACTTGCTATGTATTGTGCATTATGTGAAAGTTTGCAAATGGTGCATTAAAATAATTTCAGTTTAAAGGCCTCTCTTTACTGATGGAAAATATTATTCAGTATTTTTGCAATATTCATCATTGAAGAGTTGAGTATTACATTGTCACATGAAATATTTATTTGTGCTTTAAGACTCTGTAAGGTCAAAGTCAGATCACATAGGTCTGTTGCTCTTCTACTGATCAAGATATTTTGTTACAGTGGAGCCTTATTAATCTGGAAGCCAGAAATCTGAATGCTTCACATACTGGAGGATATTTGTGGGAAATAATTAATCATATCTACCAATAACTTATAATTATATCTACCAATAATTAAAAGTATGTTTCATTAATCTGGATGCTTCATCCATCTAGACAAATTGCACAGCTCATAATAGTCCAGATGAAGGAGGCTTAACTGTACATTTCTAATTTATTGAATTTATTTCATATCTGATTTCAGGGTGAGAAGTATGATGGAAGGAAAGCAGATGTGTGGAGTTGTGGAGTTATACTCTACGCTTTATTAGTTGTAAGTTTTACAAGAGGTTGAAAAAGTTGGTATTCTGAATGACCCTAAAACTTAGTACTGCAATACTGCATGAGAAAGAGAACTTTACAATAAATAATTATTCATTTATAAGGGGATCAAAATATGTACTTAGTATAAAGATGTAATGAACAGCATTTTAGTTTTACGCTTTTAAAAGTTCATTAAGTAGGATAATGAGAAACATTACATGCATCCCTTATTTATTATTATGGAAATAAAAAAAGTTAAGGTCAGATAGTAAATAAGATAACTTAAAATCAATGTACAGTGAAACCTGTCTAATCCGACATGCACTAGGAGATAAATTTTGTGTCGGAATAGACAGGGTGCTGGATTGCAGTGTAAAAAACATGGAAAATGGTACTATGGGAAAGAAATTAAATGTCAGAATTTGCAGTGTGATGGATTGCACAGTTTTCACTGTATTATTCTTTTTTTCACTACTAGTATTATACTGAATTTCTCCTTTTTGTAGGGAGCTCTTCCTTTTGATGATGACAATCTTAGGCAGCTTCTAGAAAAAGTGAAGAAGGGAATATTTCACATTCCACATTTTGTCTCCCCTGACTGTCAAAATCTGCTGCGCGGAATGATAGAAGTTAGTCCAGACCTCCGATTAACAGTAAGTTTCGCACCCCCACAGTCCCACACCCCTCCCACCATCCCCTCTTAAAATAAGGCCCCTCCTCCACTCCTGGACTGTCAAAATCTGCTGCAAGGAATGATAGAGGTTAGTCCAGACCACCAGTTTATGGTAAGTTTGTCTCCCTTGATCGTAAAAATCTACTGAGAAGAAATGCTAAAAGATATTACATATCTGTGATTAAAAGTAAGTTTGTACCCCTCCCTCCCCTTCAGTCCTTACCGCAGATAAACCAAAGTTTTTTTCCCCTGACTGTCAAAGTCTGTTGAAAGGAATAATAGTGGTCATTCCATTCTTCTGATTAATGGTAGGACTTGATCTATGCCGTGGTCTCTGCCATTACTTCAAAGGAATGACCAATATAATCTGGAATCCTCTCTTATTATTCTATATGGCTAAATCAATTGTGATATTTTATAAAATGCAAAACTAAATAAAAATGACATTTGTATTTCAGTTAGAACAGATCCATAAGCATTCTTGGGTTGTAGTGTAAGTATGAATCTTATTAGATGATCTTTATATTTTATATCCTGTGATATTCATGATTATTTAAGTCTAATATTAAATGGAAGATTACTAGAAATGAAATTTTGTATCTTTATCTTAACAAAACATTCACACCAAATTAAAAGATACATTTTAAATCTTGAATTTTGAATTGCCACTATGTTTTGACGTAAATTAACAATTATTAAAACCATAAGTATGTATTTTAGGGGTTCAAAACAAGATTATGATATGGAATTACCTGTCATGCAAATTGTTCAGGTAAAAAAGAATTGTATTGTTGTGAACTTCATGGAACTCTTTCAGACAGACCGCCCAAACCATCTATTGATATTTTTTTAGTCTGTCTGAAGAAGATCCATGAATTATAATTTTAAGTTTTTGTCTTTCACTTTTTGTTTTCATTATTATGATTTTTAGGGATAGTCAAGGACTTGTAGAGCTAGAATTACCTGTTTCTCAAGTTGTCCAGGTAAAACAACTCCTCAATCCTCCACCCAATATATCTTTTACTATTGTTGGCTGCTTTATTTTGGCTTTTGTCACAAATTTACATGTACCAGAGCCTTTAGAAGGGTTTTTTAGATCTTGATTATGTGTGTGTTTTCTAAAGTGTTGGTAATTTACATGTTGAGGAAATCTTGCTGCAAACTGACAATTGCTGCCTTAGATTTTTTACTAGAAAAATCTTTCTCACAGTCAAGCAGACAAGCATGTGGCATTTTTATCAAATTAAATTCAAGCTTCTCCATACCTTAATTCATGGGAGTAGGTGGGGGTGGGGGCGTAGGTTCCAAGAAGGACTCTCTGGGACACATTTTCAAACAGAGCAGTAGGATTCAGGACTTATGTCTCCTATAACCAACATCTCATAAAAAGTTTCTTCTCTTTTATATCCATGTGGTTTGTCAATCTTAGCTATTCTTGGTTTCTGTGCAGAGCCTAAGAGATGTGTGAGTGTCCTCATCCTAACAAAAAAGGAATACCCCGGTATGTGGTTTTAATCATACTATAATTGATGCTGCTTGCATTGGATTATTTCCTGTTTTGTCAGTTACAGATTTAATGACATATTGATTTTTTCTTTTAAAAATAAATAGTTCATTGTAAGTTTGTGTGAGAATTAAGATGCCTACAGGTTGGTTTTTTGATATTATTAAGAATTTGCATTTTGATGAAAAAATCAAGTGTGGATATTTTCTGCGATAAAGAGAGAGAGGAGAGTTATCCCCCTTTAAATACATATTCTTGCACATTTTTTTTTTAAACTAATGAAATGTGAATTTACTCTGAATTAATGTTAGTCATTTAAGGAATGTTTTTAAGTTTTGTGTGAATTATTGCTGTGTAAATCACACAGACTTTTCAGGTAAGCATATTTCATGAAGCACATGAAAAGTATGCCTACGTGCAAGTCCGTGTGATTCACACACCAATAATTCACACAAAACTTAAAAACATTCCTTAAATGACTTAAAAACATTCACTATAGTTACATTTTACATGTTTGAAAGCAACAAAAATATACTCAGTTTCTCGCTGCCCTATTGTGACATCAGGTTAACGCACATTTCTCCATGTATATTTCTACGCGTGAGTATACAGGAAAATGACTTTCAAATCAATTTCACAGTTGGCTTTGTAGAAAAACAAAGCAAATGTAAATATTTGAAAATGACATTGAAATGCTACTTTTGTCACATGAAATAGAATTAGACTCTGCGTTAGATCCAAATGTGGAGTCTGCTTTCTCCAGGATGCTCTAGGTCAGGGGAGATGGGCTTTTGTCGCTCTGTATATATTGTCCAAGGCAAATAATTTGTCCAAGGCAATTATCTGTTGGAGTCATCCCTGCATGATGTGTTGGAATGATTGAGCTGCCTTAAAGTCATTCTTATCCAGTGAAAATTCAAGCTATAGTATTCATGTTGCATGTGTCTTTAAATGAAATTTGAAATTGACGGGCCAATTTTAATATAATTACCTTAGATGGAGTGGAGGTTTACCAAATTGACATGTTCAGGTTTTAGAAGACTTTAAATGTGTTTTGTGTCTTACAAATAAATGTATTTACTGTTGTTTCTCCCGCATCCTACATGTAGCCCTCTGACTCTCTCTCTCTCTCTCTGGCCTATTTCAATCCTACTTGTCCAAAACTTTTTACTAGAACTACACAACAAGATGGCTTCAGTATATACCGCTCAAGAATTCCAGTGTTGTTTCTCCCACCTCCTACATGTAGCCCTCTGACTCTCTATATCTGGGCTGTTCCACTCCTCTGTCTGTGATGCTATAGATTTATTGTCTTTCTGTCAGGATAAATGTTATTAAGTGATGGAGTGTCTTCAGTATTCTCGGTCCTGTCCCTTATGTCTTCCCTATTAGTGTAATGTAATTCACTGCAGAAGGAGTAATCCCCAGTGTAAGACCTTACATGTGCAAAACTGTTTGCTAAAACTACACAAGATGGCTTCAGCATACAATGTTTAAGCATCCAAATGAAGCATCATTGATGTTTAAATAACCAAATATTCTTCTGATTTTGGTAACTGATTTGAGTAATACTATGATGTCTGGAGCTTAGAAACAATCAGAACAGATTTTTTTTACACACTTATGCACTCCCTTTTCCATTTTATGCATCCACTGAAGGAATAAGGATTTAGATGTGTCCCTCTTTTCAAATTTAGGTCTTGAAAAAGCCAAAAGTGATAAAATATTTTACGATTACCGGTAAAATATTTAGTCATTATGAACCCATAACCAAAATTCAAATGTTGCTGGTATTGAACGTAAAAAAAGGGCATAAATTGTAATAGGCCTACAACTATTCTCTGATGTAGTCAATTCTAAAAATGATAAAATTATTCTATTAAATTAAAAATAATTGCCTCGAAGTTAAGCCAAAAAATTGTGGTTAGAAAAAAAGGAAGTGTTATAAGAAAAATCAGAGTATCGGTGCATTATATATAGTCACATTTTAGTAGTACTGTAGTCTTATTATAGTTTATATTATTTTTTAATTTATTTTATTTTTATTAAATTCTATTTTATTTATAACACATACATTTGTTTAAAAAAAAATTCAGCATGGTATGTTGATGCTACATTTTATTTTTTTGTTCATTATAATAGAGTTTATTTGACATGCAGATAGTTTTATAATTGTGCTTTGGAAAGTAGAAATTTGGGGTAAATAATTTTTGTCTGTCCATGGGTTTGCCAGTTGAATTTTATACTTGTACTTTTGCTTTTACTGATACTAAGTTTCATATTTATGCAATGTCAAGGTCAATTGCCACAGGTAACAATTTCAAAATGAATACACCCTGTTTAATATAATGTAATTAGAACTATGGATATTATGTAATCAGTGTGTTGTTAGTCTAGAAACATGATTTTTGAATTCATTTATCAAAATATTAATTTGTAAGGAAAAGAAGTATCGGGCAAGCCTTATGGCTCATGGCCCTCTTTTTTCCATGTTCTTTTAGAGCCATTTTTGGCAATTTCCATTCATTCTGTTCCCTTTGTTTATACACGTTACTTTTATTTTGCAGACATCTGTGCTGCCCTCTGTTGAGGACCTTGACCCTGATGTTCTATCCACCATGAACTCCCTACAGTGCTTCAAGGACAAAGACAAGCTTGTTCAGGAACTCCTTAATTCAAAGTAGGTCACACATATGAATATCCTGCCTCAAAGAGGGTCACTCCCATCTATATCTTGACTCAAAATAGGTCATTACCATCTTTATGCTAACTCAAAATAGGTCATTCCTATCTATGTACTGAACAGATCATAGTCATTTAGTCTAATTCCCCTTCCCTAATGATTGGACACTTTCATAGTGATTAGAAGGCCTAACTGTGTTTGTCAAACCTAAGATGTTTAACAAAGGTAGTAAGTGTCCCTTTGCCAAGTGCCCAGCTGTAGAAGTTGGAGTCAAAAATCTTCATTTCTGATCCATGTTTAAGATGTATGCAAAAATTAAAAAGCTCATATTTAGTTTTTCATACCTCTTAAACATGGATCAGAAATAAAGATTCTTGACTCTAACTTCTACAGCTGGGCACTTTGCAAATGGATACTTACTACCATATCTACTTATTCAGGAAGAATTTTTATCTGAGACCAAAAATATTTTATCTAAGTCGTAAGTTTTCATGCTAAAACATTTTTGGTAGAACAAATAGCATTTGTTTAATGCCAAATAGACATTTCTTTCACTTGATTGCATGGAATATTTCTATAGTTACATTATGTAATTGCTGCAGGAAGTTGAGTTTAATGTTGAACATTTTCACCCCCCAAAAAAACCATTGTCAACTGAGATGCAGCAAACATTACAGAAGGTATTGGATTAACCAAATTATCTGTTTAATCACGGTCAGATTAAGTGAAACACATTTGTGTTTTAACAAATTAATTATTCTCAACAAATCGGTTAACATCCCAGTATATAATATATAAAAATAACATTTTCCAAATTAATGTTGTAAAAGAATCACATTGACAAGCCAGCTGATGTATTGATAAACCCATTTTCAGTTAATCACAAATTGTGTGTGAATTCAATAGACTCTGCTATCCATGGCATCTCTTTTTATGGTGTCCTTTGCATCTCTTGGGTGATAAATATGAATTTGCTATGTTCAATAGGTCCTTTCGTAATTCCTCACTGGGTTAGGCTAAGTAGGTTCTCATGGAAATAATGTTAATATTATATGAAGAGAATTCATTTCAATTAACCTGAAATTGACAGGAATAATAACCTATGTTCAATAACCATAAGGCAATGCTTGCCAAAAAGAGTTATTGACTCTTTGAACTGAGATTTCAGATAAAATATAGGTCAAGAATAAGTTGTTGATTAATGTATTAAAAAAGGAGCAAAGTCCTGCTGTACTGTGATATTTACAAACTGTAAATCGCCTTGTTATCCATATTTTTACAAATATTTTTTACGATACTTTCAAGAAAAAAAAAATTCACAAATCTGTGTGTACCCTTTTTTATTGATTTCCCGATCGTGATGAAAATTTGCTTAATTTTTTTGAAAAAATCACAGAAAATTTCCTTTTTGATTATAAAAGATTCCCTAGCTTGAAGATTTGACAATCGGGATAACAATGTCAAATTTGTTTATTCAATGCACTAATAAGTTTCATTGTTATTTAACAATGTTAATTAGCCACAGGAAATCACTTTACCCAGTGTGACCTTGTTTTCCAGGTACAAGTAGTATATATAGAATTGGGGCAATTAGGGGACATCATATCTAGAATATTTTTGCCAGGGGTATGCAAGGTGAAACACATAGATTAACGTGTTAATTGTTAGTCATTTTATTAAAAACATAAATTAAAGACAATGAATATATAATCAAACTATAAAATGTTGCTTTCCATAATGAGATCGTTTTTTGAAAACGTAAGTAGAAAACTACAAAGCATAGCTGCTGATTTTATCTACCTATAATGAAAAATATTGTAAAGTTTGCCAGTTAAAATATGAAATTAAGTTGAAACAATCAAGTATATGTCAGTTAGAATTTCTTTTCCCTTCCTTCTCCCAAAAGTAATATTTTATAGGTATGTGCATGACTTAAGGAAATACCCACATGGCACCATCAAGCCTGACAAATTTCATGACTGTAAAAAAAAAAAATAATTCTCAATAAAATTAAAAATAAATATAATTAAAAAATTCAAAAATGTTGCTGAAACAGGACTTAATACAATGTATCAAAACCTCATATGTTTTTTAGCATTTTTGAAAAAATGATTATATAAAGTTGTACAATTTTCAATTTTTCACTAAATTATGTGTCCTGGTAGAAAAAAAAACATGTTTTTAATGAGAGAAGCACTTATTTCAGCAAAAATATTTCAATTTTGGAAAAAACATTTTTTTAAAAATTTTTTTTGATTAATTTTTTGTGTTAAATTAATCCTTAAGTTGTATTAATAAGTGATATCAAATATTATACATTTAAAAAAAGATCATTTCATAATCATTTAATTTCACGACAAAATGTTACCGGTATTTAAAAGTAAAATTGTCTCATAAATATAATTTTCAAAAGTTGGCATGTATGATTTTTACAAATATATTTTACAATACTTTCAAGAAAAAAAATTTCACAAATCTGTTTGTAAAACCTAGTTTTTATTGATTCTGCTGTTATTAGATTACTTAATTTTTTTCAGACACAACACAGAGAAGGTGGTGTACTTTTTGTTGTTAGATCGTAAACTCAGGAACCCCAGCATTGAAGATTCGCATGATATCAGACTCCGCTCAGAATCAGGTACGACATTTTAATATTATTATTCTGTATGGGAGTAGATTTAATGAATTTGCCATACTTGTCTGTCATTTTGACCAGTCGTTTCATATATACTGACATGCAAAAGAAACGCAACACCCTACTTTAGGGGGAAATAATTATGTAAAGTAAATAAGTTTGTATCTTAAAATTATGAATATCTTCAATTTGGTAAACATCGGTAATTTAACGGTTGAACGATTTCAATACCATAACCGGAAGTCAAGTTTGAGTCTGCTTAACAGAAATCGAAAATTGCATGTTTAACAAAACATTTGGAAATTTTATGGAGTTTAAAGGTTTTTTTACTGTTCATCAACACAATGCAGCAATATTTCAAAAAATAAACTCTCCTCTCGTTTCCCGTAACAATGCTAAAGCTACTTTAAAATGGCTTATGTACGCATTTCCATTGCTCTACCTGGAAAATTTCAATGTAAAGGTAATGGAGAGTTGCTGATGCAAAATTTCACTACATTACGCCTCAACAGAGTCTTACGTATCATATGCATTAAGGGCAGTCCTTGTACTGTAAGTCCAAGGGTGGCTACACTGCTCTAAGTTAGAGAAAATTTGACCTAATGATCTGAAAAACGGGCATTTAAAAATGCAAATAATTTAATTTCGGTTGTAATCTTGATTTAATGAACCTATTGTATCGTATAAATTAATCTGCAATTGTTGTTTAAAAGTCTTGCACGTTTTACTTTAATGGCTGGGAGGGGGGTGTTTTAACAGTTATATTTTACTTAATAAAGTAAACAGATAAACATTTAACATTTTTTTCAAATCTCTGATGTTCTGAAAAGTGAGTTTAGCCTTACTTTATTCTCTTTTGAAAATCATAAGATAAAAAAATCAAACATTTGTAGATTACTGCTTGTTGCGTTTCTTTTGCGTGTCAGTATATATAATATTGCTGTAGCCAGGTGGAATGAATTCAGATTTAAGAATATTATTACTCCTCACTTTAACTTTTGGTATGTTTTATATGAATGCAGTTTCTTCATGTCATGGTCATATTAACTCAAATTCTTCATTTGTTGCTTTCAATAATGTCAAGATGTTTGTCAATGTGAACTCAAGGTCATATTTCAAGGTTAATGGGAAACTATGATAAATCTGGTACAATTTACCATTTGAACTTACTACTTTTGAAAGTTTAATTCAATGTTTGTTGTATGTTTTGAACATTAATATTAACCCTCTCAGACACTTTGAAATATAGCTTTAATACCACTCGGATACCCTGGCTATAAGAGAACAAACTGAGTTGTTCTTTTATAGTACATGTACTTATGATATTTTTTTCGTCTTCTTTAGCCGATCCTCCTCGGAAGCGAGTGGATGCTGTACAACTGAATCATCAAAATGGAGGACAACCAAGGTAATAACAAAAACAGCATGGTGAATATCATAATTAAACATGTTTATGGATTTACCTTTAAGGTCAAAATAAAAAATACTCTTGTTTCCTGTCACCCGACCTACCCTACATTTTACCCTCCGACCCTAAAAGTTTTTATTACATTTTCATTTTTTGATTTAACTATTTTTACTTTAATACTGATCAACCAACAATATTTACAGAATTAATACATCACAAGTGTACAGGATACTTTTACTTTATAAATCTTGATTAACAAACTTGCTTTGTAAACTGTTAACATATCATTTTCTTGTTATTACACACTATATGTTCTTAGCATTCATTGAGTTTTGAAAATAAAATTTTTTTCAAAATAAAATTTTTTCCCTTCAAACCTATGATCATAATTTTTTTGGTCAGGGGACAGGAAACAAGAGTATATTTTCTTTTGGCCTAATTAACATGTTTGAAACTAACTACATGTATGCTGTATTCAGCATGTTTGATATAATATACAATGTACCAATACTCAGTTAACCATAGTCATGGAATTAGCTAGGTTAATTAACATTTTTGAAATTAACTACACATATGCTATATATAATATGATATGGAATGTATGAGTTCTAACAAGTGACTAATCCTGTACTAACAGACTGTCACTAGGAAGCATCAGTGAAGGTTCCCCAGTCGCGTCTCGCCGAGCACTTGCTGTACAGAGAGTGTAAGTTAATGTCAGCATGCTGGAAAATAAAAGCTGCATGCTGGGATATTTATAATATTGCATGCATGGAAGATTTCAAAAAATAGTCTGCTTGTAAATAGTCAGATTGATAAAGTAACGTGAGACAATATTGTTATTTGCATGTTATGAGGCTCAAAAGAAGTTACAAATTGATTATCAATTTTATTTAGAATAAAAATCGTTATTTAAAAAGTATTTGCTCACAAAAATATAATTTTAGTCAGTAGATTTAAGTATGTAGTCACATTCATTTTCTACTTGAACAAATTGTTGAAATAATTCTGATATTTTTTTTACAGCCGAAAAGCGAGTTTATCCAGCAGCCCCAGCAGTTCCCCAGTATCCAGTGTGAGAATCCCTGTTCGGGGCCCCACCCACAGTCCCTCAGCCACACCCCCAGGGTCCCCCTCCATACAGAACAACCCCTGGAGGTCCCGCCTCCACACCATCAAAAACAGCTTAATGGGCTCTCCTCGATTCCACAGGCGGAAACTCCAAGGTATTCCTTATGGTAACCATGGTAATGGGTATTATCAGGAGGTACCACCGCCGTTGTTGACAGGTACAGGTGTTAGGGCGGTGTTTTGGATGCCGCGGTTGTGTTGGGGCTGCCATTAATGACTGGCTTTCTGTGACAAAACTCCTACTTTTTCTGGTATACAAATAATTGAAATTTCCTTTGAAATGCATTTAACATTTGATGGCACTGTGGCAGAATTGGTTGTCTTTTGTAAAAGTAAATGTTCAAGGGGTCTTTGTTTGATAATCTGAATTGGAAAGTAGTTATATCCTTGATTACTGACAAAAGGAAGTCTTGATGACTTTTTCGATTTTATCTTCAGGTATGTTCAAACCAGTAGTCTGCCAAGGGACTTCTTGTTGAGTTTATTTATGAATACAGAATGCCCTCTTAATTTTTTCCTATTATACCAGTAGTCTAAATTAACTTTTTAGCTCACCTGAGCCGAAGGCTCAAGTGAGCTTTTCTGATCGAAATTTGTCCGTTGTCTGTCGTCGTAGTTGTTGTTGTTGTCGTCGTAAACTTTTCACATTTTCATCTTCTTTTCAAGAACCGCTGGGCCAATTTCAACCAAACTTGCTACAAAGTATCCTTGGGTAAATGGGATTCAAGTTTGTTCAAAAGAAGGGCCACGCCCTTTTCAAAGGGGAGATAATTATGAATTTGAGAAAAATTAACTGCATTAATTTTTAAAAAATCTTCTTCTCAAGAACCACTGGGCCAGGAAAGATCAAACTCATGTGGAATCATCCTCAGATAGTGTAGATTCAAGTTTGTTCAAATCATGACCGCTGGAGGTAGGGTGGGGCTAATATGGCCGATCAAAGTTTTACATAGGAATATAAAGGAAAAATCTTTAAAGATCTTCTCAAGAACCATTGAGACAAGAAAAATGAAACTCATGTGGAATTATCCTTAAGTAGTGTTCATTCAATTTTGTTCAAATCATGACCCCTGGGGCTAGGGTTGGACCAAAATGGCCGACCAAAGTTTTACATAGGAATATATAGGAAAACCTTTTAAAATCTTCTTTTCAAGTACTTCAAAGCCATGATTAGTAATATTTATGTAGAATTATCCTCAGGCAGTGTAGATTCTAGTTCTTCCAAATCATGATATGTGCTTTTTCCTAGCTGATGTTCTCAGGTGAGCGCTGTGGCCCCTGGGCCTCTTGTTATTAAAGAGCATGAAATCTTTTAATATTGCTAACACAAAAGTTTGATGTACATTGGAAAAAATGAGTACCTGAAAAATCATTCTCCTTGTAACAAAATAGATAAAATAGTGTTCATTATTTTCATTCAGTAGAAAAATGTATCAATAATTTAGGATAAGCATGGCATGCAATTATTGTACTAGTTTCTTTTACTAGATTTTTTAAATTTAATGTAAAAAAAATTTAAAGTAATTTTTATCAGGAAAAGTTGACATAGTGGAAAAAATTTTTTGTTAACTTTCAACATTTGAAATAAAAATGTAAATCACTAGACATGATGAAATCCATAGAGGTTAATTAATTGATTGTACCGGTATATGTTTCAGTGCCTACAGAAGACATCTCCATGACACCTGACTCTTCACCAGAGTAAGTCCTCTCTCATTCTCTGAAGTAATGCTGTGAATTCTTCAATACAAATAATTTTTTACTGGTTAATTTTGCATCAAGAACAACTCTTGGAATGAATTTATTTGAATGTTTATTTTTATTGTGTTGAAATATATTTCCTTATGCAACAGTCCATTTTACAAGTCTATAAATCAAAAGAAAATGTTGAAGACATATTTTTTATACAAAGGTTATGTAGTGTAAAGAGGACATATCATGTTTACTGGTATTTTTATCAATATGTTGATACTGTTGTTCCACAGGATGACGAAGAAGTCTTGGTTTGGGGCCCTGATGGGAGGAGAGAGAGAGGAGCATCATTTTATCATGGCCCAGGATAAACCCCTCAGTCAGGTCAAGGCCGATTTAGTCCACGCCTTGCTCTCGGTAGGTTACCAGATAAACCCCTCAGTCAGGTCAAGGCTGATCTAGTCCATGCCCTGCTCTCAGTAAATCTAATAATAAACCCCTCAGTCAGGTTAAGACTGATCTAGTCCATGCCGTGCTCTCAGTAAATCTAATAATAAACCCCTAAGTCAGGTTTAAGACTGATCTAGTCCATGCCCTGCTCTTTAGTCTTAGCAGGTTTCCTGAGGGATCATTATAGGTTAGAAATCATACTCACAAGGTGAAAGACCAATAAACTTAGACCTCTGAAGGATTTTTTAGCATATTAGGTTGTTAAAATATTAAACATGAAACAATGTTTTGATCGGAAAGAATTGTATAGCTGCCGGGTCAGATTTAAACAAATGTTCACTTGTGTGGAATATGTAAAAGTACCGATGTGTAAAACTTGCAAATTCCTGTTTCATTTATGACCTTTGTTGCTATGATGATTCAACAGTTAGGATAGAGAGGTTAACATAGCAAGATGTATCATTTATCATCAAGAATAGGATTTGTTTTAACTCATAGATTTGAAAATTGCAAGTCAGTATTTGTTGGAAATATGTGTGGTAAGTTAAGGGCCAAATAGGTAAGTTCATTTATACATTTATCAGGTAGAAAATGTTTGCTAAAAGAAGGAAGTATGTCAAAAATGAGCATCATAGCTTTCTGGTCCTCTTGTTTGATATTTTTCATCTGAACCTTTTAGACAGCAGACCTGAGTCACAGTGTAATGTCTGCAACTTCATTCAGAGCTGAGTACAGAAGATCAGGTAGTTCTGCCATGTTCTCCAGAAATGTGCGATTTCAAATGGACATAACTCCAACACATGGTGGAAATCGAGATAGTGTAATGTACTGTCTCACATTCACACTTATATCAGGTATAAAATCTACAGTTAATCACAAAGGCTATTGTTTCTAAATCTTTTTTTTTTCCAAAGCAAAAATTTTGTAAGTAAATATGCATGGAGATTTTCATGATTATTTTTCAAATATGTAATCTGGAAGAAATAATACTGTACTGCCAGTTTGATGAGTCTATTATTTGAAATTAAATAGGGCCCTAATTAAATTAAATAGGGCAGATCACTCTGAGCACAGAAAAATCCCACATGTTAAGAACTCTTTATTTTGCAGAGTAGATAATGTTCTTACATTGATCCATTTCTTCACTTAGTTCAAAGTCTTGTGTGTACATGCACAGGAGTTCACGTACCTATCAATTTTACCGAAATTTTTAGTAAATGAAAAAAATATGTCATACCTTTAATAATAATATTCATTAGGTCACCTGAGTAAACTCAGGTGACCTATTGCTAAGTTTTCGTCCAGACGTCGTCCTCATCTTAACATAACATTTTCAGCTTCTTCCCCACTGACCAATTTCAAGAAAATTTGGAGATAACATCTATGTTAAGAGGAACAAAAATGTTTCAGAGATGCAAAAATTAGGGGGAGGGGCAAAAAGCTACTTAAATTAGTGCAATCTTTAAAAATGACTTCACCTTTATCCTGGACATCCAGTCAAACTGTTGGTATGTTTGTAATCAGCAATTTTAGTCCTCTACCCAAATTGTGAAATTCAGAGCCTCGTCATCACGCCCCAGGGTCAGGGGTCTTGTTAGGGCGGGGTCTATTAAAACATAGTGAAAATGCATTATTTCTTTGAAAATCTTCTTCTCTGTTCCTAAGTAAATAAATAAACTAATTAAGTACATAGTTATGGTTTAGCAGAGTTCTACCAGAATTGTGAATTTTATGGCCCCAGGGTCAGTTCTTATGTTAGGGCGGGGTCAAGGTTATATAGTGAAAATGCATTTATTCTTTGAAAATCTTCTTCTCTGATTAGCCTGAGTATTAAATAAAAAATTAAAATTTTTATGATGGCAAGAGTGTCTCTTTATTCAAAATCATGAATTTTATGGAAAAATGATAGTGTAGGGGGGTGTATATCTTGGGGCTTTCATATTTTATATAGTGAAAATGCATTTATTCTTTGAAAATCTTCCTCTGTTACAGAGTATTAAATAAACCAATTAAGTACATAGTTATGATGAGTGAGTGCTTGTGGACCACAATTTTGAATTTTATGGCCACCAGGGAGGGTCCTGGTGTTAAGACAGGGCTCTAATTGATTATATAGTGATAATACATTACATCTATGAAAATCTTTTTCTCTACTCCAGGGTAATAAGCAGATGAACTATTTATATAATTATGATGTGCAAGGGCCATTCTTTAGTGAATTTTGAATTTCAGAGGCTCCTGGGTCATAATGAAAGGCGGGTATTATATATGGGACTCTGACTTCTATATACTGAAAATGAATTGTTTGAAATCTGCTCCTTGTAATTACAGCATTTTTGATAATTAAGTGTGCCTTTTCAAAAATTTCATGCATTGTGTACACTTATAGTCATTTGTATGTGTGGTAAGGGAACTTCTGTTTATTGCATAATGTTCTTATTTTAGATTGTTCTTTTTGTTCCTCTAGCCTGCTTATGGGTATTAAATATACAAAATAAGCAATTGCTAAGTTTAATTATGATAACTAATGGTTTTTTAAAATTTGAATGCCAACATCTGTCTATTAAAACATTGAATCAAAATTACTAATCATTTGAAAGTTGTTGCATGATGCTATGACCTATACAGGCCCATGGGCCTTTATTAAAGGTATGACATAATTTTTTTGTTTAATGTTCTTTAAAATGCACATGTAAAATTGCTCAGTGTAGTAGAACAGTAAGTTGTGCTACATGTATTAAAACTTTATAGGAAGTGTTCTTCATGAAATCAGAACCTTTTTAGGGCCCTCCCGACGCTTCAAGAGAGTATGTGAACACCTACAGACATTAATGCTAGGACCTCGAGGTGATGCAAAAAACCAAGAAAATTAGCACAGACAGCGCCTTTCTTATACATGGAAACGTGGATATTGCAATACAAGTTTATATTTTAAAACATTAAGGATGAGGTCAAAGTTAATGCTATCACTGTAATGTCCATAGATTTAAACGAGGAGAGGGGGTGATATCCCTGAGCAGGAATTAATAATCGATCCAAAAGTTGTGTGATCTCAAAACTTGTTACCAATATATATATCCTGTATATATCCATCTGTTGAATTCATTAGCACACCATTATCAATAAAACGTAGATATTTTACACATGTCATTGAATATTTAGTGTGAAGTAAAAAATGGTGAAACAGGTTTTCATATTGATTGTGTATCAGGTTGATCTTGGCAGTAAAACTTTCTACATTGTGAACTTAAAATATTGGTAGTCATATCCATATCCAGATAAAATTGTTTCTAAAAACATGAAAGTGTATCCTGCACTGGACCTGTGGTTATTTACTCAAAATCAAAATTTCTTTTGGAAAAATTGTGCATTGGAGAGGGGGGTTATATCTTACTAGGAAAATACTCACAGTTTCATAATTTTTGTACCTGAAGTTATTAGAATTAATGTAAATATTTTGCATGACTTTTTGGGCAGGTATTTGAAAGATATCCAAGTTACAGAATATCAAAGACACCAACCCCAACGAGAAGAGAGGTTCCTCGTGTGATTACGAATGGTAAACGGGCCATTGTGGACCACAGCTATAGGAAGGACAAACTCTGACACCGGAGACTTAACCTAGTCCTCTCTGTACTAACTCTGATGTCTGTAGATGATGGACTGTATGTAGACTTTGTAGTACACTGCCAATAGAGAAATGGCCATTCTGAATAGTGCTGACTGTGATTATAGGAGTGAATTCAATAAAACTGGATGACTGTGAATATGTTAGTTAATGAAAGACAAGTATTATATATGGGACTTCTGACTCTGTTGAACTGTCTCATACAACTAAGGTTGCTTTTTATAATTCCTAGTAATTACAGCAAATTAGAAATAATTAATTACGTTTTTTTTTAATTTAACTTTCATCTCATAAGGTCACAATTGATAGTATTTGTACTGCTTGTAGTGGGATTCATGTTTTAGTGCATAATGTTCTTATTTTAGATTGTTCTTATTTGTTCAAGCCTACATATGTGCTGAATATTAAATATACTTAATTTGTATCATAAACTAAAGATTTAATTAGATGAAAATTAAAACGAAAGTTTTTTAAGGTACCAACATGCTGTCATATTAGAAAGTGATTGCAATCAAAATTACTAATACCATGATAGTAAAAACCAAATAGTATTATACACAACAGTAATTTCAGTAATTTATAGATATGATTTGTAATTTTTTTTTTTAATGGTCTCTTTAAAATGTACATGTAACCATTGCTCAAGTGTAGTAGAAAGGAAGCTTGTTTTGTTTAAAATTAGTCAAATGTTTTCTCACTGATAAAGTATAGAAGAGTGCCTGTTGTTCTGATAAGTTAATTTACCCACGGGTGACAAATGTTTATGTTCAGGGCAAACTGAAAATGGAGACAAAAAACCTTAAGAAAACTGTAAGGACTTCTTTGAAAAATCATTATCTGTGTTTATACATGGATAATGTGCATGATATTGCAATAGAATTTAGTATATTTTAAAACATTAAATTAAGTATTGTCCATTTTGTAATGAAGTTCAAAGTATCATTATTATAAGATTTAACCACTTAATTTCTGGGTGTTATCCCTGAGCAGGAATTAATAATTGAATCTTCAAAAATGTGGTGTGAGAAAAAAACATTGTCACCAGGTGTATATATCATACTGCATTAAATAATCATTGTATGCACACCATTATCAATATTTAAACGTAGATATTTGCCAAATACACATGTACTGTATTGAATATTTAGTGTGAAGTAACAAATGTGCTAAACAAACTGGTTTTCATTGTGATTGTGTATCAGTTGATCTTGTACTATAACATTTTATTATAAATATTTATACATTGTCGTTTTGATCATCATTTCATCAAACCTCTAATTCTATTAAATGTGCCCACTTGACTTCTTAAATCTCTGTAAACATTTTCTTTGAAATAGAATCTTTTTATACATTGCAACAATCTTTATTTCAGTAACCCTCATCATTATAATTTAAGGGTAAATGCCATCTACATGTATTATGAATTATATTTTATCATTCTGAACAGTTGGCATGTAACCTTATCTTGTGTTCATTCCAGCAGGGCACTTAAATTGTGAAGTAAAGTTTTTGTTTCTTTCACCATGTCTGACAATAAAAAAAGGAACAAGACTAGCTAGTTGTGATTTAACTGACAGAAGCCAATCTAAAGGCTGACTATTTTTACATCAGACTTCATCTGGACTTTGCCAGAATTTATTCAATAAATGTTCATTTGTATTTTCAGCCTAGCACTTGTACTGTTAAAGTTCATGCTTTAAAATAGAATATGTTTTGGCTGCAGAACTGTAACATGATGGTTTTATATATATATTAGTCTTTGATCAAAACACTACAGATACCATGATGCAAACAAGGTAATATTTAAGGCTCAAGATTTTCTGTGCATTGCATGTTGTGTGGACTTATTCTCCACTCTCCAGCATGAGAAATTAACTACCTATCACTCCCGGATTTTAGACAAATTCTTTAACCAGCCTGTATGTTTTATCCTCCTCCCAACCCTTTATAGTCGTCTCTACAGACTGTAAACTTGTTTGTTTTGGCTCATTTCTTGGATGGCATAAAATTCGAAGCAAGCGAATCTGTAGAGGAAACTCTAGAGGGTTGGAAAGATGATGGCATATAGGTTGGTTTGAGAATGTGTCTATAGAATTAGGAAGTAAAAAGTAGTGAATTGACCAATGCTGGAAAGTTGAAAAATTTTCAACAATGTGTAGAAAGTCTTGAATCAAATTTGCATTATGGGATCTGTAGTGGTATGGTCAAAGAGTTTAAGACTAATACAGTGTATATTATACAATTATGGACTTCAGTGTAGGTCAGTATGTGGTTATAAGGACTCGTGGCAATTGATATTGACCTCGGACACAGAAAGTGATGGCGACTGAGCCTTGAATGTGAAGTTACATGTAAAACTCGTACTAGTAGTCTGAACCTATTCCAGAAGCCCCTGGCTCAGTTGTGAGGTAAAAACTAAACAGTGCTTTATATTTACAATTCCCTGAATTCATTCCAAGTCCCGCCCATTTTGCTCCTTTCTTCCTCTCCAACCAGCACAATTTTTAATACACCTATGAATGAACAAATAGTTGAAGAAATCAAGTTTTTATCCATTATCTTTAAGATATTGTAAATATTATAAATTTGATGTCCATACTTTTCATTAGATCACCAACACTTTTTAAGTATGCAGCAGTTGATCAGTTTCTACCAAAAAGGTCACCATCATCTTTAAATTTTCAACTAAAGTACAGACCCTATTGAATACCATTCGGTATCTTCTGCATATTCAACCTTGCCATGTTGGTCTCCAGTTTTTCTTTTCATTAACCATTTCCAGTCCAGTGGCAGAACATCAAAAGGAAAACTATATGTACATCAATCTCATGTCAATATCCTCCTATTGAACAAGAGATAATAAAGACAAACAAAGTATTCTCAAGTTCTGAAATTTTAATTGTAAAGGTCCGATGTTTTAACACACCAACATCTATGATCATGGACCAAACAATATAAAATCAAAAGAAAGCATGAGGGTTGCATTTCTTCTTGTACAGTGGATTTGCAATATTTTTCCTATTTTTTTCATGTATTTTTTAAAATATTTTTTTTCACAAATGACTTTATTTCAGTAGAAGTAAACACACACAGTACCATGTACTGAGAAATTAGCACTACACATGGCATGTTTCTTGATGTGTTTAATACTACTGTGACATCCATCCTTAGAAACCTACAACTCTTAGTCTCACTTTTCTTCCCTCGAGGCAAGAGAAGTGAAACCAACTGTGGGATTATAAGGATGTGTATCACATTGTTCCATTCTTATGCTGCAGCTTTGGTTCAAGTTTTTCTTTTAAGTTCTTGTTGATTGCTGTTGAATTTTGCCCTACCACACCTACAAGGTGCTCTGCACAAAACCAGAATATTCCATTCAATACCCTAAAAAAATTAATGCTGTTAACACAAAAACCTGCTACCATATAACTTGTGGAAAATTTAAATGCATGAACTTATGTGAAAAGAAAAATAAAACACAGAACATACATATACAATGAACATGAACTGTTTAAAACAAAGTAAACAAAAAGTGAACTTATGGACATGTCATTCAAAAAAATGCAAAGGAAACTCAAAAGCAATAAAAATTAAATTATCCACAAATTATAAATTTTTCAAGAGCTCTGATAGTTGTGCAAGCACTTGTTACTGTTCATAAATAATGCTTAAGCTGCCTGTTGCTGTGAGGGAGGTTTTCCGAACCCTCCAGCGCTGTTGCCGCCGCGGAATCCCCCGCCACTTCCTTTGTTGTTGAATCCACCCCTAGGACCGCCACGTCCCGCTGTAAAGAAAACAGCATGATCTCAAAATATGATGAAAGACACAAAAATTGCCAGATTTTAAAAGTTTTATGAACATTCAGTGTCATTTATGCTTAAAGCTGCAAACCTGGGTTTGATCAATTTTTCAATCTTGCCTGAACTATTTTTTAATCACAGCTGACTTACCTCCCCTTGGCCCTCCTCTTGGTGGACCGTCTCTCTTCTGATAACCATTGTTGTTGTAATTATCACCACGGTAATTGTCACGACTGTAATTTCCACCTCGGTAATTATCACGATTGTTATAACCCTGATAGTTTCCTACAAAATAATAGAATGCATGTTCATATATTCCTATTCAAACCATTCAAAGCAAAATACAGGCAAGTCAAGTTCTATGCAAGTAACTATATCTGGCATAGAGCAACAAAAGCTCAAAACTACTTTTCTTATAAAGGAGAAAGAACACATTTTCATCATATCTTTTCATTGTTTCCTATATATCACACATATTTTCTGTAAAATTCATTGTCTATCCAAGAAAATGTATACTCAATGTAAAATACAGATGTAAAAATTTATTCTTGTAGGAATTTTGTATAAAGTGATCCACAATTTTATTCAAAAGTATTCATAAGTAAATAAGTTTTAAAATCCACAAATTTATTTCACTTACAAATACTTAGTTGGATATAAGAAACCTACAAATTGTTTACATGCAGTAAATCTGAAGGTAAACTAACCTCTGTTTCCTCCATAGTTGCCCCTTCCCCTGCCTCCATATCCATTAGACATGCCACCTCGATCACCACCGCGATTACCACGACCTCCACGGAAACCGCCACGAGATCTATATCCTGAGTTAAAACCATTTCCTGCAATATAATATGTTGAAATATAAAGTTCAAGTAAGAGGAGAAAATATCAATTTCTAATAAATACTGCTTATTCAACCCAAATTACATTTTTTCTTATAACTTGTTGAATACATTAAATCGAATTTACACAGGACTAAAGACGAAGAGAAAACCCACCAAACTCTCCCTGTTGGTCGTCTTGTTGCTGAGAGAAGTCATCAGGTGTCTGTCCCTCGTCTGACACAGGGAATGCTGAATGCATTTTGGACCGAAACATTTCAGCATTGGGGTTCATCTGAAACTTCTCTGTTTGAGCATCCTGGGACCTGTCATCCTTTTATGAGAAGTCAGAAAGCATGCTTTAGCCAAGTAAAGTTAACAGTGTGAAAGTTGTATCACTATTTTTAAAACGAAAATATGTATTGAGAACACTGTTCTCTGATACTCATTTCTAAAATGAACAGATTTTTGTCTAAAAAGGGAATTGAAAATGCCTTTATTACAGTGATTTCCTACAAGTCCCATCATTATAAGCATACTTCTCACAAAGAGATAGACTTGATAAATCTGGTATTTACACAGAATTTTATCATTTTCTTCATCACAAGAGAAATCCAATCCAATATATTAAAAACATTTCTTCACAATAATGCCCACTGCTCTACTTTTAGTCCTTACCTGGCCTGGGGGCATAGGGATCTGTGGTGGCATTTCAAACTGAGATATTGTGCTGTCACTGACATTTTGATTTAACACATTCTGAGACATTTGAGAACTGCTATTGTCTGTGGATTGAAATAGTGAATCACTTGGTAGTGTCTGTGAGAATGTTTGTGAATAGTCCACTGTTTGCTGTGTTAACACTGACTTCTGTTGACTTGCTTGTGCATAGCCTTGATTGGTGTAGGTCTGTGAAGGGATCTGGGTGGGGTCTGACTGAGGAGTGGTGGGGTGCCCCATGGGGTGAGAGGTCACTGCCACAACAGCTGGGTCCATGTGAGGAGCTACAAAAAAAGAAAATAACTTAAATATATGTACGTGGTACATGTATGCACACTTAGTAACAAAATGTAAGGTTCCCAACAAAAGAAAGATGTGGAATTTTATTTTACCTATCTAATGACATATATTTGCTAGTATTTCTATATTGGTTGTTGACATATCATTAACTAAGAGAAACGAGTTAGGAGTACTGTAATTGTTTCTACTTTATTCGGGTCTGCCAAATCATAGAAATTTTGCAAAACAGATCCTCTGACATATCCATTTAGTACTTTTTTCGAACATTGATCAGCCACTTCTCATATTCTTCGCATTTATCCAATTTCTACATTATTTACCAATATAAAATTATGTAACTTATAATTGTGAGACTACAGTTTATCAAGCATGCAAAGGGTGGTTATCAAGGGAGACAGAATAGTCCCTGACAACATACATTCCATGTCGATGGTAGATTCTTGAAGGAAGATGCAGCTTCCTTGAACCTCTGACACGATTTCTTGGAAAGGGCGTTGTCGGGGATAAGCTACATTACTTTGTTGTTGTTGCTGAAGAGATGCATTTGTCTGGGGTGGTGCCGCTGATTTTTGAGAGAAAAAGGAATCTGCTTCCCTCATGCTTTCAAGTTGTGCCTCATTGTTGCTAGAAGTTGCTGTGTTGCTTTGTTCAATGGATTGTTCTGTTTGTTCGGGTGGTAAAGATGCCTGCACCTACAAAGATTCAAAACTCCTCTAGTCAATAAAAGTAATGCTTGAAGTTCTCTATATATAAATTTATAAACACATACATCTAGATACAGCTAGTGAAGTTACAATGCAATTATTACTTGAAAAATATCACAAGAATCACTTAAACTCTTATAAGGCACAGATTGATTGTGTAGGAGATAGGGCTGAAACGATTCACCGAAATATCGATATTGTTCGATATAATTGCTCGGTTCAATATTCGATTCACCATCTCGATTTTCGGTTCGATACGTTTTTTTATAATCGGGTTTGGTTAACTCTTTGAAATTCATCGGGTGTTATTTTAACAGTTTGACACACACGAGGGAGAAAATTGGGACGATAAAGTTTCAGAGTAGGCTGCCTCTGCTATTATTTATTCGAATAAAGTGTTCTTAATCAACAGAACCACAAGTGTCAGAGATGTGCAGTTAACAAATTAATAAATTCGGGCTAGTAAAAATTATAACTACGCATGTAATACATAAAGTACAAACGGTATTTTACTCATTTTTTGCTATCAAATTCCCAACCAGTGAATATTTTCCAGGAACATGCTCCACTGTCAATAAATCTCCATAATTTTCTCCATTTTGCAGTACTTGTGTTATTTACTTCCAAAAACGATGGTTTTTTTCCGCTGATTTTTCCGTTTATTATAAATATATGCAGATATCTCATTAAATTATTTACGATCACTCAATCAACTGAAAGATCAGTGTGATTCACATGAAATATATTTCTAGTGTATTTAAGGATTTAATATGTGAATTTATTTTCATTCTAAATGAGCTAGTGCAAAATAATCAGAAAAGGAAAGATCTTCAGATATTTTTTTTTAAATTCATTTTTATTTTCTGTCATAATCGTTAATTTTATATGATTTAATTTTAATAGTAAGAATAAAATTTTAATTTTCAAAAGATTGACCTTAATACCCTGACTTTTTCAATGATTAATTTTTTTTTCAACATTTGTTTTATTTTAATTTTTGTTCCTATATTTGGGCTATTAACTTTTTACTTGGGGCTGGTAACTTTATTGCTGCCACTAGCCCGTGGGCTAGTACTTGAGTTTTTAAATTGCATACCCCTGGTCAATATTTCTATTGTATCACCACCTTTTACTCTTTGTTTTTTAAATCTGAATACGTTTTCTTTAACCTTATGAATAGTTTCATTCTTAAATTGTATCGTATTGAAAAAATTGAATTGTGACACAAGTATTGCAATACGTATCGTATCGTGGAGGGGGCGTATCGTTTCAGCCCTAGTAGGAGATAAATTTTTAATGTTCACCTCTGCGGAGTCCGGATTTGGGATTTCTGTTGTGTTGACGACCACATATTCACTATCGTGGCCTTCTTCTTCTTCCATAGCATGTTCGAAGTAGCCACAGTCATCAATCAAGTCAATCAGAACTTTGAGGTCCTTGTAGGTGGTTCCCACTACGGGTTTGTCCTTTCTGTCCAGAAGACTGACAAAGTGCTCAGAAGACTTGCCGAGTTCCTCTACGTAATTAGTCTCACCCTCTCTGCTCGGACTTAGGAGCTTGTACAGTTCATCCAACTGGGTCAAGTTCTCCTCAGTTAGTACCTACAAATATTGCATGAAATAAATTTTATCAAGCAATCTAAACGCATTCTGTTTTATGGAAATTAATGAATTCATTTTTGGGGGGTATCAATACACAAATTATTTGTGCAGAATATTGTTCTTTAGAAACAAGTGCACAAAATAAAATATCTTTTATATATGTAACACTGAATTTTATTCATTGAACATCAAAACAGAATTCTCAAACTTACAACTGCACCATGTTTCCCTGTCTGAAAATCACTCCGGACTTTCTCAGACCCCATGGCGTCCAGGAGATTCTGATATCTCAAGATTTCTCCAATTCTTTTCATCTCCGCAGAATGATGTTCCGTCTTCTCCTTTTTGGCTTGCTTCTTGAGGAAGCGTTCAGCCTGAATAAAAATTATTATAATATGAAACAAATTTAGAAGCAACTAATAGCTCTATTTAATATTGAAATTTAGAAACCGATTTGGAAAGAACTAGAAAGCTTCTTCAAAGTTACAAATTAACCAATTTTACCTCCTGAGCAAGCGTTGTAAAGTGCTTCTGCAGCTCCCTGGCAAACTCCAAGTTCTGAATCACTTCTCCATATCGATCTATGGCCAACTGAAAGAAAAAATACCTTTACAATGAAATCCTTATATATTTCCTGTTCAAAACTTGCAAGTGAACAATTTGTAAAGTAACAAATTTGAATGCAATGCATAATATAAGCTTAATCTTTGTTGAAATCCAATAAAATTGACAGCAGGAATCTAATCAAGTTTGATAATGTATATACTTTAATATATCCAAAATTAAATTGAAATCTAGTACTCAAACTGTTTCTTTCACAATAATTTATGTTTGAGACACACCTGCTGGTCCTTCTCCAGGGTTGCTCCTGAGTCCTTCTTCTCCCTGTAGCCATCAAGCTTACCCTGACAATATAATTATCAATGTCAAGTTCATCAAATTAAATCTAAGTAAAATTAAAATTTAATAGATAAATGTATATCATGCTTTCTGTCAGTTTCTGAATTTCCCATAATAACAGATGCACAAGTAAAAAGTTTTTAATTCTACATCTATTTTCCAATCTTTTAATCATATCTTCTTTTTAAACATTGACTTTCAAGGAAGAGCTGCCCTACCTGGACTTTTGTAGAAAATTCACAAATAACAATACCAACATTTGTTTTACTTTAATGACCTAAACAATATAAAATTTTTCATGGTGTTATTTTTTTCAGTAACATAATCTAACATTACTGACATTCAGATGAATTAAAATACCAATATTCTCGACTACTAATCTTACCGGGCATTCTATACTTCAAATATCATTTCAATCTTTTTCATTGACATGTTGATTTACTAAATATATATCTATATATTTTTTTTTTAGAACAAACAGCCATTTTATTAGGGGGGTCCCTAATGCCCTGGAATGATGTAATCTCCCTGTTACTTTTGTACTCCTCCTCACTCCTGTTACAGTTATTAGGAGAGGAACCCCAGATCCCATTCTACTTTTTTGTTATCCACTGCTATTTTAATTTTTAGGGACAATCTTGTTTATTCAACGAACTTTGATTAAAAGAAGGTTTTAACACCTGTATTAATAAATCCCCTTCCTCAAATCATGAATTGCGTAAACTTTCTATAGTTTTTTCCTCGATCAATTTTCATTTTATTTGGTCTTCCTTTGATGATGTACAATGTATGGTTAATTTATTTGTTTCGTAAAATACACTCAATATGGAAACAAAATCATTCCTTTCTTTTCACATGACATCAAACTGCTGATTTATAAAAAAAAAAATAAAACTATTCCAATTAAATTGACATTTGCCACCTGGTCAGTGGATCAATGTGCATACGAGAGTAGCAAAGGCGGACTGAATATGAATTTCTAACTAGAATTTGAATCCAATGTTTTCTCTGATTTTAACCAGTCACCAATTTCATCGAAAATCATCAAAGGCTTTCACTGATATGGGTGGATATGACGCAACCTGCACATTTCCAATCTTGCCAATAAATGTCTTGCAGTCTTACACTTTCATTTTGCAGCAAATAAATAACCTTTTCTCCAAAATCAGGAATATTCATTCTGCCAATAAAACATTTTTCTTATCATTGTCTTAAATATTGTTCAAAAATGAAACATACATATTCCCAGTAATTTTGTATATCAAGAATTAAGAATTTTGTTTTTTATTTTCATCAAAATTTTGCCTAAAAATACTGCGTTTGTAGCAATAATGCAGATGCGGAAGTGTGCAAGACGCCATTTTGAAAAATGTGCATGTTATTTTCAAATGTTTTCATTATTCGTGTTTACAGTTACGATATCCACTTAACAAATTAAATTTACAAAGTTACTAATGATAATTACATTTCACTGGTAAAATTTTCTAGATTGTTTACTATGGATTTCTCAAGAAAGGGGAAAATGATGTAAAACACTATCATTGTGAGCTGTCGTCATGCAAACCTTCTAGAACAATTATTTTTAAATCAAACCATTATTTTTACCTTTCTCTTCTCCAAATTACGGACTTTTTTGTCCATGACAATAAGGACTTGTTTCATTGGATCCGCTGCCTCCGGAGAGGTCTTAGTTTCTTGTTTTGTAGAGGCGGCAGGCATCGTTCAACAGCAACAACTCAGCATAAAGACAGATTCACGTGCTTGGGGATCAAATAGCTCCCAGTCATTCAAATATCCGGTACATCAAAATTTTAATAATTTTTCAAAATTTTGCTTTTAAGGTTCTCGATTTAAAGTAGATTATCTATTAACGGACTAATATTATTTAGACATACTTGAGGGAACTTTACAAACAAATTTTTAAGGGCTTTTTATTAGCCAAGTTTTGTGCCGTATATTTGGGAAAGAAGTATATTAAAATTTGCACGAACGACAACTCTTTTTTCACAAATTCACCAATTTCTTGTGGCGGATCCAGGCATTTCTAGTAAGAAAATAGTTTTTTTATGGCTTTTTATTACACGTATCATGAAAGATACTGTTTTTGATTTTTTTTCAATCACAAAAAATGTACACAATCCACTATTTTTGAAAGGACATGGACACTGGACACAGATTCGAAGTGAATATATATTTTTTTAATACATTATAACAGCTGTTTAATTCTTTTTTCAATAAGATATAATGACTAACATATTCCTGAGCACTTTACACCAAGATATTTGTAAAAACTGATTACAGAAACTTAATTCTTTTATCTGCAAATTATTAAAAATACGCATTTAGGAATGTTTTAGATAGACCGGTGAATATTTCGATGCATGCATGTCTGATATCATTTTTCGCTTTTGATAAGATTTAGAGATTAGCCCTATAATTATCATAAAATACTAAAGCTGGGTATACATGGTATAAGAAACAAAATCTTGTATGCACATAAGCGCTTCGAGGGCAGGCGCGTAGCATCGTTTTTGAAAGTGTTGGGGGGGGGGGGGCAGCCAGAGAAATTTTTTTTTACGTACCTGTAAAAGTTGACAAGCCAAAAAAAAGGAAAAAATTGCCCAAAGTCAAAAATCCTATTTCGTAGGGAGGGGGGGGGGGGAGGTAAACTTTTTCTCAATGTCAACTACTTTCAGTACCAATTCTAAAAATACGTTTTCGGTACATTACTATTCACTACAAGTAGGGGGGCCATCCAGGCTTTTTATTAACATTTCCTATAGTATAAGTAAGGTTGGGAAAAAAAGTGGGGGGGGGGGGGGGGGCAGGCCCCCCTGGAACCCCCTGTTGCTACGCCCCTGGAGGGGGTTTTTCTACTTTACTGCAACATAGTCAATAAAATTTATGCAAGATGTTGTTCGGGGAGATGTTATTTTACAAGCTCCTTACAGCCTCACCCGGTCAGAATGATTTATTTGTCCTAAAATTCAATTATATTTACCCATTTTTCTTTTACTGGCAGCGAAAGAGGAGGTCATCAAGTTCTACTTTGTTTAGCGTAATAAAAAATCCAGAGATATATAATCGAATCTTCTTGGGTGTTTTCCAGAACATTCAATCAAAACCTCCGCGCTCAAGCAAGCTATTGACAGATAAGTTGATGTTTCATGGGATTTCAACAGCCTCGTTTCAGGTAAGCCTTTTTAAAAACTTCTTTGGTCGTTATATTGAAAAAATGACATATTTTCTAAAAACAAAGACAAGTATCAATGGGTCCCCCATTTTAAACATGCTCCAAGTAGCAGGAGCGGATCTGGCAAGTTTTTAAAGAAGAAGGGGGGGGGGGGGGTTCCAGGTCGTGCCCTAAATATACTCATACATATCTAGAATCACAACACAAGCAAATCAAGTCCGAAGCAATGGCTTTCAAATTTAAAGGGATGAAACCTCAGAAATGAGTTGACTTAGCTGCAGAATTGTAGCCCCCCGAAAAAATATTTTGACAGACTGGAGAGCTACAGTGCCACCCATTGAAAAAACTGTATATTTATTGCGCACAAAAAGTGCGCTGTTTCTCGATTTATTTCTCCATGATTTTTAAACTGTCATCTCAAAATATTACTAACCGAGTGTTCCTAACATATTCTTTCACTGTTTCCACAACAAAACATTCCTTATAATTGTTGTTAATACTCCTTACCCCTGAAACTGAGATCATAGAAAATATCGTCTATTTATACTACCATTTTGGTTTAAAAGATAATTTGGTCCAACGCACCTCGTGCAGATGTCAACTACGAGAGAACTTTATAGAGGATAAGAATTTTTTTGAAATTCTTTTCCGCGATTGAGGTCAGAATTTGGAAACATTAATCCAGAACTAAGCGCAAATTTTTGTGCGCAATAAATATATACATACTGTTTTTACAATGAGGGCACCGTAGCTCTCCGGTCTGTCAAGATATTTTTGTCGGAGAGCTACAGTTCTGCAGCTAGAGTTGACAATGAAAAAAGTGCACCACACTCGTAAAGGTTAGGAAGGGGTTGGTTTTTTTCTTACTTTTCGATATTTTTTTCTCTTAAATGTTTAAATTTGCGTATGACCCTATACCGACAACAAAAAGGGTGCATGTTTGGGGATGGCATCCAAATAAAAACTTTCATTAAAAAAAAAACCACAACAAAAGAAAGAAAGAAGACAGCCCTCCCTCACCCTCACAACGGTGACATTTCGAACCTCTGTCTTCATTAATTTTATTAAATACCTCCTTGTTACATGTACGAGGGTCGTTAGAAAAGTTCGAGGACACATTGAATTACGGAAAATCTATTGTGTACTGTGAAGTATGACCTAAATAAATTCCCACATTTTATTTATTGGGATGTAAAAAATCATGTATATAATAAAATCTTGACAACGATTTTTACTATAACGTAACAACCAATTTGAACCAGCAGTTCTATAAATCTTTCATTTCTTCAGATTTTTCTGATGTTTTTTCTACTTTAAAATTGAATATCTATAGCAAGACATGTTACTTTTCTTCAATATAATGTCTTTTGTACTGATTCTGATATTATTGAGATCTTACAAAAAGTCGATGCAGTTTATCGATCAGGTATGGAAACTATGCATAACCATATAGGCGCAACGCAACGTCCATGCGATACAGGGGTATTGAAGTATCGATGGAGTTAATCAAAAATGTTAATCCTTCTATTCTTATGAAGCTACAACCATTTGAAAACTTGTCTTTTGTGGGTGTAGGAAATTCTCTTGAATTTTAATCTCTTTTTAACATACCTCCATACGTTCTCATGACGCTCAATGACGTAAAGCGTTGACCAGTTATAAACGGCTATAAAACAGTCATATAAATTTAGTCTAAATTTCTCCTAGTGACGTTTCATGAATACTTTAGAGGTAAAATATCATAAAACTCTTTGCGCTACAATTGTGCAATTTTTAATTTAAATAAAGAGTCTTTGTGATGTAAACGTGCCAAAATGTAGCATGCTCCGTGAAGCTAGTTTTATCAAAATAAAAAAGCTGTATATTTTTCAATAATCATTTCATATTCATTGGAAAAAAGGTAAAGATTTTATCTGGAAAGTTTGACCGGTTTCGTTAAAATAGCGCGCTCACAATAGAACTTGTCCGCGAACTTTTCTAACACCCCTCGTATAAAGGGAGAATAAATCTATTCATACTGGCTTTCATAGCTTACTCCAAGCCAGACTACTTACAGATAAGTTAAGCTTACAGAAATTTCCATAATTTCATTTAAGATAAGGATTTCCTAAATTCTGTACTAATGTCTTAAATAAAAAAAATCCATGCAGGTAAACTTATTTTTTAAAAATTATCTCCCAATAGAGAGGAACATGCAAGCATCCTCTGGTATAGTTCAAATCTTGATCCCCGGAGGTAAGGTGTCAAATTAGGAGGCCAAAGATGTACATGGGAGTATTTAGAAGAAAAAAACTCTGTTAAAATCGTCTTTATAGATCAACAAGACCACGAATACATTTTTCAACTTATACACCATACAGAACCGTGATATTATGACGCGGTTTAAATAGGGGATCAAATTATATTATTATATTATATTAATCAAGAATATGATATCAAAATAATATTCTTTCAGATTAGCCAGGCTATATTAATAATATTGATGATAGAGCCATGAAAAAGGAAAAATTTTAATGGGTACAAAAATTGTCCATATGGTGATCTTTTGTAGAATTTTTGAAATAAAATCAGCAGCTAGCTAGGACCACGGTCAATGAGCGTTTGGGTCCCGATCGATGCAACTTGCATGGATATCGTGCATGCAGATTATCCAAATCTTGTCACTTGCACTTGCATTGATGCACCTTGTATAGAGGTGGGAGGTGTGGTATTGAATTTTCAGAATCAAATTCACAGGTACTTGTGGACAGGACCCCCCCCCCATATATACACTCCTGGTCAAAATATTTTTTTCTTTTTTTTGTCATGAATTATGTTTCTAGTAGGGTATGACTTTTTTAGTAAATCGTTAAATCTATGTTATTTTCTATATATATGGGGGGGGGGGGGGGGTTTATATATATATATATATATATATATATATATATATAAATATATTTTTATATATATATATATATATATCATATATATGGGGGGGGGGGTCCTGTACCTGTGAATAACAATCTTATTGCCATTTGTTAACATTAAAAAACGTCGTATTGCGATACGTTTTTCAGTATGTATTCACAATATTATTGGAAAACTCATCTGAGCAAAAGGCTTAACTTAACTTTTTTGATCTAGGGTGTCTTTCATTACATTTGTGAACTCTTTATATTTTCAACTTCTCAATACGAGGCCAATAACCATCGAACTTGCCAAAATGCATCCTTGTGACGGGGATTTGCGGAATATTTGTTTACTTACAATATTTCTTCAAAATTTTCAAGGCAATTAACTTCAAAGAACAAGAGCAACACAACATGCGCAGGAGCATCATATATACAATGTACTTATAAATTAAGACAGTATTTGACATCGATCACGATGCAAATAACGTCAATTCCGTTTCGCACAAGGACAAACAAACGCACACAAGCGTGTTACTTTTCCTCCTCCAACTACGGAGCGAGGGGATAATTTTAGTAAAACTCCAATGGCAATTTGCCACAAACTGAAGGGATGTCATACACTGCCTAGCACGTTTCTTTAATAATGAATAATCATGGCTTTGCAGTTTTTGAGACAATTTTATTGAGGTTTTCCTCAAATGTT